AAATTATACGCGACGCCACATAGAACAGAACACTTGTGCGCAGCGAATACACCCTGGGTCTAACGAGCTGCCCCCCGGCGGCTGGCGGCGTGACCCTGGGGCACGTCCGTGCAGAGTGTTGCAAACAAGAGCGTGACGCACGTCAGCGCCGAGCGAGCGCGGCGAACGAAATTTCAGCCGATCGCACAACCGTTTACTGCGGAGTGAGCACGGCACGCGTTCGAAACAGCGATGTGAGGCAGAGGTCATTGCACACAAACAGACGCTGGGAAACCAGCACCGTTATAACGCCCAGAAAGGCGGCCACGGAACGGGAGCGTGAACCGTTAACTTCGTTTCCGGCATGCCAAATCGGTACACCAGAGACCTTGTCGATCTCTCGCTTTGCGGTGTTTTGTGAAGCAACGAAAGGTGGTGTAACGCCGCGATGCTTGGTGATGCAGCGAGCGGCGCTGAAGCGCGATCAGTCACGCTCCGTGACGTCATTCCAACATGGCGACGCCAGGACAGGGGCACCATATGGACGCGCCTCAGCTGCGCCAGAGTCGTCATAGGCCCGCCAATCCTAGCCGACGAACTCGCGTTCGGGTTCGCATCGTACCTGTGCACACCCGAGGAAAATGACCTCCCGCTGAAGCCGTCGTCTGTCGGCTTCCCGAACCAGCTGGCGAACTGGGCTCGAACGGGCGTTCCGGTCTTGAATGTGCCGTGGCTGGCGCGGAGCCAACTGCGAGCGACCTCGCCTGAACACAGATCCGGGGCAGCATATCGGTTATCCACTGAGCTGTGTTATGACCAGCACCTGAAATTGGGTTTGGCTCTTGGGGGAGAGAATATAAATATTGAAGTCACGGCTTGTAGTGAGAACAAAATAGCCCATGTGAATTTGCACTGCATTCAAAGCTGGCGCTAAAGGACCTTCTTTGGCAGCAGATGACAGTGAACACCATGCTCTAGCTGGTCTCAGTGATTGCCAAAGACCATTAGAAATTGTCTAATGGTCTTTTTTTTCTTGCAATTCTTAAACCTAGCTTCCGAAGTAAATGCTTCCTTCCTAAGTCTATGCTTGCACCTACTGTATTTTTTAAGCTATGGAGGTGATAGGAAGTTGTTAATATTGATAATTCTATTATAAAGGTGTCAGTCTCAATAAAGGCTGATAGAAGCAGATGCTTAAAATGTTGTGCACCTGTTGCACCATTCCCCGGAGCACATAATGCTAAGTTTATGATTGAAATGTCATGCAAGCCACAACATAAATAGGAGCATCTGGGGCATTGTAGTTAGTTCAGCTACATTCTGGCCCAGGCGCAATCTTTCTCACCCAGAGGTTCTATTATGGGGCAATGTGATACTCGCCTAGGCTTTTACTGACCTAGCTGTACTTAATTCGGGAGCAAGTGTGTAGTTCCCCATTTAGTTGGATAGGATGCCAGCTGCTCCCCAACATTGAGAAAAAAGCTTGGTCAAAATAAGGGAAAACATGGTTTGCACCATTTCTGGGGGACAAAATATTTCTCTGCTCACCCGCTCCATCAAGTTATGTACAAAACTACACCATCTGGGACGTCAGGCTGCTGCGTTATCGGGGCTCGGAGGCCAACGCAGCAGGGGCGGAGGAATTATTTCATCCTCACAGAGCAATCCAGTCGCATAAGGTTAGCATCACTACACCTTCTCACCGGCGTTGAGTCTAATACAATACTTTCCTCAGTGCATGACACTGAGCTAAATTTATATATTGGCTTTATCTGCACTACCGACCAGTCGCGCTACCACCGCCCCTCGCGCGGCTCCTCCAGAACAAGGTCGGTGGGGTACATTAATGGCGCGCACGCAATAGCAGTCTTCAAAGACAGAGCCTCTGCAGGTTATTTATCGGTTCTGATATTCCTTTTTGGCTCCTTATTGCTTTTGTAAAAAATATTGGTTGGCAAAACCCGACTAAAACAAAATGTAGATCTAAAAAACATAAATAATTATATAAATACACTAGTTAAGGCTCTCCTTAACGGAGAATGAGAAACCCTGCTTTAGCTTTATACTCGGATCATGATTCTGCGGGGACGCTTTGAAGATCGATATAAAAAATTTCACACTTTTGTTTGATGACTCTTGTATGCATTTTCATCATGTATTCAGCTCGGAGTTTTCAGTGGAGAACATGCCTTCTCTCCAATGCTAAATCCTCCCCAAGAGCCGGAGACTCGCGGCGCCGTGGTTTTCCACGTGCCCGAGCGAGTATTTGGGATGATGTTTGACGTCACCATTATACGCTCAATACAATATCCATTTTTGATAGTTTTTAAGGTACATGTAACTGTGACATAACATATTTTCGTATCAATTTTTCTTGTGTTTCTATGATTTCTACGTGCAATCCAGAAACGTTGAATCGTGCTGTGTACGAGATATTCTCTGTGCTTTCCCGTGGTCCGTCAAGAGACACTGTTGTTTTGGGTGAAGGCTCGGGCCCGGTGTATGGGCGCGTTGGTGTCGTTGGATGGTAGGTGAGTTAAACATGTGCTGGTGAGCAGCAACAGACCTGAGCACCGAATACATTGCAAGGAAAGATTATGTGTGATATGGAGAGAGATTCGGCTGTAACCCGCAGGCAGTATCCCCCGTTCAGTCGTGAGTGTGACGCGCGATGCCGTCGAAGTTGCAGGAACAGCTTGCCTCCATCTGGCGTCGCTCACAGAGAACAATTTTTTACATTCTTTCCAGTGTATATTTGTGGAGAACAAAATGTCTTGGGGCTAAAAACACCAAGAAACACCCAAGTTTCAGACACTGGTCATGACTTTCGACGGAAGGGCCAACCCCAAAATAGCTACATATGTTGACAAGTGCGGCACACTTCCTCATCCACGTGACATTTTCGGTTTTAGTAAGTTTCCTCTTTACGGTGTAACATGCTGAAAACTTTTGGTCGTCGCACGGACCCGATGGGAGGTCAGTGCCACGTGACAGTGCCTTCATTCTGGTCGGGTCTTCCAGCTACCAGCTAAACGATTTCAGAAGCAGCAAAGAAGTAGTAATATTTGTGGCGTCTTAGATTCTCTGGGGTTGAAACTTGCATCTGGAAAACCAATTTTTCGCTAGTTTGAAAAAAGCCAACGTAAAACTTCCGGTCATCCAAAATGCTTTCACTGGAGTCATTCACTTATGCGGGCATAAAAACACTCCGAAATTTCAAACACACATGTCATAAAAACACTCCACAATTTCTCCATGCACAGTGCCAGTCGTCACTGAAATTAACGACAGCAAAACCTCCCAGGCCACTTACATCATGTAAATAAGCTTGCTTGTCATTGTGGTTTAATTTCAAGTACAAACATGTATGTTGAAGCACGTTTTCACCTGAAGTACGGCGGTGATCGCAACTCCCTGGAGGTGAGTCAGTGTTGATTCATTTGATTCCAAGAGTCCAATCAAATCTACTTCTGCATGACGTCAAATCCCGGGGATTCAAATCCGAGTTAATCACAGACAATTGGGAATATCCCATCTCTTACCCTTGATCTGATTCCAAGCCTGAAGCAAAACGACCACATGTCCGCTTGGACTTTTCGTTAACGTAAAACACGTAGGAGCACATTTTCAGTTTTTTTAAGGGCCGTCTGCGAAGTAAAAATTGAGCACAAACAGGGAAGATTCCCTGCTGCTTCCTCAAGACCATGCCACTGTTCCATGGAACTTTCAGCGACAAATAATAATTTCGGACGAACACCTCCAGCACACTCATGGACCAATTGTCCAAGGGCAAAATTAGACACATTCTGTTTCTGCTAAAATGAAACAGTCCAAAGACAGGCCCGCATTGGTCTAAAGCCGCTGGGTTTTTGCTGAAATTCTGACGTTTCAAAACAAAATAACAAAAAAGGCAAAATAACCTATTGTAAGACCTCACACGGCAGAGAAGTATATGCGCCTATCATACTGCACTTGCAAATGACCAATACGCTTTTCCAAGCTGCGCCTTTTTCTTGCTTCCATACTTTCCGACAGGCTTTCCATGCTTTAGCTATTCGATGAGTCAATTATAACCAGGTTTACTGAACTAAGCCTTTGGCCGCAGGAAGACAAAACCAAGACCATTTTGATCTATGGAGACGCCTTTTGCGAGCAGTGACACAAAGAACGCTATAGAGGAACTCCCAAAAATGTTCTTCTCTATTTCCGCTATATTTTTTTCTATATTCCTATTAGACGAGATGGGCTAAGTCCATGTCTTTTCCACCACGAATAACGAGATCATTGGCTAGCATCTCTTGAGCCGTACAGTTAACGTTCAGTTTCAGACTATGAGCCGGCGGCATCCCATGCATAGACACTTCACAGAAGAGGAAGGCACTGCAACCGCAAAAACCACGCCACACAGGTTTGTCAGACCCCAGCCATCACCAAGCGCACGCACATGCTTTTCGCCAAGCGCCTTTATTTTCCTCTCAACCCCAAAGTACCCCACGCTTATGAAAAGAACGGACACACATGATTAGGAAGGGCTGATGGCGAGACCTGACGCACATCTCGTAAGGGAAATAACAAGAACTGGCAGCGTTCTGACAAGGAACGTTTGATCACTCCATGCACGCATAAAACAAAGCCCAAGAGAGGGTGCCCGCTCTAATAAGACTCCATCGTAATTAGCTGCTTTCTGCAAGAGCTTCCATATCTCCGAATCAAAGCAGAATTGCTTGCGACGCCTCACGTGAAGCCCCAGTGAAGAGCCAACAACTAAAACGCAATACAGCTCAGCAAGGAGACCCGGCGAGAGAATGCCTCAAGCCTGACAAGGGCGAAACAATGCCGTGGTGGAGAAGGCGCCTGGTAACCGACCTAAAGCGCAACGGTTTCGGGAGAAAGCTCACTGTGCTGTTGGGCATTTGCACGTAGCGTACAGCATGCAGGGTATGAGGGGCGTATAAGGGTTATTGCCAAACTCAGGCGAAGCGTACTTCCGCACAGTCCGCACGGACTCAGACCCCTCTCACCGTTTCCTGGTTTCCATCGAGCGGGTCACCTTGGCGCCAGCCGACCGCGCCTGCTCACGAGACACCTGGTGGACGATAGAAGAACTGATGGTTGCGAACTCGGCCGCCGCCCCCTCGCAGGCACCACCACCAACCACAGGGCCGACAATGAGCTGGGTTCCGCAGACTCGGCAGACCCAGAGTTACGTTGTCACAGTGCACCGCATGCCGGCATGCAGTTGTCCCCAACCCGTAGTTCCGGCGCCATTTTCAGCGCCGTGCGAAATAGGCTGTCCCGGCTGGTCTGTCGGCGAGGCCAGGTCATCGGAGGCCGGCGTCGCTCCCTGTCCTGCTCACAGGCCGCAGCCTCGCTGTCCAGTCCGCGCGCGGCGTCCCCGCCTGTCCACGTCTGTATGCCGCACAAGTTGCGGGGAGCGCTGGACTCACCGCAGAGACCTGGTTCACTTTACAACTTTTCTCGTGTTTATTATGTACATTGTTCACACGAGGGCGTAATATTAGTAAGTGGTTAGGCTGAGTTAAGGAGCAATACCAACATGAACTGAACACATAAATACCACGCACCACAGGTAATACTTTGTTCCCACACAGGTAATGAAATGAACCCGGGCAAAGCCAAGCCAACTGGCATAGATACGAAAGAAACCAGCCCCGCTCAAACACAAAATTTGCCAAACTTGATCTAACCCTCCAAAAATCGTAATTGTACAAGAAACCAAGCTTCTGGGTCACCTTGTACACGTCTTAGCCATGGACTGCAGGAGACTTGGTGTTTTTGTATTGTTCGAGGACGAGCCAGTTATGGGCATGTTCGACAAGTAATGCTATCTTACGTGCATTATAACGTGGCGAGTCTTGAAAAAATGTCGCCGATATGGTCCACATTTGCTCTTTCGCACCACGTCGTCAGGAATATCTTGAGTCATTCCTTACCTGGGACTGTTTACCGAGCATTTGGACAAGAGCCACGAGTCTGTCCAATGGAGCCAATAAACACCCACACACGGCAAACGCGCTGTCACATCAGCGCTTCCGCAGCGCATTACGGCGCGACCCGTCAGCGCGGACTGTGAAAAACAGCTGCAGTTCGACGCTGTCGGCTCGATCTCAGCTCCTAAACGCCCCTTCCCACGTCCGACGCTCGTCCACTGACGTCACGTGTCCGTCGGACCTGGTCGGCAGTCCATCAGCCCGCAGTGGCGCCGGCGGCCGGCGGTCTTACCTGCCGCTGGGTCGGGTGGGACGGCACGAACACGCGCCTTGGTTACCGTGGGCGGTGTGACGTTTGTCTCACCTGTCCAGTATACTGGGGCCAGTCCAACGTTTGGTGTGTCGTTTGTGCAACCAGTGCGGCACACGAGGCCAGTCCCAAGCTTGCACCACCAGTGCAGCACAAGCCAGTCCAACGTTCGCATCACCAGCGCAGCACGGGAGGCCAGCCCAACGTTTGTCTCAACAGTGCAGCGCAGGAGGCCAGTCCAACGTTCGCATCACCAGTACCGCACACGAGGCCAGTCCAACGTTTGCCCTACCAGTGCAGCACATGAGGCCAGTCCAACGTTTGCACCACCAGTGCCGCAAAGGCCAGTCGAACGTTCGCATTATCAGTGCAGAACATCGAGGACAGATGAACGTTTGGCACGCATGACGCAACGCCCTCAGCAAGTCTCACCAAGCCCATGCGTGTGCGTTCATCCAGCGATTGTCTTACCTATCCCAAAGCCCTGACATCAGCCCGAGGTTTGTCCCATTCGCCTGGCACACCGGCGCCAGTCCGATGTTTTCTAGCCTATCCGACCCACCAGCGCCCGTCGCCGTCGGTAGTCCGACAGAACGGCGCCAGTCCGATGTTTGTCTCGCCTATCCGACACACCAGCGCCCGTCGCTGTCCGTAGTCCGACATACCGGCGCCAGTCCGATGTTTGTCTCGCCTATCCGACACACCAGCGCCCGTCGCTGCCGGTAGTCCGACACAACAAAACCCATCCGATGTTTGTCTCACCTATCCGACACACCAGCGCCCGTCGCCGTCGGTAGTCCGACAGAACGGCGCCAGTCCGATGTTTGTCTGGCCTATCCGACAAACCAGCGCCCGTGGCTGTCGGTAGTCCGACAGAACGGCGCCAGTCCAATGTTTGTCTTGCCAATTCGACACACCAGTGTCCGCGGCTGTCGGTAGTCCAACATAGCGGCGCCAGTCCGATGTTTGTCTTACCTATCCGATACACCAGCGCCCGTCGCCGTCGGTAGTCCGACACAACAGAACCCATCCGATGTTTGTCTGACCTATCCGACACGCCAGCGCCAGTCCGACGTTTGTCTGACCTATCCGACGCACCAGCGCCCGTCGCTGTCGGTAGTCCGACACACCGGCGCCAGTCCGATGTTTGTCTCGCCTATCCGACACAGCAGCGCCCGTCGCTGCCGGTAGTCCGACATACTGGCGCCAGTCCGATGTTTGTCTCACCTATCCGACACACCAGCGTCAGTCCTATGTTTATCTCACCTATCCGACATACCAGCGCACGTCGCTGACGGTAATCCGACACACCGGCGCCAGTCCGATGTTTGTCTCGCCTATCCGACACATCGGAACTAATCGTGATAACGGGCGCCAGTCGTGACTGATGGTCCGACACATGGGCGCCAGTCGCGGCTGATGGTCCGACACGTGGGCGCCAGTCGTGGCTCATGGTCCCACACATGGGCGCCAGTCGTGGCTCATGGTCCGACACATGGGCGCGAGTCGGGGCTGATGATCCGACACACGGGCGCGAGTCGTGGCTGATGGTCCGACACATGGGCGCCAGTCGTGGCTCATGGTCCGACACATGGGCACCAGTTGTGGCTGATGATCCGACACATGGGTGGCAGTCGTGGCTGGTGGTCCGACATACGGGCGCCAGTCGGGGCTGACGGTCCGGCACACGGGCGCGAGTTGTGGCTACTGGTCCGACACATGGGCGCCAGTTGTTGTTAATGGTCCGACACACGGGCGCCAGTCGTGGCTAATGGTCCGACACATGAGCGCCAGGGGCGGCCGGCAGCCTAGCCGACAGTAACGGACAGCAGAAACGTTCAGGACGCCAATTTGTTCGCACGAACCGCACCATTCCCTCATAGCGCGTCGCGTTTGGCAGTCCGCTGTACTGACCGGCGGCAGTCGCATGTGTCATTCGCAGCGGCGCTCGTCACGTCCGGCAGTCCAGCAGACAGCAGACGGCACTCGCAGCACTGCTACCGGCTCCGGACGGTCGGGTGGTCGCCATGTGCCAGCGTCGACCGTGCGTCCATCGTGCATTGTCGTTTGCGAGAGGTCACGCGCACACGCACACACCCGTGTCGACGCAGGCTCGACCGTTTATTCAGGCGCTCCGACGTTTGTCGTACAACTTAACCTACGCTCCGCACATGGGAGGCCGCGAGGGAGGGGCTCATCTTCGTCCTGTCCGCAGGTCCGTCTCCGATCATCTTACAGCTAGTGCCGGCCCGGGCCGGGCCGACCAGTCTATACACACAAGTGTCCCGTCTTCGCGCGGCACGAGCGCGGTCGAGGCGGTCACGCGTCCGACGACCGTCGCGGGAAAGTAGACAAAAAGAGGGAGAACAGAAACGTCGAGCGATCATACGAACATCTCTACAGCTAGGCCGTGTAACTAGGTGCGTGTAGTGTGTGGCGCGGCGCGCATGATGGTTGTCGTCACGAGTCAGCCGGTCCCGGAGCCGAGTCCGTCGGTGGCGTGAGTCTGTCAGAGCCTGCGGGCACACACACGCGTCAGCTGGCGTCCGCCCGACGCCCGCTCGGCTCCGTCCGGCGCCGGGCCGCCGCGCCGGGCGGCTGCGACACCGGCGCCGCGCGCGGCCGGGGCGGTGCCGGCGGCTACGACGCCGGCGCCGCGGCCAGGCCCGCGCGGGGACGGCCGCCCGCCTCCGACCTGCTCTCGCGTGCCGCGAGGTCACGGCCGGCGAGCGACGAGCAGACCTGATCCGACCACCAAATCAGCCTCGGGTCGGGGCGGGAATACAACGTGAACACACAAGGCGCCCGGCGCGTCGCTCGTGAGCCTGGTCCGACGGCCAAGTCGCGTCCGGGTCAGTGCCGGGGTCGGCACGGCGTCAGCGGAGCGGCCCACCCAGCCCAGCCCTCCCCAGTCGGGCAGACGGGACGCGGGGAGCGGCGGCCGGGCGGGGCGAGAAGCGGCGGCGCCGTCGACTGACCTGTCCAGCGTTTGATTTCCTCAGAACTGCTGGTCGTCGATTTTGATGCGCTTCCGGCCGGTGTCGACCTTGTCCTGCGGCTCGGCGGGCATCACCTTCAGCCTGGCGCCGCACAGCTCCTGGCCCGTGCAGCGTCTGCGGCGAGGGAGCGCACGCCGCGTCCGTCACAGCCCGCCCGGCAGAGGCGGCGCGGGGAGCACGGCACGGCCGCCGGCCCACAGCCAGCAGACGTGCTGCCGCCTACACACCGGGGGTGCTCGTCAAACCGGCCTGATCACGGCCATGCAGCAAGGAGAGCGAGCTTTCCACCGGACTGGTCACGGACAACAACGAGCGTCCACGAGCGCATCTTTTGCGTGTATCGAGCGTCAGCTGCGGCCAGGGACGCCGCTGCACACGCTGAAGCGGCGGCCCTGTGCGGCCGCCCGCCACCATCGCCGCGTCCCCGCCAGGCCGCCGGCCGAGACCCACCTGGATCGCCTTGTCGGCCGACTCCTTGCACGCGTACTTGGCGTAGCCGCACGTCTTGCCGTTCAGGATGTAGATGTCGATGAGGTTGCCGAAGCGGGCGAACACATCCTTCAGCGCGTACGGCGGCGGCGGCGCCGGATGACAGACGATGAATAGCCTGGGCCGGGCGCACGCGCGGTCAGTCGGGGTGCCGCCACGCGTTCGCGGCTCGCCGGCTACTCGCCAGTCGTCAGCCACGGTCATATGTGCGTGACATGCGACGGTTTGCAGCTGCACGGCGTGACCGAACGGCCTGGCTTCTGCCGTGGGCACCCAGTCTGTTCGTCGTCACTTACTAAATCACAGCGGGGAGATCGACACACTACCAACGCAACATTCACAGCGTTATGCTTAAGTTGGAAGGTCGACTTAATCACAGTCAACTTCAGGGCGATAAACCCACAGTCTGCGGCAATTTGAAAAAAAACAATCCAGTAGTTACCAGACGGAAAATGCAGTTTTCTGCCCAGACCGCACTCTAATCGTTTGAAGGGAACTTACTAAAGGTTGCAGCTTAGTCAATTTTCGCCCCCCCCCCCCCCTCCCCTCCAGTACCGCAGCAGTCTTCAGAAGTCGGGGTAATCAATTCAACTCGCAGGCACATCGTCAAAGGGGAGAGGGGGGGGGGGGCTTGTGATATCGGACCACTCATCAGCAGAGCATGCACCCGGGTCCCGTTTGAAACACTGTAGAACGGTCCGCGGAGTGGGTCTTTGCTGACTTCGATTTGGGTCGGGCATTTTCAAAACCCGGGACGAATCATACTATGGTTAACGTTTTATACACGGCAAGCTTCAGTGATTATCTCCTCCCCCCCCCCCCCCCCCCACACACATAAAAAGCAACACAAAAGGGGTTTGACGTCGGTCGCAGTTGCTGTCGTACCGAACGATGTTCGAACTACGCGAATGCGCAATGTGATGCATGTGACACAAAATACGGAAACGAACTCCATGTCCATCAGTGTGGGAAAAAGCCTCCGTTTTCTGGTGGATGTGGCACCAGGAAATTTTGTACTCCAGGCTCTTGACCGGCAAGAACGACAATTTTTGTACTCCAAACGCTGCAGTCCGCCCCACAAAGCAAAGGCACCATTGCAAATGTATGAGCCTGAGTATAAGTACCAAGGCAGACAGGTTTTGCTTTCTTGATAGCCAGGAGGGTGCATGAACTTCGTTGTCAGAAAGTGAGTCATAAAGTTTATTTATTTCCAGGGACCAAACATATGGAGCCCCGAGAAATGGAAACAAGCATCTGCAATCCAGCAGGAGCTGGCCAATCCAGGGTGTTCATGTCAATGTCCTTCATCATTGTATTACATGGGTTAGATGCACTTGTACAAGCCTATGCAACTCCCGAAGGGTGATGACGACTCATGTGAGCTACTTCTGTGGAAATGAAGTAAACTGGAATATGAAATGTGATTGTTTTAAGTACCTACCGCTGCCACATACCTCAGATGTCACCTGTGGCGAAAATATATGGCGCACCTGAGTAAGACCGCATTCTCCACGACGCACACACCTGCCGATACCTCTCTCAAGAAACGGACAAACACATCACGGCGCCGGCTCCCACCACGCGACGAACCCATCGCCTCCCGTACCCGAAACTTATGGCAGCCCACCGTCCTGCAACTGACGAGTGCATTCTCGCGTAGTGAAGGCCCGCGTCGGAAGAAAGGGACACCTAAAACAATGTTCGTTCGACCGGAAAACCACTAGCAGCACGAAAATCACCAACGGCGCATCTATTTCAACTAGATCATTCAAAGACTCGCAGAGCAAGAAGTCCAGGATGCCAACTATGCTCTTAACTTACCTCATGTTAAGAAAACATGTTAGCGATTTTACCAAAGGGCGTGCATTTCGCAGTTTGGTGGGAAAATTCCAAAATGTTGCAGATTGAACATCATTTTCAAAGCGCTTGTTTCATTCCTGCCCCTGCCATACCAACCACCAATCATCACCCAACTTGCAATTCAATTGAAAAGCATAGCATTCAAACACACCACATATCGGCACTTTTAAGAATCATGACATTAAATGACATCCAAATATCACGTTTGTGGGCGGCACTTTTGGTGGTAACGGCTTCTTTTGGGTTATGAAATGTCATCGGGAATTACGTTCCCAAAATGGGAGCTTGTGGCATGCAGCATTCCAAAACTTATCATTACTATTGTGTAAATGATAGTAAGTCAACCACTTGTTAAGAAATCGGTAAATGCCGGCCTTTGAAGATTCGAGGATATCTTACTTATTTAACAACGGTGTCACGTCTCCGGGCTCAACCAGTACCTGTACTCGTAAGATAGAGACGGTCCATAACCCGGTGGGAAAAAATCGCAGTACTTGGTTGCCCTCCTCACAATGGGGACTACGGGAAGACCCGGAGAGAACGAGCCGGAGTACAAGCCGGAGAACAGCAAGTTTTTGGCAAGGTTAGCCAAATTTTATTGAAAAATTTACGTGTTTTGGTATCGCCCAGCCACGGCCTTCCTTAGAGGGTGTTAAAATGACGTGAGATGCCTTAGAATAATAAATATCAATCGATTTGTAGTACAGGTACTGCATTATCTCGGCGTTGTCTTGCGCCACCAGAAGATAAGATATATTTGTAGGTGGCAAATTACAACTTGAAATGCATGGCTGTAAGGCCCTATGATTTTTCTACCACAAACTTAACAATTTGTGTTGGTGCAACTGGATAAATGGCTTTTCTTAGACTATTCATCACAGCCTGTCATTTCAGGAACGACCCGTGGTACTTGTACTTGGTTGGCCCCTTGACGAGTGCTAGAATGCCATCACAATGTCTGGGAATGCGCCAGAACTCCTGTGCGTGGTTTGGTTGTTTGTCTTGATGTGGTGGGAGCAGGGCTATGGTGGGAGTGAGGAGGGCGGAGCGGGAGTGTAGCTGCTTGGGATTATGTGCATCGTGGTTGCGAGTTTGAGTTACTCAGTGAGGCAAAATGGAATTTGTTGTCTTCAATTTTCACACAGCATGCATACACACTTCTAAAGTTGGTTGGGATTTAGTTTTGGACCGCTATTAAGTCATTCCAAAAAAGGTAAATAAGTGCCTGGAAGCTGATCTACAAATGTTTACCACTGCAGACCGATGTAAAATTACCTTGTTATAACCTGCTCTACCTACAGCATGGTGGGTAGGTACATAGGTACTAAGGTATCTATATACAACATTAATGCTAGGTTTGGGTTTCCCATGTGGGATCAAATATAAGGCTGACCTGTTTTCAGCCTGTGGTTATAATTGCTGTAACCTGACAGGTGGCAATGCTGCCATGTTCCTTGCTGTCAGACATTAGGTCCTGCAGTGACACTATTAAAATTCTCCCTGCATAGGATCATCGGGGACTTGGAGAAATGGAGAGGCATAGAGGAGGTGCATGAAGAGAGGAGGAGCAGAAGTGGAGGAGGAGTGGAGAGGCATAGAGGAGGTGCATGAAGAGAGGAGGAGCAGAAGTGGAGGAGGAGTGGAAGGAGAAGAGTGACAGAAAGAGCAGGGAAGGAACTGAAAGAGGAGAAGAGCAGAAAGAGAAGAATGGGAAGAGGAACACTTTTGGTATGTTTATATTAATTCTGCTAAGGCTTCAAGGACTTCATGTTAGTGATGTCACATACATAAGGCTTTCATAGTCAGCTGCAGCTGCCTAAGAGTTATAAAAAAAACAGGGTGTCATGCAAAGTGTCTGTCCACAATTCAGTTTGTCAGTAAGCAGAGGATGCATCTGGTTTATCATTTCGACAGTGTATAAGTTTGCATGTAGATAGGTAATGATATGTAAATGAGTTTTGTATGATGCACCTGTGAATGTATATGTATAAAATTTTGTTGTTAACCCCTCTAACTGTATACTTCTTAACACATACCCTTAATCAATCTTTGCATGTTTAGGCGAGCTAGTAGCACTACCCGGATATGGATGGGATCAGCATGGCACCCTCACTCACAGGAAGTGTTCTGTTCCACTGAAATGCAAAATGGCATGCTGACTAATTTTTGTCTGAAAAACACTGGGAAAATGTTGATGCATTAAACGCAGTGTGTAGTGTACTCCAACCAAGGCCCATTGTGCAGACACTCATTCCACATTAGACAGACTTCTGCTTGCAGACAAGTTTGCACTCCAACCGCGAAAATTTTTGTACTCCGCCACCAGCAAAAAAAAAAAAAAAACAACTAAATTTCCCACCCTGATGTCCGTCCTGCGAACAAGACGATACACTACTTGCCACGGTTCCAATCACCTTCTTCAATCACTTCCCACAGGCAAAACTACCATACCACACCCAGGTCCGCTGCTCCGTATACAAACCACCCTGAAGACATCGCAGCACGACCGTGGAGGGACACCAGCGAATCCCCTTATCAATCCCGGTCACAGCCAGTCGGCTGGGCCGCCACCGGCCGGCTCGCGGGGCGCGGCAGCGCCGCCTGGAGCGCGGCTCGTCTCACCTCTCTGCCACGGTGGAGTCGAGCGCTGCGAGCGGCTGCGCCGCCGGCAGCTTGGCCGAGCAGTAGGTCGGGTCGTAGTGCTCGAACATCACCATGCCGGTCGGGCCGGGCGGCAGGGCCGACGCGCCGGACATGGGCGAGCCGGCGTTCGCGTCGGCGCCGGCGCCTGCGGCACACGGCAGCGCCATCAGTCGGCGCCGCCGACGCTCGGGCCGCGCGGAGTCGCCCGGGCGGAGGCGAGGCCAGGCGGGCGGGGCGGGCTCCGCCGCCGCCGCCGGCCTCGCCGAACACGCGCCGACGCCCAACCTTGAGTGAGACGCGAAAACCGACTCACCACACCCCACACCTCCCAACAGCACCGCCCCTCGCTCGCCCACCGACCCAGACGATAACCCGCACACGCACCAACACGACAATTGAGCGGCGCGACAGCCGTCACAAGCCCCCGGCGCGAGGGGAGCGGCCGCGTCGGGCGCGCCAACTGACCGTGCGGGTTGATGCCGGCGGCCTGGATGAGCGAGGTAGCCTGCGCGATCGTCTCGGCCAGGTGCGCCAGGTCCGTCTGCAGGTTGCCGGACGGCCGCGCCGCGCCAGCCGGCGACAGCGCCGACGAGCCGTTTCCGACGCCGCCCGGCTGCTGCGGCGGCGGCATCATCGGCATGCGCGGCATCATCGGCGGCGGCGGCATCATCGAGTGCTGGCCCATCCTGCGGCGCGGCCGGGCGGCGTCAGCGCCGCGCACAGCAGCGCACGCGGCCGCAGCGGGCACCGGGAGCAAGGGCCGAACCGTAGAACTTAGTGAAATCCCTTGGGGGAGTGGGATTTTCGCTGGACATGGCTTTTACTGTTGTGAGTGTTGTCAGCAAGTTTTGGGCGGTTTATCTTCCCATGGACGCAAATTTCAACAGTGGGACAACCCAGGGCGATACAAAACTTCACGATGCACAGGCACCGACTACGGGGCACTGCCTACGGGGCGGTATGGCCGTCGGCCTCCAGAACGAATAGGTGTGCCGCGGAATACCGCAGTTACAGTGCCAGGACAAGCACACTGGTCGACGACACTGGAACGTAGTTCTTGGGTTGTGGTCACCTCCAATATATATATATATATATATATATATATATATATATATATATATATATATATATATATATATATCATGTGATATGAATCGCCTCTGACACCGAGGGCAGGGCATACCCAACGACAATGGAGCTGATCCTACCAATATTACTAACCCATTGTGTCGTTGAGTGGCGACAGAAACACCACGCGATAGGTACATGGCAGGTTGAGAGCTGAGACAACTGCTTATATGCGTTCGCACAATTCGCACTAACATCGGCAATGCACCATCGTCCATGGATGAATTACACCCCCATTCGGTTACCAATCACTCGGCTGTACCCGTGCGTGACGCACCATCGCACCAGCACCCCAATCAGCACGCATGTCAATGGACTCGGCCCTTCTGGCACGCAAAGACCCGGACTTCCAGTCCCAGCAAGGGCCGCCTCGTTCTGCTCCTATATGATATGCAGACGTCTCTCCGCCCACCACTGACACAGGCGACCGACCGTTTTGCTCTTCACACCTGACGCTGTCTGTCGCAGAGCGACGCGCGGAGCAACAAACCCTCCACACAAAAGCGCGGGCAGCTGAGCAGACCTCTCGAGTACGTAGTCTTGGCAGCGTGATATAGGTGGGCAAGAGGCTGCAGGAGCCTCTGATCAAACTCCGGGGTCCATTTCATCCTCTCCTCCGCGGGCAGCTGTCACGAGGCCCAGATTTCCCCCTGTGCGTTCCAAAACGCGCACCCACTACACTTTTCGCCATACGATAGATTCGCGTTGGAGGGCTCGGCACGCCCGTTGACGTCACAACTGCAGTGTAAGTCGTAGCAATCTTCGACTCGCCTATGAACCGTGCAGGCGATGCAGCGCGATCAACCGAGGCGTCACAACCGGCGGAGGTCAGGGGTCACAGGGGACCGGTAAGCCGGCTCAGGTGGCGTCGCACCCGCTCGGTAGGTCGGGGGTCACAGGGGACCGGCGTCCGCTACGCCCGCGGAGGCCGGGGGTCACAGAGGACAAGGATGCCAGCTCAGGTGGCGTCCCACCCGCTCGGCAGGCCGGGGGTCACAGGGGACCAGTAAGCCGGCTCAGGTGGCGTCCCACCCGCTCGGCAGGCCGGGGGTCACAGGGGACCGGGGAGCCGGCTCAGGTGGCGTCCAGCCCGCCCGGCAGACCGGAGGTCACAGGGGACCGGCGTCCGCTACGCCCGCGGAGGCCGGGGGTCACAGAGGACCGGCGTCCGCTACGCCCGCGGAGGCCGGGGGTCACAGAGGACCGGCGTCCGCTACGCCCGCGGAGGCCGGGGGTCACAGAGGACCGGCGTCCGCTACGCCCGCGGAGGCCGGGGGTCACAGAGGACCGGGGAGCCGGCTCAGGTAGCGTCCCGCCCGCTCGGAGCGCGTCACAGGAACGGAATGCAACGTCGGATTGGGGACGCGGCACGCGTGGTTCCGTCTGGCGGCGCGGCGACGCCTGCAAACGGCCACATTTGCATGCCGCTCCGGGGTCTCATTATGCCAGAGTGCGGCGCTGCAGCCCGCCGACCCGGGCGTACGCTGGGGGGCTGGCGGTGAAAGCGGCGCCTCCTGACGAGCCGGGTGATGTCGGCCGGTCCGCCAACCCGCTCGGGTCTGACTGCGCTCCCCGTGCGGTAATGTGGCGTGGTCTGACTACGTCTGCTCAGTTCCTCAAACCATTGCGCCGTTCCTGGCAGGACATAATTTATCAGTGCATACATTTTCGTAAACGTCATTCCTATAATATAAGAAGACTGTTCACCTCACAGCAGCACCAAGTTATCGGTAAGGGATTGGCACGCACAGGTTCTGGTGGGAATTCCCTACACTCAGCCTGGGCTAGCGCGCGACACCGGGACTCCCCGCCCCACCACCCGCTGCCCACCAGCGGGGACCTCACATTATGTCGTGGCCGGGGTCGAACTTGACGATCAGCCGGTGACCGGGCGGGTACTCGAAGCCGTGTAGCTTCTCTTTGGCGTACGCCGCCGACTGGATGCTGCTGAACTGCACGGACGCGAAGCCCTGGGCGCGGACGGGGCGGGGCGTCAGGCGGGGCCGGGGAGCGCGGTCTGGCTGGACCGGCGGCACGCGCCTACCGACGGCGCTGCACAGCCGGGGCCGGCACTCCGACGGCGTACCACTCGGAGAGCCATAGCATCGAAGGACTTTCACGTCCAAATGCCTGCCGCACCAACCGCCAACACCAACCGAACGGCACAAAACCAGCGGCGTACGTCATGCCATACGGCGGGCACCTCCAAAAGAGAACGGCAATTAGCAACCGCACGAGCGATTCCCGGCCGTGTAACAGCAGACGGCGGGGGACTGGGCGCCAGTGGAGGCGCCGCTCGGCAACGGCCCGCGCCGCTCACCTGCCCCGACTTCCTGTCGCGCCGCAGGTCGATGAAGTCCAGGCCGGGCACCAGGTCGAACAGCTTCCAGAGCTGGTCCTGGTTGAGTGTGGGTGAGGCCACCACGCCTAGCCGCGTGCACGCCTCGGCTGGCGGCGTGGCCTCCATTGGCGGCAGCGGCGCCATCTTGCCGGACGGCGGCGCTGCGGCGACGGGTCAGCGGTCAGGGGTCAGGTCAGCCGACGGGTCAGCAGTTATGGGTCAGGTAAGACGGCGGGTCAGCGGTCGGGGATCAGGTCACACGGCAGATCTGCGGTCGGGGGTCAGGTCAGACGGCGGGTCAGCCGTTATGGGTCAGGTCAGACGACGGGTCAGCGGTCGGGGATGAGGTCAGACGGTGGGTCTGCGGTCGGGGGTCAGGTCAGACGGCGGGTCAGCGGTTGCGGGTCAGGTCAGACGGCGGGTCAATGGAGGGACCGGGATAAAGGGACAGGAATGAAGGGACAGGTATGGAGGGCCAGGAGTGGAGGAACAGGGACAAAATCTGAAGACAGGGGGAATGGTGACTGAGGGACAACGTAGGGAGATACGACACAGACTGGAGACAGGGTGAACGAGTGGCGGCGGCACCACCAAAATTCTGCCGGCGACGCGGGACGAGTCACCAGCTTGGTCACGGGACGGGTCACCAGCACCGTCACGGGACAAGTCGCCAGCACCATCACGGGACAGGTCACCAGCACCGTCACAGAACGAGCCAGTGGCCAGCACCATCACGGGACAGGTCACCAGCACCGTCACAGAACAAGTCAGTGGCCTGCACCGTCACGGAACAAGTCACCAGCACCGTCACGGGACAGGTCACCAGCACCATCGCAGAACCAGTCAGTTGCCAGCACCATTACAGGACAAGTCACCAGCACCATCACGGGACAGGTCACCAGCACCGTCACGGAACGAGTCAGTGGCCAGCACCATTACGAGACAAGTCACCAGCACCGTCACAGGACGAGTCACCACCACCGTCACGAGACAAATCACCACCGCCATCACGGGACAAGTCACCAGCACCATCACGGGACGAGTCACCACCACCGTCACGGAACGAGTCAGTGGCCAGCACCGTCATGGGACAAGTCACAAGCTTGATCACGGGACAGGCCACCAGCACCGTCACGGGACAAGTCACCAGCACCGTCACGGAACGAGTCAGTGGCCAGCACCGTCATGGGACAAGTCACAAGCTTGATCACGGGACAGGTCACCAGCACCGTCACGGGACAAGTCACCAGCACCATCACGGGACAGGTCACCAGCACCGTCACGAAACAAGTCACCAGCACCGTCACGGGACAGGTCACCAGCACCATCACGGGACAGGTCACCAGCACCGTCACGAAACAAGTCACCAGCACCGTCACGGAACGAGTCAGTGGTCGGCACCATCACGACACCGTCACCTGGATGCAAATTGTTTCGTGAGTGCATGAAAAGCTGACTAACGAATGTCAAAGCGCGACCAAGCGCACGGCAGATGATGAGACAAACTGTAGGTGACCCCTCATCAAGCCCACAGTGACGGCGATACAGTAGGTACACATCAAGCCCACATCAAGCCCGCAGAGCGCGAGCCGCAACGCTGAATGAGTTACCAGCTTGCCCCTGGTACAGCGGCCTCTGCGACCGCTCCCAGCCCCGCCCGGTCGGGCCGCGGCCGCCAGCGGGCCTGCACTGACTGTAGGCCATCATGTCGAAGCCGGAGGACGACACGGAGCTGCCCGGGCCCGAGAGCATCATGCCGTCGTTCCGCATGTCCTTCTGCGGTTTTGGGTCGGCAAACATGGGCTTGAACGAGCGGTCGCAGTTCTCGTACGCCTTGGCCGCGTGCGACATCCTGGAAGACGGGGAACAGGTGACCAGGAGTGATACCACAGGATATGTTAAGCTGGTGCCACCATTAGGGAGCTCTGCTGTCTCAGCTGCTCTTTAGGAAAATCCTTATTCACTTGTCGGCGAGACGGGATAGCAGAATTTCGGTGGCACCAGAGAGTAGAACATGGGAGGCATAGGATAGTAGAATATCAGTGCACCAGATAGTAGAATACTAGTGGCACAAGATAGTAGAATATCAGTGGCACCGGATCGTGTTGCCTTCCGTGATCATTAAACATATGTAAGACTGTGCTGAAAAGAGGCATAATACGTCCCACATTCTGAACTATAGTGTTCAAGTTTCCACAGTGGTTTTCATACTAAAAAAAACACCACACTTGCAAAATTGTTCTGAGATTTCACAGACAACCTGGTCATATCTGGTCTGGTCCTATCTGGTCATATATATGAATCTGGTCATTAAAGGATAATCTGGTCATATTCAAGAAATTGAAACATGGAAACATAAAACACACGTTGGATGCAATTCCTAATCACAGGTTGACACAGTCACATCACTCGCCATGCCCGAGCCCGCCTACCTGTGATATTTGACGTAGCCGAAGCCCTTGCTCTCCTTTGTGGTGCGGTCCTTGACGATGGACACGTAGTCGATGTCGCCGAACGTCTGGAAGTGTTCCCTGAGCTCCGCCTCTGTCATGGCGCGCGGCACGACGACGAACAGCCGCAGCAGACGCTCCTCCTCGTTCTGCTCGCGCCGCGACCCCTGCTCTCGGCTGCGGCCACACCGGGCGCGGTCGTGAGCGCGCCGCTCCGTCGGCGGCGGCGGGCCGCACGGACACAGCGACGGCTAGAGGAATGGCGGAATGGCGCCCGGTGCGCAACAGCGGGGAGAGCACAGCACTAGGGCTGGGGCCAGCGCTAGCGCCGCCGGACCAAGCTTCAGTGCTAGCGGCGGCCCAACAGCAGTGGGTGTTGGCTGCACCGTGCGTCCATGATCTACCTCAAAGTGCATAAAAGCAACTATTGTGTTGTTCGGACAATCCATGGCACCTGGATATGCCTCCAGCTGCGAGGCATGTAACACAAGGGACCACGTTCACACAGTGACCCGGAGACCCCGCGTATGTACCTGTGTGCGATGAGGACCTTAAGTGGCCGTGGGTGATTACCGATGCACCTGCCGTTCATTTCCTCCATGGCCAAAGCTGCCTCAGATGTCTTGCTGAATTTGATGTAAGTGACACCTGCAACGGATCAGGAACAAGTTATGGCCACGCAGGAATTGAAACAAGACAGAAATCTGCCATGCCAAACACGACAAGCCAACCTCTTTCAGGTCCCACAAGAAACTTGGTTGAACCTTCACCACTTAATTTTGCAGTTGACCTAGAATTCCATGATCAGATAGGGTCAAGACCATAATGACTCAGTCTGAAAATCCCAAGAGGCATGCCGAAGACACAGAGGTGATGACTGATCACTCCACTGAAGCGCGAGTAATCCCCCACCGCCGGCGCAGACAGAGGCGAGGCCGCCTTCTGGAGCGATACAGCAAATGGACCAAGTGCATGGTGTGGGGTGTATGTGGAGGTGGATGCCGACGGACCTGCAAGCTGGGGACTGGATAGTGTAGTGTAGTGTAGTGCGCTACTAGTATGTGCGCCTGGGCGTGCCTCTATGGCCAGCTGCTAGAGGCTGGGGCTGATTGGTTGCCACAGTCTGTTTTTGCCTTTGCCTATGGCCTATGACTACACATAACTGATGTGTGCTGAATCAGTGACTAGCCTTGCTCACCATACATGAAATGAAATTAACAGCTGCCTTTAAAAGCCAAATTTTGCAACAATGTGCAGTAAAACTATCATTATTATTACTGCCATGTACTGCCATATATACTTTGGCTATGATATATGTCACACCAGGTTGCTGACCACCTGCCTATGAAATGGTTTGGTCCTGAATCCAAAGCATATTGGCAAATTCCAAAACTAGTGGGATTATGGCTACAACAAAAAAGCCTTGTACTTGATTGCATACTACCATGGGATACTCTTCAGAGCTTAGTTAATGCCTTTCCCTTCACTTAAAGTTTTACTTTGTGCTGTTATAATGAGGAAAACTTTTGACCTGGCCTGGACCTGGATGGAGCCAACTACACAGCAGAGGTTCTGAATTTATGGCACACTTTTGGTTCATAGCATGGTCAAAGGCAAGATGCTTTTAGGCAATTCAGCATATGGCTGGTGCCACATATCTTGTTGTTGTACCTGCCATGTTTGCCCTCAAAGGGATAAATAGCTTTGAGCCTTTATTAAAATGACATCCATCTAAGATTCATTGTAAAATGACGTAGTTGAATTTTTGAAAAGTAATAGTCCGCTTGGATTGATAATGCAACTTGAGAACAGGTATACATCTGGAACAGGTACACAGCAGGAGAACAGGTACACAGCATGGAAGGAGCCAACTTTGCTCTGTGCCATGCTCACCAGGTATAAATTCTATACATGCCAGTCAGATATCTTCATGCATATCTGCTATTAACTGCAATGCATTTCCACATTCATGATGGCCACTAAGTGGTGACTTTGACAGCAGCCAACAAATGTATGTAGTGGCTGGGTGTGTCATCTATGTGGTCACTTCCACTGAAATCTGCACTAAATCTTGAAAAGCCAAGTATAACAACCTTTGACTTGTTCCTGTTAGAAGCACCTCACTGCCTTTGAGGCCATCCATGGAAGATGGTTAACTGATCACAGCACTATATACCAGAATGCAATGCATGCATGCTGTGCTGAACATGTCCAACATAGCTGTGACATTACAGCAATTTCAGCTCACAATTCTAGTAAATCTGAGTGCTCAGAACTGTTGGTACACAGCCAGCTCTGCTCTGAGTGGGTAGTGAGCTAAAGTTCAAGAAGTGTGATGCTGCAATGACAATATCAGACACAGATAGTCCAAGCTGCTTTTGGCAAGCAAATGTTGTCAAAATTTTGTTCAAGTTCACCTGCCATATGACTGAGGCACACAAGCTCAAGGTTAAGTATACCAACATTGTATAAGTGTTTATCTCTAGAGAGACTATTTTGCCTGTTGGGCTGGGTAGAGTTTAAAAAGTTCCTGTCAAAACATGACAGGCTCTCTCATTCCAACATACACTGTGCATATCAGCAATAGCTATTTCTTTAACTCTTATGCAGAAATCACCAGAACTACCATATATGTGTTCAGATCCTTGAGAAATGTAAGCCCTGGCAGGTATACTTACAGATCTCAAAATACATCACATAAAAAAATAGAGCTGGATGTTTCATATGGTGCAAGGCACTGATGCAGCCTACCAATCACTGGATATCTTGACAAGATCTTGCTAGGGCAAAGCTAGGATTTAACCTTTAACTTGGGGCTGCATGTCAAAATTTGGTGTCCAAAATTGTTGATTTGAAGCACTGAGGGTATCATATTCTGTTTTATAGCATACAAATATGACTAGTTCACAGAAAATGGACAAATATCATGGTGAATCATATTTTGAAAGCAAATTTCACAAAATCTAACCTAAATAGAAGAGGACACTACTCTCTTTAGGCAGGATTGTCTGACAAAAGAATTGTGTTGGAATATGTGTCATGGTTTGCAGATTATACAATACTGTGCCTTATTGGTCAGGCTGATATGCAGGATCAAATTTAAGCATCTCAATTTGGTATGGTGCATCCAATTTTACTAGCACTTCACTGACCTGTACATCATGACACAGCTTATGATAATCACATTATACTTAATAAAAACATGTACTTACCCTTAGGTTCACCTGTTGCTCTGTCCTTCACAACCCATACTTCCGAGACAGTTCCATATTTGGAAAAACACTCTCTGAAATCATCTTCTGTGATTGACTTCCCACAAACGATGAAGAGTCTAGAATTGGGTGGATCACCATATTTTCCTTCCTTGTTGAATCTTCCACCATCTGAACCCATGAAGTCTCTCATCTCACCATTCGTTCGCCGCGAACTTCCACTTCTATAACTACTCGTGCTTCCAGAATCACCCCTTGAATCAGCCATCTTGAATAATGAGGACGATGGATGCCCTAATGAAAACCCTGCACAAAATGAGGCACACTATCTACTTTGGCAAATCCTCAGCGGCAATGCGACAATCCCGAAGCCATTTGTCAAAGATCACTGAGCCCAATTAGATAAGAGTCGATCACTAACAATATTGAATTAAATGACCAGTATTTTTCTGATAACAGTCCTGGAATAATACAGAATTGATCTTATGACAAAAGCTCCTTTAGATTATCGGTAACATCAATTTCCCAGCCGATCACTTTCACTTGCATCAAGTATCAAGTACAAGAATAGCGTGTATCATTTGGAACATCTCTAAAAGAAAGCTGTCACGCAATACAGCGCACTGTTACATATTTGGAACATCTTGTTTTGATCCGTTGCTAGCCGCGAGATTTAACTGAGCAACGCATGCCTGGAAAAGCGCGCGCCGGCGCCATTATCTCTGGCCTGTTGACTTTTGGGAGGTCATCACCAGTATTTTCCTCGCATGTACGCGTTGTATGCCTCGCTCCAATGCGCCTCGTTACGTCGGGAAGCGTTAAAGCATGTCCTCAAGTCTACAAACTCTGATAACCATGCCGATGAGACGTTTGGGGCAGACGGGATTCTGTCCCAGGGTGGGGATTGTAGGCCTGTCCCATTTCGGGGAATTTTTTAACTCGTGTTAACCCAAAACACTTGCCAGCAGGTTTGATAATTGTCTGTGGTCCCATCAGTTTTGTGTATAATGTAGCACAGGATATCCTTACTAGTTCAATAAATTATACCCTAAAATTTTGGCAAACAATACAGACTGGAAAATGTGCCCCACCCCCAGTGCATTTTTAATAGAAGTAAATGTCAGCAGCATACAGAAATCACATTCTGATCATGGGGCATATGGGTTCTGGGTCCAGGGTCTATATCAACAGTGAATGGCATAGCCATGCAGTGACCATGCAATCTCCTGTGGATGTGCATTGATGCTGCTCCAAAGTATTATGTCTTCTCAACCAGGCTACAAAATATTTTGGCATGCAGTGATGCCATGACAAATCCAAAAACAAGAAACAAGGATCTTGTGCCACCAGGAGACAGATATTTCAACATTCTTCATATCACCTATTGTTAGAAAAGGGAGGGTTAACCATGGGAGCTCTGGTTTTCTGCATGGCTACTACATGACTATGTTTTCCACTGAGAGTGTTCAGTTACAAGGTCATTTCTTGTGTTAAAGTATTTTTTAGAATGCAAATGTTATTCAAATGATAGAAAACTTCCTCATAAGAATTAAATCAAGGGACCCATGATGTTCTCTCTCACTTGTTTTTGCTGAGCAATAGGATAGCCTGTTTGTCATGCACTTATACTTGGCTGAACAGAACATTACCAGTACAATCTATGGCTACCATTTAGGCCAGTTGGGCATATTTTCCATAAGCAATATGTCTCCAAATATTACAAGCTTGCATCTGCCAAAATTGCATCTGCTTTTGTCTGCCTGTACCATTGCTTGGCACTTGGGTATGTATGTTAGTTCTTGGTTGGTGATTGGTACAAGATTTCTGATGTGCTAGGAATGGCATTACATCACACTACTTGATTGAATTTAGGAGATACCCAAAAATGAGTTGAGCTGGCTCTGGGTTATCAGTTTGTGCTGGTCTGTTACTGCATTGCATAATATGCATTCAAACTTCAGGACTCAGCAGAGGTTAGATGATTCTCATAAGCAAATATGACATCCCTGAAGCAGGATAATATTCTATCATGTAAGACCTCAGCAGTGAAACAATTTGGAAGATGTACCAATAGTCATACCTCAGAGTTGCCACAAACAGACATGGGAATCAATAAAATACAGGTAAGTACCTGCAGGGGATATACTCAAAAACATGTTACCCAAAATTTGTGATATTGTGATTTCAACATAATCACCAACTGCACTGTGAACCTTGTGTCACCCCAACTTGCAGTGGTCATGATGTCTGCTGCTCTGCAGCATATACTATGATACATTCCAGTGCTGGGATATCACAACATTGTGTCATTGTATGGCTGCACACCATGCTCTCAACCTACAAGGCCATCAATATTTGCTGCACTGCATCCACAGCCATAAGATCCGTGACTTGATGCCTGATCTTGACATCGCAGGTTCAAATCATCAAGGACGTGCGGCGTCCGGCCGCCGGTGGGGCGGCGGCAGGCGGGCCCCGCTGCCGCCAGCGGCAGCCGGTGCTAGGGCCGCCGACTGGCCGCGGCCGCCGCACGGGGACGGTCGTGCTCCGACTGACGGTGGATCGTCGGCGGGCGGATCGCGTGCTGCGCACGCGGCCACAACACACGCTTCAAGGTCAGTGCGTGGGCCTGTGGCCACAAACACCGCTTTCAGAAGGTCAGTGCTGGGCTGTGGCCACAAACACTGCTTCAGGGTCAGTGCTGGGCTGTGGCCACAAGCATCGCTTCAGGGTCGGTGCTGGGCTGTGGCCACAAACACCGCTTCAAGGTCGGTGCTGGGCTGTGGCCACAAGCATCGCTTCAGGATCGGTGCTGGGCTGTGGCCACAAACACCGCTTCAAGGTCAGTGCTGGGCTGTAGCCACAAACACCGCTTCAGGTCAGTGCTGGGCTGTGGCCAAACACGCTTCAGGATCGGTGCTGGGCTGTGGCCACAAACACCGCTTCAAGGTCAGTGCTGGGCTGTAGCCACAAACACCGCTTCAGGGTCAGTGCTGGGCTGTGGCCACAAACACTGCTTCAGGGTCAGTGCTGGGCTGTGGCCACAAACACCGCTTCAGGGTCAGTGCCTGGGCTGTGGCCACACACACTGCTTCAGGGTCAGTGCTGGGTCACGGTCACGAGCACCGGTTCAGGGTCAGTGTTGCGCGGCGCGCTGTCATGCATCCGTGGCTCCACACCAGGTTTTTACCGAAACCGGGCTTCCAGGCGCGCCTGCTGTAGGAGTTATACTCGCTGTTGTGCTGGGATGGAAGTGTTCCTTTTTTGTCCGTTTTTGTTCCTTTTTTGTCCGTCACGTTTGTCTGTTGCTCCAGTAACCAGTGCTGTCGTGTGGAAGCAAGTGTTGCGCCCCGTAGGCTGCTCAGCGGTAATATAAAGGAGATGCCAGAGTTGCTCTAACCCTGTGAGTTGGCAGACCCCACGGCACTGGACCCAGTGCGTTCGTGCCACACCATTGAATTGGAAAGCGGCGTTATCAGCTGTGCTAGCTCGCCCTCTGCCAGCTCCTCCCCCCGTCCTTGGTTAGCTCGGTGGACGGAGACGTGTCACCGTCACCGGTCGCCGTCAGGTGGTGGACCAGAGCACCAACCCGCCGCCGCTGGAGCTGCCGCCCGACGCCAGCAGTCTGGTGCTGCCCGAGGCCGACTGCAGGCGCCACTACATGCTCTTCACCAACAGCGCTGGCAGGGTCACCAAAAGCTGGATGTGTGGGATCTGTGAGTGGCAGGCTAGCAACACAGTCAGTATTGGTTGTGGCTTTTAAGCATATCAAATTATGGGAAATGACTATTTTTAGGCTACTGATGCATCACCTTTGCAACTTCAAGTCGTCTGTGATGAGAAAAGTCAATGCTTCATTGTTGCTGGTCTTCAAGTTATGCCCTGATGAAAACGGTCAGGTTTGAACTCACTTTATTACATGCAATTTTTCTGTTACATTTGCGTGCATTGTTATACCACATTTAATCCAGCAATATTGTATGTACTGGTACGTGAAAACCATCGTCCGATTGTTGCAGTGGCATTTATGGACGGTGACCTCTTCCACACAATCCTGTGCCCGGTGTATCCTTCCCGATCTCTGTTTGCACCAGGTGGTAAAGAGTTCCCCAAGCAGTACGCTCTGATGCGGCATCTGCGGATGCGCCACCTCAACGTGCGGCTGTTCCGGTGCAGCACGTGCGACAAGGCGTTCAAGACGGTGGGTGTTGACGCCGCCGCCACGCTGGCGCCGATGGGCACACGGGCCCATTGACCGGTGCGTCGCCGCCGCTGCCGCCGCCGCCGCCGCCGCCACCGCTGTCGGCGGGACCTCCGTTGACCCTTGGCCGTTGCGTCGGCAGAGGATGGTGCTGATGCGCCACTGCGCCTGCCACTCGACCCTGCGGCCGTACGTCTGCGGCGTCTGCCAGAAGCGCTTCAGCCGGGCAACGGCGCTCGTCCAGCACGGGCCCGTGCACTCGGCACACAAGCGCTTCGCCTGCCACTGCGGCAAGCGCTTCCACCAGAAGGGTGAGTGGCGCCGGTACGGGCAGGCCTGGGCTGGTGGCACGAGGCGGATTTGGGCTGATCGTACGGAGCGTACCTAGGGTGATGGTATGGGGCGCACCTGAGCTGGTGGTACAGGGCGCACCTGGGCTGATGGTATGGGGCTGATGGTACGAGGCGGACCTGGGCTGATGGTATGGGGCTGATGGTACGAGGCGGACCTGGGCTGGTGGTACGGAGCGGACCTGGGCTTTTACGAGAAGCCCTCCCAAATGCTAGCGACAATGCAAAATCTGGGCTTTTAAGGAACGATTGGAGAAGACTACCTCCGCAGCCCAAGAAGAACGAGTCCAGTCTAAATAGCTGCAGATGTGTTAAGTCAAATTTGGACTCACAAGTTGGCATTTTTCATTTCATATGATGCCACTGTGCTGCATCACTTCGCTGTTCAGGTGTAGGTGTAAAGCGTGGCTGTTCTGAGCATATTTTCCATGAATTCTTGTCTGTAAAAAATCAGAACAAAGAAAAATAGCTTCAGAATATCACAAATTTAAGTGTCAAAGACATGAAAACTGCGAAAACTGTAAAATCAGTGTTGCGCGGGAGGTATTGCGGGGCGTTCAATGTGTCGCGGTGCCTGTGTTCCCAGCGAACTTGGTAGTCCATCAGCGGACGCACCAAAACTTGAGCAAGATGTCCGCGGCAAGCAAACTGGCGAGCTCGCGCCCAGCCTCGCCGCCACACCATCCGATCTTCAAATGTTTCAACTGCGACAGTGAACTGGACTCACTGCAGGCCTTCCGGGATCACCAGCAGAGGGTACGTGACTGGGCTGTGGCAGGTTACCTGGGCTCGCTGCAGGCCTTCCGAGATCACCAGCAGGGGTAGGTAGCCGGGCTGTGGTAGACCCCCCCCCCCCCCCAGTTGCGGGCTGGACACCACAACTGGGGGGGGGGGGGGGGGGTCCCCGCGCTGTAGGTCTGTTGCAACTGGTGCGGGAGTGATAGGGGCCACTTTGCTTCGTATGACGCCGTTGGGTGCCTTAGCGTGTCGTCTTCGTGGACTTAGATGTGTGATGAAATGCTCCGTCTTTGGAACATTAAAGTCTTTTTAAGCGCAGATATTATTGGTCACGCACAGACGTCAGTTGTTATCGAATTAAAAATCAAATTAGAAAACAAATTGGATATCAAGTTAGAAGAGGAAGGAAAGTCCGGGGCGTCCACGAGCATTAATTGTCGAATGCCGAGGAGAAATTACAGACGTTGTCCTCCCCACATTGTGCTGCTTCTGTGGGGAAGGGGGGATGCTGTGGCGGGGTGCCTGCGCTGCGCTGCTGCCGGGCTGTCGCTGGGTGTGTGCGCCGCCGGCTGCGGCCGTCACACCTCTCCACAAGAGCGAATTTATACTGAGGAGCCCGTTGGTCAGCATACTGGCCAGATGATGTTAGCGCACGACTCGGCACGTTGTGACTCTGGTATACCCGACATCAACACACACTCTTGTGGGCCACGTAGCTAGGGTAAAACGGGTGACCGGGGCTTTGGCGTGATGGTAGGTCCGGTCAGGCACCATGAACGGCTGTCTCCCCGTACATAACTGTGCACCCTTAACCACGGTATCCCACTTCCACCTTTTTAGTTGATAATAATATTTAAACGGGGCACGAACGGAACCAGATGCAGTGATAATATGCCCAACTGGCGGGGATCACACGCAACCGACGTATTACACTGGCAATGGTCCGCTGGATGGCGACCCTGAGAGTCCCCCTCGGACCTCACTAATCCACGTGGACTCCATGCATCCGGCGCCCCACCACAATCGCGCCAAGCATTCACATCCGCCGGCGCCCACGTCACCCCACTCATTCTCGGCTCGCACAGGGATGGAACTGCCTCCCACTTTTTTATCCAGCGCCTTGGCATTTAACTGGCTAGTCTGCGTGAGCCCTCGTTACGATGAATTAAGTTTATTTATCACATTTCAAACATTCAGTACAGCCAACTTTAAGCGCTATTTAAAATATACCATGTCAATTTATCAGCTCGGCATCGACGCAGCTACTGGGCCGACATTAGGTTTCCGAAGCTGGACGACTCGTTCCCCTGCCTGACCTCCAGGGTGACGGCTCCCTATTCGAACGACTCTTCCCGCGTTCCGTTCACGGTGGGCGTCCCAGCATTTTTCGGCCACGCCCACCGCTCGCAGCTTTCCGCTGCTGCGCACGCGCCTGAGGCAGCGCCTCGTCCAGGACGGAAGCGTCGCCTCCGGCGCCTCTGCCCTCCGCCTGCCACCTGCCGGAGGAAGCTTTGCATGACACTGCCCCACGGCGCGTCCCTTAGAGGCCTGAAGAAAGACAGCGCGCCCGATGGGACGGTGGAGCCCCTCGGCAGACGGCGAGCGACCGGCTTAACCTGCGTTCACGCCGTACGGTTTTCTCGGCTGGCGCGCTCTCGAGACTCGGCCTGACCGGCCTGTCCGACGACCTAGTTCCTTGTCGCCCTTCCTTTGAGCGTCGAAGGCGGGATCTCTATCCGTCCCGAACATCCCGCCATCAAGCCCTCATAAGGCCTGGCGTAAACCACGCCGGAGGGGAGCATGCTGTGCGCTGTTTTCCCCTAAGGCATGGTACGCCGACGGATAGATCCAACTACTGCCGTGCATAGTCCGGCACCCCGGGCGGTCCCCACCGGTCCCTGGTCAAACTATGGCATATGCCTCTTCATGCCGTCACGCCTGAGGTCAAGTGAGAGACAACGAAACTAGTCAGGCGTCTTCTAGTCCAAAACGGAGAGTGAAACCATGTCTTCAAGTCGCGCTGCTCATCACACATTGATGTGCGTGAGAGCAGGACCGCGGTCGTCTGGCTCCTCAGCCTTGCTGTAGTCGAGCCGTGCTACTCGAGCGCGTTCCACACCTATCACCCCCTGGTCACGATCACCGAGTGGCTTGATCTTAGGGAAAAGGGCGGTATATTGCGCACCGGACAGACGTCTGGCACTCTGGCGGGAGGTCAGCTCCAAGGCAATCAGTCATTCAAATCACAGCAAAACAGGGAAAACAAAATACACGCGCACGAATGGTACGCAAAATCAGTTAATAACTCGGGCCGGACAAGAGATAAAGTAGAGTGAGAGGACAGCGCTCGTTGATGAAATCAGTGCGTGTGCGCTGGACGGGGCTCGGCGATGGTTGGGCCGCCCCGAGCAATGGAAAAAGAACTAAGAGAATCAGAAAAGACACGCCGTCCAACTAGCCAACCCATTTGCACCATGGTCAGAGGACACCGTCAGGAATGTGCAGGCGTGGCCGATACGCCGCGCCTGGTCGTGACGTGGGACATGACGAGCCGCCTCCACGTGGCCGCCTCCAACGGTAAAAACCCAGATAGCCACGGCGCGGGCTAACGGGCGAGCCGTCGCGCCGAAGCGTGCATCATGGATCTCGGACGCCATGCCCACCCACGCCGGGCGCGAGTACCGTCACCGCCTGGCAGAATCACCCCCAGCCGCACTTTCACGCCGAACAATTTAAAAGGCACACTGCCAACTGTATTTACAAAACAAAAATCACTGGGACCTAGACGAACCATGTGACGCATCGTCCCCCCCCCCCCCATTCCCTTCCTTAATTGCGGGAGTGAGACCGAGAAACATTGCCCGGCCGGGAGGGTCCTATGGTCAGTGCCCCCCCCCCCTTCCCCACCCTTCCCTAACGATAGGGAGGTACAGGTGGCCGTGATCCGAGCCCGCCCGGTGGGGAGGGGTTAGGGGACACGAGAGCGCCAGCCGTCCATGGCGTGGTAAGAATGGGGACAACAGCCTGTGGACTCACGTCATGTGCGTTGTCGCCGGTGGCCTGTTGTTCGCGGGGCCAGATGTCGCCTCCACTTCTCCTCAGCGCTCCTCACTCTCCATCGCCTCCGCCTCCAGCGCCTTCTCGGGACTCTCCTTTTCTCCAGCGCTTCGTCAAGTCTCCCTCCCAGTTGGAGACTCCACTTGCTAGCCCTCTTGCATGATCCGTAATTTTCTGTGATTCTTTCAAGTGGGTCGGCCCGCCCTCGCTTTTGCGCATGGACCAATAGTTTTGCCGCAAAGCCCCCTCCGTCCATGGTGTTGCCGGGCCGGTCTAACCTTCTTCCGGGACTCTGCCCCAATGTGCCCCTAGGCCAGATCTCGGGCGTCGCGTCGTCGGCGGCTGCGCAAGGCCCGCCCGCTGTCGCCTCGCGTGGCTCCACGCGTCCCCCTCTGGCCCATTTCCCACGTGGCGTTGCGCTCCTGATGCCAGCTGGGTTAACGGCAGCGCAGGCGCGGCGGGGTCCTCGGGCAGAGCGGCGCATCTCTTCATATCAGACAAACATGCCTGCGCGCGTAACGTTTGGCCGGTGCCCTGGCTCTTCCGCGTCCATTAATCTTGATCGGCCATCGGGGGTGGGGGCAGGAGTTCCCCTTTGACGCGATGGCCCATTTCGGCAGAAGAGGCCACTGTTCTGGCCGTTTCGGGAGGAAAACGGCGGCTTATCCCACCTGGCCCGGCGACACACACTGTTTTCCTTAAAGATCCGGTCAACGATGCGGACCGATCGGCCGGAGCATCGGACGGGTCCGCATTCAGCTCCCAGGCCCCGCTCGTCCTAATGGTCGTGTTTGGTTAGGCGGGGGGAATTACTGGCGATGGCTGGCCTGCTCGCCGTCCCACGTTCCGCTGGGGAAGCCTCACCGATCTTGGACGGGTGGCGCGCAAAGTGGAAAGTAAGAAAATGCGTGCCTTCACTTCCTGTTGCAGACCCAGAAGGCGGGAGTGATTTGAGAACGGTGGCTATGCTTTCAGTGCACCCCTTTACTGCCGGCGCTGCCGCCTCGGAGTCAGAACAACACCCTGGATACAAACCACTGCCTGAATTCAGGAGGACAGGAGGACTTGTGAGTGTCATGATAGCGTACCACTTAGCTGCTTGATAGAGGATAACAGAAAAGGTAGCGCTAGTAATCCACGCACTGTAAGAAATTGGAGTTGGCATTATTTGTAAGGACGGCTACTGCCTTACAACACTGGAGAGCCATCCGGTGTCACTTACGCGTGTTTTTCCTTGCGTTGACACGGGACTTCAGCTGAGTACTTCCACAACTGGTGGGGGTAGATTGGAGTGGGGGATGGGGGGATTATTGAGCGTCATTAGTGCCACCTATGACCTGCTGATGCTGACAAAAATAAAACATGTTTTTGCGATCGGAGATTTGCCCTCCGTGATACCAATGCTAGGGCGAAGTCACCAACCAGTTTACCAAGGCCATGTTTTGCGAAGTAACCGGAGGAAACCGTGGCTATTGCGCGGCGAGGTCGCTGCTGGTGGTGCCCTCGGTGATTCTCCATCGGCTCTCCGCTCGCAGGCCTGGCGGGCTGCTACGCAGGCTCCTCAGCCTCGGCGAAGGCCTGGAGGGGCGGCGACCGGCCAGTCCGGCGGCCGAGCTCGCTCTGCAACCGCTTCCGCCGCCGCCACCGCCGCCGCCGCCCAGTCCGGCACTCGGACGGGTGCAGACTGGTCTACCGCTGGGGCAGCTGCAGGCTGGTCTGCCGCTGGGGCGGCTACAGACTGGTCCGCCGCTGGGGCAGCAGCAGGCTGGTCTGCCGCTGGGACAGCTGCAAGCCGTTCTGCCGCTGGGACAGCTGCAGGCTGGCCTGCCGCTGGGACATCTGCCAGCCGCTCTGCCGCTGGAGCAGCTGCAGACTGGTCTGTCGCTGGGGCAGCTGCAGGTCGGTCCGGAACAGCTGGAACAGCTGCAGACCGGTCCGGAGCAGCTGCTGACCGGTCCGGGGCAGCTGCTGACCGGTCCGAAGCAGCTGCAAACTGGTCCGGCACTGGGGCAGCTGCAGACCGATTCTTTGCTTGTGCAGCTGTCTCCACAGCCAACGCCCGTACCCGCCGCCGCGCAGCAGGAGATGTCGAAACTCAGACAGGTTGGCTTTGGAGGCGGGATGAGAGTGCTTTGATGGCCTGTGTCAAATGCCACATAATATTTTGCTTTGGGTAACAAACGACACGCAAACGGTAATAGCATTCCAGTAGCAACCAACTCATTGGAGAACGCGTATCTGTACTTGTGATGACTGGACCCTGCCGCGTAGTATGGCGCCGTGGCCTGGCTCGCTTCTGTATGGCTAGTGTTAATCTGTCATGGCCTACTTAGTCTACCCAAGTGAACTATATATATATATATATATATATATATATATATATATATATTTATATATATGTTTATATATTTATATAGCCGGCTGCAGCCTCTGTTCTGGTATCACCGCCGGTCCATGTTTCAGTTCTCATGCTTCAGTGTCGGCGTCCTTGTGTCGTCGCCGCCCTCAGCACCGGCCACCGCCGCAGGTCTCCGGCGTGCTGATGGTGGGCCCGATCCAGACGCGCTCGATGCGGCTGGCGCGCGCGCGCAACATGCAGCCGTTCGCGCTGCTGCGGGCCGACGGCGAGGAGCCGACCCTGGCCCGCGTGCTGCGCACTGCCGACCGCCGAGAGGTGAGCCTGGCGGCGGCTCATCACGCCCCCACCCCCCACCCCGCCTGCTCCTCCCATGTGTCGTCGGCACTCTCCTGACAAACGCGCTGACGCAAGCTGTCCGACTCTGCGCCAGTCTGTGACTGCGCCGACTCTTCCGTAGGACCCAGCCTGAGAAAGCGATGGGGTTGGAAGCATCTGCGCGATCTCGGGTAGTCGGGCTGCGGCCTGATGTCGTGTCTTCCGGTTGTCAAACCCGTGCGTGATTGATGTCTGTTTTGTTACGCGGCGTCCCGCCGGTGTCTGTCGCTGTCCGGTGTCGAGTGGGCGTGCCGCCGGTGTTGACCTCGACCCCGCCGCCGACAGCTGCTGATCCCGGCCACCACGGAGGACCTGCGGCACCTGCAGCGGCAGCAGGGCGGCGGCGGCCCCGGGCACGACCGGGTCGACGTAAGCACGGGCTAGGCGAGATGCTATGAAATGGGGGAGGGAGGGGGGGGGGGGGGGGTTGGGAGGCGCTTGGGAGGCAAGCGCTGCTGCAGCTCGCGTCCGCGCAGCAGCATCGCTGGGAGGGCCTGGCGCCAGCTCGAACAAATGACACAATCGGCCGGGGCAAGGTGTGTAGGAGGGCTTCGCCAGTTAACTTGCACCTCGTTCCTCCGGAAGGTGCGAAGGTCTCGATTGTGACGCTGCCCTAGAAGCTGATGTCGCCTTATTTACTTAAGTGCCGCGACGCTGAATTATGATTCCATTTTAAGGCTGGCGTTGTGATAAGGTTCCAAGACACAGCTCAACCGTCTTGAGGCGGGCCAGCTGACAGTGAACCAGAACACTTTATCTGGTACGGGCGCCGGCCTGACAGTGTTGCACTAACAGCATTGGTTAACGCTGTCTGGTTAATTATCCGGTATAAATAAATCACGGACTACAGCTGCGCCACTTAACGGGCCCGACGGGTTCAGAACGCATGCAACAAGGTCCGCCTAACATGAACTTTGAGCCAGATCTGTACACACGAGCCTCTCCTGCAACCCGGCACGGCAGACGTACCATGCGCAGCGCCTCGGGCTTTGCCGGTGGAAAATGGCCGCTGGGTGACGCAGCGTTTCCCGCCAGATGCCGATGGTTGTCGTGGTAACGCGGTACCACAGTTGGGTGACGCGGCGTTTCCCGCCAGGTTCCGGTGGTTGCCGTGGTTACGCAGTACCACAGCTCCGACGGCACGCACCTGCACGTGCAGCCGCCGAGCTCGGAGCGTCCCGACTGCTCGGAGGTGGCCGTCTCTCAGATCGAGGTGCCGCTGACGGACGGTAGGTCACTTAACCGTCCTGACAACCGTCTGACTGATCAGTTTGAGGTCACGTGTCCACCTGCTGGCCTCTTCTCAGTGGTGCCGGCTGCTGGCGCGGGCTCCAGACGGTGACCTATTAAAGGCGAATGGAAGAATTTCACGTGAGCGTGATCAGCATTATATGCTTTAGCTCTGATAGCTTCAAATTCTGGAAAATTTGTGTATTTTTTAATGTTATTGACCACCATGGGACATTGACAACGGTATGCCACACTCAACAGCAAGAACCTGTGGCGAGGTCACCGGGTGGCTTAGTGGACATGTACGGTACGGAGCTGAGCCAATCATGACGAGGTCACCGGGTAGCGAAGTGGACATGTACGGTACGGAGCTGAGACAAGCATGACTAGGTCCCGGGTAGCGAAGTGGACATGTATGGTACGGAGCTGAGACAATTATGACGAGGTCACCGAGTAGCGAAGTGGACATGTACTTTACGGAGAGACAGTCATGACGAGGTCACCGGGTGGCGAAGTGGACATGTACGGTGCGGAGCTTAGACAATCGTGTTCTGCAGGGGAGGAAACCGACATCGACAGCCATTGACACAATAGGTGCTGCACTTATTGGCGACTGTTGGGTCTAGTCTCAGTGCATAGGGCCTGTCCGCAGTGCATAGGGCCCGTTCGCAGTGCATAGGGCCTGTTCGCAGTGCATAGGGCCTGTTCGCAGTGCATAGGGTCTGTTGGCATTGCAGGGTCTATTTGCAGTGCACAGGGTCTGTTTGCTGTGCTTTGGTGTGTTTGCAGTGCGTAGGGTCTGTGCGCAGGTCTGCGCGCAGTGCGTAGAGCCTGTCCGCAGCGCGTGGGTATCGTGGATGGGGTAAGGCAAGGCGGGTAAGGCTCGCCCCCCCCCCCCCCAAAAAAAAATAGCTCCCGTCGCAAATCCTTGTAGCCCTCCCCCTCCCCCCCATTACTACTCCTAGCTCTACCCCGTTTAACAGAACACCGTCGGTCTTGACAGAGCGCACACACGCCGGCGTCACTTCTGTGAGTTTGTGTGTGACATTTTGATAGCTTGAGTGTCCCGCAGCGGCGTGTTTAGCGCTGGTGTCGCCCGTGCGCCTGTTCGGTGGAGGGATCGCCGTTATGTTTACGTCCCGGAACGTCTGCCGTGATGATGACCGTATGTCTGCGATCGGATATGTGGGCGCTTGTTTGGGAAGCTGCTGTGTGGGCGCCGGGCTTGGGAACACATCCCCACGGGGGCCGGGTAGATCCATCCTCGGGAACCAGATAAAGCCATCCTGGGAGACCAGATAAGTCCACCATCGGGGACCAGAGAGGTCCATCCCCGGAGACCAGCTTGGTCCATCCTCGGAGACCTGGTAGATCCATCCTCGGAGACCAGCTTGGTCCATCCTCGGAGACTGATAGATCCATCCTCGGAGACCAAGCACACACGCTCCATGACCATGTGTACCGTATGGTCAGAGTGATTTAGGAGGGGAGCATCCCAACGACATGACCAATGCCCAGCATTGATTCATGTTACATACCCCGAAATGCGATTTCGCCTCAGATTAAAGCCGCTGTTCTTGCGTGCAAAGAAAAAAAAAACAAGAGAAATGCGGCCGACTGGCTGCGATGTAAGGCGGAGCTCGAACGGGGACTAGCCTGCTAGGTGACTAGTCCACCCGTCCCTGGACTCCGGGCAGATCCAGATCTTTTAAGTGGAAGGGGATTGCGGCAGTACCAGAAATCACAATATGACTTTCTCTGGACTTGATATAACAACCTTTCTAGACTATATGACAACAGACTTCTCCCCATGGCAGCACTGATCGTTGCCTTGTGTCCCTTTTTTGCTGTTTGTACGCAGATATCAAACATTTTCCCGTTACATCCCGTGATTTTCCGACAGCGTTATGGATTGCATGTACCTGTTATCAATACACCTAACAGCTAGGGATGCGTACAAGAACTGACAGCTGCATATACCTATGCAACACATTTGGCCTGTGCAAAAAGTTGTAATCATGACCGAAACGGTACGCATTTTTGCCCATCCCAAAGTCACAGCTCGGGCATGTGCCCATGTATTTGTCAGACACGTTCACCGCGGCCGGCTGACCGTGTCAGCTGACGGCCCGGCGGTCAGCTGATGGATCAGTGGCCAGACGGCTGGCAAGCGAGCCGAAAACCGGCCTTGCTGGTCTGAATGAGTAGCTAGCGTTACGCGCAGCGAAACCGCCGAAAGAAAGGAAGTACACAGTTCCCTGACCTTGCAGGAAATGGTTGAAACCGATTGCAGTAACTTGTACAGGAGTTCTTAATTGTAAGAACTCAACTGACGTGGCGTACACAGGCATTATTATGTGGATGGTGATAACGGAATGCCTTAAAACCAGTGCGATTTTGAGGCCTTGAGGCCTTATATTTCCGCGGCAATAAAACATGGACTTGACTCTGTGGAAGGTGCTAACAAATTACTTAATGTCGGTGCAAGGCGGAAAGCAGGAAAGATTTTGCTGCACATGTATAATGAAGGAGTAGGAACTATACCAACACTCTGGCTGTGTTGAGAATATGATGTCCAAGTACTTTAATGTCACAAAGTCGATAGCCCAGAAAAACTGAGCTCGAGGCCTTACGGAAAATCGTCATGTAGATTTCAGATTTTTAAATGTGAATGGATTTGACAAGGCCTATATCCGACCAAAAATGCCCGAAAACACCCACAGTTTTGTTGTGGTGAAGGCACATTTTTAATACCGCTGTCCTGAAAGATGCGGAAAATATTCTATGTGCGTACCGAAGTACTGTATTTATGTCTTGAGCTTGAAAAACTGATCGCACGAGAGGTCAACGGTCTCGACTCAGAAAGTCATTGACGAAAGCTGAGGAAATGTGTAATTTAGCCGGCCGGTGATTAATCTTTGGACGCTTGATTTGAACAATTTGCCTACAGCATTGCTACAGTAAAAGTCACGTTTAATAAATCCGGGCACGACCTCATGCTGACCGTGATGCCCAGTCGTGAACTCTCCGCACGCGCTAGCACCACCATGAGTGACGAAGTGATGGTAAGCGCGAGCACATGTTGGCTTTCGGCATCGGCGTAAGGTTGCTCTGAGGTCATGGGATGAGCCCAAGACCGATGTGAAGGACTCCGGGGCCACCTGGGTTGCCCCGGCCGATCAACATCTAGGGTCTCTATCAACATCGTAGGCCCTCCAAACCATGAGAAAACCCAACGCCAATGTGGACGGCATCTGAGCGGTCGAGGGTGCAGCGGCAGTTACATAAACAGCCCCCCCCCCCCCCACACGGCAGCGTAGGAATCCACGGGCAAACGAGAAGGGTCCAAGACCAAGGCGTCGGGGCACCTGAACAATTGAAGTGCCCCAGCGGGTTAACATATGGGGCCCAGAGGCCACAGCGGACAGAGATTCCCCGGTGAATGAGAAGAGCCCATGAATCAGCCATGCCATCATTTTCTTTTCTGCTCATTGGTCCTCCACTTTTGCTTCCGGCTTTTCTTGGTCGACTGGAAACCGAAGGCTTTCGATCACTGACGTGTTGGGTTAAAAGCCGCGCGCAATCACGCGGTATGGCTGCAGAGTTCCCAGTTCACGGCATTTCCTGTGGCCCCTCGGGATCTGTCACGGGCTGCGACTGCTGCTAGGTATGTTCCCAGTTCCCAGTTCACGGCATTTCCTGTGGCCCCTCGGGATCTGTCACGGGCTGCGACTGCTGTTAGGTATGTTCCCAGTTCCCAGTTCACGGCATTTCCTGTGGCCCCTCGGGATCTGTCACGGGCTGCGACTGCTGTTAGGTATGTTCCCAGTTCCCAGTTCACGGCATTTCCTGTGGCCCCTCGGGATCTGTCACGGGCTGCGACTGCTGTTAGGTATGTTCCCAGTTCCCAGTTCACGGCATTTCCTGTGGCCCCTCGGGATCTGTCACGGGCTGCGACTGCTGTTAGGTATGTTCCCAGTTCCCAGTTCACGGCATTTCCTGTGGCCCCTCGGGATCTGTCACGGGCTGCGACTGCTGTTAGGTATGTTCCCAGTTCCCAGTTCACGGCATTTCCTGTGGCCCCTCGGGATCTGTCACGGGCTGCGACTGCTGTTAGGTATGTTCCCAGTTCCCAGTTCACGGCATTTCCTGTGGCCCCTCGGGATCTGTCACGGGCTGCGACTGCTGTTAGTGGGGTATGTGGTCAGTGCTGGGGAAATTCGGCCAATTTCCCCCCTGCACTGTCCCTGCGTATTATTACTGGGAGCAGACAGCAGACGCTCGCAAACCAGACAGGCAGACACTGGGAGCAGACATAAGACCCTCGCAGACAAGACAAATAGACATTGGGAGCAGACAGCAGACGCTCGCAAACCAGACTGGCAGACACTGGGAGCAGACAGCAGACGCTCGCAAACCAGACAGGCAGTCACTGTGAGTAGACAGCAGACCCTCGCAGACCCGACAGGCAGACACTGGGAGCAGACAGAAGACCCTCGCATACCATGCAGGAAGACACTGGGAGTAGACAGAAGACCCTCGCAGACAAGACAAACAGACACTGGGAGCAGACAGCAGGCCAGACAGGTAGATACTGGGAGTGTACAGCAGACCCTCGCAGACCAGACAGGCAGACACTGGGACCAGACGGATTCCGGAGACCGAACGGACCCATTCGTACCGCAACTACATGAACAGGAATCAGAGTGCCTATATCACGCCACTGTGGCAACACATGGGACTGATAAGTGGCTAATGCGCTGTTTCCGCAGCGTGCAATGCTGGCAATGAGGGGCGGGGAGCACCGGAACCTACTGATGATAGTAGGTAGTGCATTAGCCGAAAGAGCCACCCATCTACCATTTATTTGTCAATATCTCACCGCTAATGGGGGGGGGGGGGGACGCTTGGTGTCCTTGGATGAGTATTAGTGATACCTCCACCAGAAAGTTTGTGTTGTTCGGTTTCAAAATGGTGGTCTGAACAGTGTAGCCATCAGTACCTCATTTTTCATCTCTCCGACTTCGTTCTCCGCAGACAAAGGCGGCGTCGATAACGACAGAAGTAACACGTCGGGGGAAATGTGGACGCATGAGTTGTTATTGCTGCGTTCTGTGTGTTGATTGATCAATGTGGACGGCATGCGTGCTGCCCAGCCTTACCAGCTGTCGCCTGCCACCCCCCCCCCCCCGCCCCCCGCGCGCCATGAGAGGCCGCACTCATGCCTACGCAAATACACAGTCCGCGTGACGCAAATCCTGAAAGCTTTGCAGAGAGATTCACTGCCTCTCAAAGTTCAGAATATAAACATTCCCATCTGAGCTGCGTGCAGCGATTTTCGCACCCGCGCACCGGTACTCTGTGCACTTTGTGCTACGATTTGCACGTCGTCAAGAGCTCAGGCCTGGGCATCATTATCAGCATGTGATCGTGCCCGGATTTACCTGTCGCGGCTCTCGCGTGGCAGTGCTGTGCAGCGATTCGTTGTAAGAAGCGTTCAGAAAATCACCACGGGCGGACTGGAACGCACATTTTCTCCAGCTTTCGTAGGCGGTCTTTTGACGCGAAAATTTCGGCCTCTCGTGCGATCAGATTTTTTGTCAGTGTAGTAAAAAAACTCCTATGTCGATTTTATAGTTTGTTGGGATGCAGTTCCGCTGCTAGCTTGTGGCGGTGCCTGGGTTCCCTGTTACCGGGGGCCTTAGGTGTTGGTTGTACATTTCTGAAATCGGTTTAAAGCCCTGACCAGGGTATGGTCCTTTCTTGGAAATTGTTGAGAACACAAGTAGTTCTCTGCCCGTAGTCGTCGCTGCCGCGGCACGTGCTTCCAACACTAAAGACCATTTGTAGGGTGAGGAATTTTAACGATATAGCACATAAGCATTGACACAGCTTGGGTCGTCCGTGATGTGGCCTCATGGGCACACCAACCTTGAGGCCTCTCCAGCGTCGACACCCGGCGCTGCCGTTCGTTGCAGACGGGCCGCCGCCGGCCTCCTGCCGACGGGAGCAGCTTCTCTCGATGCCGACGAGCGCCGAGCTCCTCAGCACCGAAGCCGACGGCCCGGCGAACGCGGCCGACGACGGGCCCGGGCGGGCCGTCCCGCCGCCGAGCGTAGCCGACATACTGTCGAGGGGAGCCGACAGAACGGCGGGGACTGATGGTCGGCCGAGAGCGACCGGAGCTCTGGCGGGGGGCGCAGACGCTCTGGCGGGAAAGGCCGGCGTGGTGCCGACGGACGCGGAGGTCCTGCCGAAGGAAGCCGGCCTGCTGCCTGGCGGGCTCCAGCTGCAGCTGCCGACCGAGCTCGACGCTCTGCCGAGAGGATCCGACGCCTTGCCCGCTGGAGTCGACATGCCGCCGTTAGGAGGCGACATGCTGCCGAGAGGGGCCGATTCGCTGCCCGCCGGAGCCGACATGCCACTGTTAGGAGCCGACATGCCGCGAAGGGGAGCCGATTCGCTGCCCGCCGGACCCGACATGCTGCCGTTAGGAGCCGACATGTTGCTGTTGAGAGCCGACATGCTGCCGAGAGGATCCGCAATTCTTGCCGAGGAAGCCGCCGTGCTGGCAGGAGCAGCCGAGGGGCAGTCAGATGGAGCTGACCTGCTGTCGGCCGGTGAGTCAGATGGAGCTGGCCTGCTGTCGGCCGGTGAGTCAGATGGAGCTGACCTGCTGTCGGCTGGTGAGTGAGACGGTGTTGACTTACCGTCAACCGGTGATTCAGACGAAGCTGACCTGCTGTCGACCGGTGAGTCAGACGGTGCTGACCTGCCGTCGGCCGGTGATTCAGACGGTGCTGACCTGCCATTGGCTGGTGAGTCAGACGGAGCTGACCTGCCGTAGGCCGGTGAGTCAGACGGAGCTGACCTGCCGTCGGCCGGTGAGTCGGACGGAGCTCACCTGCTGTCGACCGGTGAATCGGACGGAGCTGACCTGCCGTCGGCCGGTGAGTCAGACGGAGCTGACCTGCTGTCGGCCAGTGAGTCAGACGGAGCTGACCTGTTGTCGGTCTTAACACGGACCGCCGCTCCACAGCCGGCTGACGCGCGGTGCGGGGTTGGGGGAAGGGGGCTCGGTCTGGACAGGGTACAGCTGTGACCATTGCCGCACCTTCCTTTTCCACCGCGGGCGAGAGATGGGAGAAGACAGGCTGTTGACGAAAAGGACAACCTGTTAACTTTTCTCAGCCAGGCGGGGATAAATTCTGTCAGATTGTGATCCATAGGCAGATTGGGTCCTCAACGGTAACTATGGCGACTTGGGCGTATCGTCCCGGTGGGTTATCACTGCTCCTGATTGAAGTACGAAACGGCAACACTATTCCTGTCGTTGGTTTAAAAGTGCGTTCTCTTACCATGATTTTAACCCAGTTCAAGGAAGAATAACGTTTTGCAACGTTTTGGTGCGTTCACCCTGTTCAATGCGCCGCCTTGCGCGTCTTGTGCGCGCCTGTCGATGACGGCCCGCGGCGGGCGCCCGACAGGAGCCGACACGATGGTGCAGTTCGTGCGCGAGACGCCGTCCGGAGGCTTCGAGGCGGTCTCGGTGGCCGAGGCGGCCCTCCTCTTCAGCCAGCCAGGCAGCTCGTACCAGGTGCCGTTCGGTTATGGGGCTATGTAGAACACGTACTGTGGTTCCGGCTCACCACACGGTAGTGGAGTTCGGAAAGAGCCCGTGTCGGCAGACGTATTTTGTGTATGTATGAGCTTGACCGGTATTGTAATTGAATTGACCTGTATTGACCTGTATTTAACCGGTATTGTATTGCAAACGTTGGGGTGTGTACGTTGCGATATTTCTTCTCGGATTGTTGTCTGCTGCATCAGGAGTGACCTTGAGAAAGTGTTCTTTTGGTACACGAATTGTCTGCTGCATCAGTAGCGACCTCGGGAAAGTGTTCTTTTCGTACATTCATTTTCTGCATTATCAATCCATGAAGTTAAAGCAGTGTGAATGGTCTAAGACAACCATTTTCGTAATTGTCAATCAGTACGGTGTTTCCGGCTTGCTGTTTCATGACATGTGGACACTCATGATAATCAACTGTCCGAACGTGTCCCGGCCCTGACCCCAACGTAGCGTCTCTGCCTTCTCTCACTCCATGGCGGCCTCTCAGCCGATCTCAGAATGCTGGCACGTGTTGTGCGTCCCCCGCCACGTCGTGGACGGGGCCTTGACACCCAAGTCGGCTGTGAGACAGCGCCGGATCCAGGGCGGCCTTTCTGACCCAGATGCGTCCCGCCAACGCTGCGGTGTCGCATTACCGCCGAGCATGGACATGGTGTCGGAACGGGCTCGCCTGGTGTAAACAAGCCCGCCTCGGCCGGTGGCCGGCCGCCGGCTTTTTGGGAAGAGGCCGGCTCATTGCGTCATCTGAACGTCCTGGTCCAGTTTGGGCTCCGGTCACTCCGTGTTACTTGTACTCTTTTTTACTTTTAACTCCGGTTACGGGGTTACTCGGAAAGAGAGCTTGCTCGTGTAGTGCTTGAGTGTAACGCAGTGGAAGTGATCTCCTCAAAGGTCTGTCCGAAAGCTGTGTGGAATGGCAGCGCTCTTCGCAACGGCCCAGGGGCATATATTTAACTGAGCATTCGAGAACATCTCTTGCCTTATTCAGTCATTGCAGCTTGGGTGCCTGAATGTTGTTTCCCTTGATGGCATTGTCTTCGTCTCTGCTTACACCCTCGGCACACCACCGGGTTCCACGAGCCCGCGTGCAGCCTCGCATAGAGTACCCACGTTAGAAGCACTCTTTAAAGGCGCTGTCTGCGAAGCAGAAGGTGCTCTTTAACCTAAGTCTCCTCTCTGAATTGAATACCCAGTCTTCTGAGCGAGAGTATGGTCTGGCCGGCTACGGGACCTCATGTGCATAGCACGCTGTGGAAAACATCACTGCACCCGAACATCTCATCACCTGACGTTTGCCGAGGAGCTGTCTACGTCCCCATGACGTCACAGGAGCGCCTGCGGCACGACGATTTTTTCAGTGGAGCTGCGACTGTCTGATGACATGGTAATCCCCAGCTCCCAGCCTGGACTGGCCGGGAGCCCGCCCGCCCGCCCTGTCCATTCGTCGCGCTCGCTGACAGCGCGGCGTTTGCGTGCTGTCGATGGGGGCGGGGCGGGAGCTCGCCGGGTGCCCCCGCCACCCCGCGCGTCTCGTGACTCCTCGGGCCGTGTTCCAGATCCTGCCCGGGGAAGACCGGCACTCGCCGTCGGTGGCGCCGCTCTCCCGCTGAGGGCGGCGGCTCCCGCTGGCCGCGCGCGCACGGGCTAGTGATAGTGCGGCCGTGAGTCGGTCCGGACGTGTTCGCGCCATCCGCCGCCGCCCACGCGCCAAAGTAAGCAGAGGCGGGAGGGACGCGATGGCGGTTGCCATGACAACGCCATGTCCGGTTGGTATGGCTGATTGTACGGGTCCTGCAGCCGTCGGAAAAGAGCATGCAACGAAGACGGTGCGGTGATTCTAAGGTTGTGCTTCGGACGGGAGGTTCCCTCTAACTGATCTTTTAAGCGTTAACCTTCGTAACGTTTATTCATGAAACGAATACGGTGAGGTGATTGTAAAGTTGTGATTCAGGCGAAGTGATCTCTCCAACTGATCTCTTAAGCATTAGCGTTGGTAATGTTAGTTCCTGCAACGAAGACGGTGTGGCGATTATAAGACTGTGGTTCGGAAGAGATGTTCTCCCCAACGAATCTCTTGTTCGTTAGCGTTCGTGGCTGTTCGTTGTGTTGCGCTATGCCGCGCTTTAGTACTATCTCGCCATTAGGTCCAGAAGTCACGTGATAGCCTTCACCCCATGTCATTGCGAGCCAGCGGCTAGTCATATCATACCACCGTTTTGTGATTGCGCAGAAGTTTTTCAATAAAGCTGTTTGTGTGTCTGCAACACGGTGTGCATTTAAGAGAAGACTAAGAGAAGAATGTACCTATAACACGGTATGCATTTCAGAAAAAACGAAAAGGAGAATGCAATAGCTTTTGGGTTCTACTGACTCCGAACGTCGTAAAGCGGGTCTTACCAGTGCGGTTCAGACTTAGACATTTATAGCGCATCAAGTTTCTTGGAGGCATGTGTTGCTCCCAGTCCGTTACTCCGACTTAAGCCTGACATGATGCTCTTTTGGCCAACTAGAGAAATAAAAAGTGCATGTAACCGGCCAAACATGACAGTTGTGGACGCTGCACGACCTACAGCAGTCGATGTGCCCCAAACAAAAAATCATCATCATCACCAACCCTTCGGGAATATTGCAGAAGCAAAGGCTTATGGTTTCGTATCGCTTGGACATGTCGACATGCGCAAGAGGGAATGGAATGCTTGAAACACCGTTATTACCAAGGGCGTATACAGCAGGCGTCCTAAATTTAACAACGGACCTGTTTGTGTCGCGTAGGAGTCTACACGGTTCACCTCAAATCCCGGTGAGCACCCTCCCTATTTCAGGGTTTTTAAAGTTTTTAGGTCTGGTCAAGAGCACTGAGCCTGCTAAAGCTTTCGCGGGCGATGGCCAAGGACTTCGCCGGGCGTCAGCTGCCGCCGCTGGTCGGGTCCCCTGCACGAACTCCGTTGGGCATTAGCTGGCACCGTTGGTCGGGTCTCCCTGCACGGACTCCGCTGGGCATTAGCTGCCGCGCTGGTCAGGTCCCCTGCACGAACTCCGTTGGGCATTAGCTGGCACCGTTGGTCGGGTCCCCCTGCACGGATTCCGCCGTGCGTCAGCTGGCGCCGCTGGTCGGGTCCCCCTGCACGGACTCCGCCGGACGTCAGCTGCCGCTGCTGGTCGGGTCTCCCGGCCTAAAGCTGGTGTCGCTGGTCGGGTCTCCCTGCCCAAAGCTGGCGCCGCTGGTCGGGTCTCCTCCCCGAAACCGATCGCAGTTACTCGGTGTTGTGAATGCAAATGGATGGTCGGGTTTTCAGTTGAATCCATTTCGTAGTGTTAACAACAAACGTTTTGCACATTCTCTTAAAAATAACCCTATGCCAACACCGCAGGACACGGCAACACCATTTCACATTATCACATCACACAAATCGTACACATCGTTGCATTACATGCATACCAGGTTTCCGACCACGCTCCGTCTCTCACTACGCCAGTTGTTTGATCTGAGCTGATCTTGCCGCCCCTCCCGCACCCCATTTTCCTCCCAGATCCCTCGCCCTTTCCCACATCACATATCTGTCTGGCAGCCTTCGATCTGGTGGTTTCCTTCCGTCTTTTCTTGTTTTTGGCGCCTTAGTTTGATTTGATCAGTATCGTGAATTAACGCAGTTTTGTCTCAAATTCTGTCATGTTGGTATTTTTATTGGCAATTCACCATTCATTTTCCAAGTCACGGTGTCCCCTTAAGACCCGAGTAACTTGGTTTCGCGTCATGGAAGACAGTTTGACAGGCTGGTGCATGATTTGGTGAATAATTTGGTTTAGACAGATCGGTGCATAATTTGGCATTGGAGGTGCTGAAATTTCGTTAATTTGGTGCAACAATAAGTAATTGTAACTTTTGCCGCTCAGTACAGAATTACGGCTTACAAAAAGTACAATACGAAGATACGATACGAAAAAAATACGATGCAATACGAAAATACGGCTCATAGTATCAATTTTCGATATCGGTGATATGAATTTTCCATATCATATCATTTCTTTGCCCATCTTGGTATAGCTTTTGTCCGATTCCTCCCATTGCAGCCAGGTTAAAGTCAGAGCTTCGTACTTCAGCGATTTTTTCGATTTCTTCTCTAGCAATGATATTAAATCTCTGTCAGTCGCGCTCAAATACTTGCCTGGATCGTTTGCTCTCACAATTTTCCACGCTCGCATATCTCGCAAAAAATATCGACATCAGGCATTGCAGTCTCCATAGGCCGCTCAGCGTCGGCCCGTGGTTAACACCAGGTCATGGTCGACAGGTGGACGGAAATGCTGACCCATTTGAAAGAGGTACCATTAAACGCCTTAGGACATAAAATTGCAAATTTCTGTTGATATTTGGCTTTTGCGGGACTGCGAAGTAGTGCTGGAATCGGGTGGTCAAACTGATGCAGTTAAGGAAGAATCTCTATTTTTCCGTGCTGCTGTAACTGTAATATTTCCAGAGGACATCCTCAAGTTGTAAAAAAGATTTACACAGTCTCGTCCTTTAGCTGTACGAATTAATTTAAAAGGCATTCAGAAACGTTATTTTACGATGGTCGTTGCGCGCACGGCGCCCGCCGTTTGGCGTTGCTTGCAATTGCCAACGCCGTTCGGTTTTACGGAAAGTGCGACCCAGACTATGGCTGTCCTTGCTACCCGAGATTGCCGACGTGTCAGTGGTGCTTTACGACTCAGCTGCTAACGCTAGATGGCGTTTCCTGCCTCTCATCCTGCCAGGGACGGCGTGGACCACGAGGAATCGAACCCCGTACCTCTGGTTTACCAGGCGCGCAGAGGTTAACGTAGGCCGGTTCACCACTACCCTATCGGTACCCAGCGCGCAGGCTCAAACATTTTGATGTTATTGATTTCACTGGTCGATTATGCCGGAGAATGAACGTTTTCAGGCAAACGTGGAACTGTCTTGTCCTTTTTTGGACTCACTTCGACTCACTCCATTCAACATTAATGATGTCCCTTATTTCTTTCCACGCAAGGGGTCATCTTGAGTAGAACACTAAGGAGCACATTGTTCTCAGTCAAGGATTGAAGGGCTATTCTGTCCCACTGCGGTGTATCTTCCGACCGTTATTCTGGCGACACGAGGCGGAATCCTCGGCCGATCCGGAGGTCCTCAGAAGGATAATCATGTCCCGTTGGTCCGCTTCCTGACTCGGGAGGCCTTCTGATACGCACAGTTGGCCCCGGATCGACGCAGTAAACCTCACTGACGCAACGACATCCCTGGTCGCCACAGATGGTCAAATAATGCCTAGTCCGGCTGAACGGGCCCACGCTGGTATTGGGATGGGGTCCACCGTTCGGTACTGAGAACCATGACTGGCACAGGCCCCTTCCATCACTTCAATGTAAGCACTTATGATAAGCTCTCATGTTCCGTTCATTGCCAAAGGGTCCCGACCAACGCAAGAGGCCCGCTATCATTCGGGCTCCCGTCATCGTTCCCGTTGAGCAAAGCTTACCCCGACCGATTTGAGGCCCCTTGTTGACACATAATACCCCGTTAGGCACTGTGGGCCCCTGTACGATACAATAGCCCCGACCAATGTAAATCGCGGGCCCAGCCTCTTCCCTGCTTGGGAAATGGGCCACCAGAGCTCAGACCAGCACTGAACCGACTGTTCGTTGTTGGTGAGCTCTGGCGGACATAGAGAACGCCCTGCCTCGGGAGCTCATATCGGTGCGAGAGGTCCTCTTACTTGCATTTGAGATCTTTTTGAGATCTTTTTGAGATCTTTTGAGATTGAGATCCGGACCTTTTAGCCTTCCAATCGGGCCGTTAATATTTGGTCTCTTCCCTTTCGCTTCGACCTTCAGACCTCTCTTCGGGTCTCCTTCGAGACCGCTCCGACTCGGGGTCACTTGCCGCCACAGGACCCCTGTTAGGCGCTGGCCCCTGACCAACACAGGAGCCCTTCATTGTGTTATGGACTGCAAACGTTGCAAATCGCGGGCTCTGGCCTCGTTCCTGCCTGGAAAAGATGTTTCAAGGGCTCAGACTGACTGTCAGACAGACAGACTCAGATGACTGTCCGGTATTCGTGGTCGGACCTCTGACATTCCGGGTCACAACCATGGGCCATGATTCTTTATGTGACCCACAGTCAGTCATTCGGGCCCATACATCCTCCAACCGGGCCCCTTATCGTCGGTTCCAGTGGGCCGCCCGGGCCCCTCTTTGGGCTTCATCAAACACGTTCCTGGGTCGACTTGGGGCCCTTGCGACCACGGGACCCCCTGTTAGGCGCTGTGGGCTCCTGACAGATACAAGGCCCCCGACCAGTGATCTCTGGCCCCGGCTTTGTCGCTGCTTGGGAAGTGGGCCCCCAGGCCCACACCGATACGGAGGCGACTGCACGGTACTGGTGTTGTCTGGCCAATCTATTTGAGGGCCCACCCCTGCACAGCGGGCTTCTAACTAAGACTCCGACCAGCCTCTCGTGCCTCTAGAAATTCCAACTGGGCACTGGATCGTCGAACCCGGTGGTCCCTCTAGGATCTTTGGGCCTCCTCGAACACTGTCTCTGACCGACTCGGGGCCGCTTGCCAACTCAGGGCCCCAGTGGCTGCGGGGCCTTGACAGACGCTGGGACCCGACCAATGTAAATCACTGGATCAGGCTTTATTCCTGTCTGGGGAATCGACTTTCAGGCCCATGCCGCCACGGCTGCGACTTCGCGTTATTGGTGGTGTCTGACCAACATGTAGACCCATGTAGACCCTCAGGTGGCCCGTGATCAGCGCGCAGGGCCCTCTGGCTGGCATTGGGGTGCCCAGCATGCGGGCCAGGGTCACCGAATGCGACGTCCGGCATGTCTTTCGGGTCCCTTGGGCCCCTTTACATTTGAGGCACCACATTTCTACTTCAAATTTTACTTTCGGGTCTACGGCCGCCATTAGTTTCTGGGGGACCTTTGGGCCCCCGGAACCTAGGGGGGGGGGGGGGGGGGGGCAGGTGCCCCGTATGCCTCCTCTGCTCATGCTATTACCCAAGGCCACATAAGAAAGCCAAAATGCTGCCCTTATTTAGCACCACATTAGGTGGATGTTTGATGGCATTCGCTCAAGTTCGCCCTCCGCCAGTTGCAATTAACGCCAAAATGCAGCATTTCTGGGCTGTTTGTGGGATGAGGAATCCATGTGCAGTACAGCTTCTCAGCCTTGTCTGGTTGATCGGTAACGAGAAAGGACAGTAGGAACAAACCTCGGGGTCACTAGACTAGTCAAGAAGCTGTAAGATAATTAAAAGCCTCGCAAAAAAGCCAATTAACGTCTGCTCTGCATTCAAGCGCCGTCCGGAGCGGTCCCGCACGGCTGTGCCGATGATATATGTTTTTTCTTCCACCTCAACGCCGACGTTACAAGCCAGTGCCCATGAATGTGTGTCTGCTGAAACGGGCACCCACTAGTATTTGCCTCACGGGAATACAGTATGAATATACCCTGCCCGGTGCAAAGCGGGAACAAAAAAGGTTCTGCTTTTTCTATTTTCCTCGTTTTATTTATTCGCCGGTCATGATTTGGAGGCCAAACCGGGGAATATGGTAGCTACGGTTAGCGGCAAACACGAATTAAATAGACAGACACCAGAGACCGTTGACATTTAGTGATAGTTCTGTTGTTCTGGTTGTGGGACCTAACTTGTGCGGGTCTTACCAATATTTGGGTAACGATGAGCATAGAAACCATTGACGGACAGGAGGTGATCGTGGTAGTAACATCTCCGTCGCCGACTTTTGGTATTGATGACGGTGTGGCCACAGAAGAGTCTACTGAGCCTGCCACTAAGAAGCGCGCAAGGGGCAAGGCACAGGTATGGGATGAACTGTGTACAGTTCCTTCAAATGAAGCTCTCACCCAGTGGTTTAAGGAAAGTGGTGAGTAATAACGACCCCCGATAGGTGCGGTTTGTTTGTTTATGATGTTTGTTATTTCACGATGCGGGCTGCAATGCTCGCAGAACAGTCAAGAACTTGTAAAAGGTATAATTAGTTGTGATGGCTATTGACTGGTGGGGCAAGTTGCTGACTTGAGTTTGATTAAGATAGCTCAGCTCATGTCAGGCTGGTTTGGATCTGATCTGATTTGATTAAGTCAGATGGGATCATGTTAAGTCATGTCAGCTCTGACCAGGATTGGGTGTTAATAGTCACACTCAGCTGCTGAGGCTTTATGGCATTGGCTGCCTCTCACCCTGGCAAGTACTGCATGGCACACATAGTGGGGAGTCAAACCTGTACCTCTGCCCCTATATACCTGTAGGTCATGCATCCAGAATGCTTTCCCTGGATGATGATATGGGATGGTATAACAATATTTGCATATAACACCATAAGCATGATGCATAATATTGCTCTATTTGCAAAATTGTATCAAAGTATTAATTTTCAAACCCTAATGAATTTGAACTTGAAAGGCCAAATTCCCAAGTGCACATGCTTTAAAACATATTTGATGACTGCATTTGGCACTTTACATGCTTGGTCATCATGTTAGGGCCTGCAACCTGCTAGGAGTGAGGCATCACCTTGCTTGTACATGTTACTGCTGAGCATTGGGAAGAATGTAGATGTTTCTTATAATTCTTGTAACACATTTTTTTTCTAACTATAGACCCCTTGGAGATACCAACCTTGACAGCTTTCTTTTGTCATCACAGAGACAGCAAGTGGCTACAAATGGTGCAGGAGACGAACCTCATACACATCTCGGGGTGCCAAAGAGTACTTTCAGTGCACTGGTGCTGGATGCCTGGTGCAACTGGAAGCCCTGTATGAGAGCTCCAGTGAGAACATTATCATCTCCACCAATGGCAAAGAGCACCAGCATGAGGAGCGATCCCATTCTGGCTGGGGTCTTTCAGAGGAAACCAAAAGCGTGAGTTCACCACCTCTGTCTGTGACTTGCATTGGTGGATTCATGGTCATGGACATGTCCTGGTGATTGTTCATGGTGGACATTGTGACCAGGAACAGATGCTCTCAGGATTTAAGTAGGTTTAAGTAGTCCGCATAGCCCCACCTGGGTGCTATCCTGATGCAGATCTTAAGCAGTGTTGTATGACTGCTGTGAAACTGAATGTTATTCGTGGATTCATGCTGCTCTGATGGTTATCTGGGAGTGGGTAGTTAGGAACCCAGTAGTTTCTTTCTTCCTATTGCAATACCCAAATGCAGTTAATTGCAGAGCTGGCAACAATATTTTGTACTTGAGATGGGTGCTGGGACTCCTCATACCAGAAGAAATTGACTTTCAATAGATTAGGAGGTTCTGGTCAAATGACATTATCAAGCAGTCGTTGGCTACATGAAGAATACGTGACACTTCAAAGCCCGTCCTTGGTTGATATTCTATCAATGGCTGGCCTGTCCGGCCTGGCCGGCCACGTGCAGGACGCGCCAGGGATGGCAGCTGTTCACGCGGTCTTTGGTCAAATGTCACTTTGAGGATGAGTACATGGCACAAAATGCTTAGTTCCTTCAATGGAACCGATGCATACATGATAATGTTGTTTAACCAGCACCTCGTGGAATAATGAAGGCCTGTTGTTTTCAGGACAACAATTTCCAACTCATGATGCCTAAATTCATAAGATGACGATGAACATAAGATGTCTTTCTTGCTAAAAGTTTGGCGGTCGGCCCAGTTCTTCCGTGTTGGTTATCAGGACGGCTAAGGATCCAATTGCTCCTCCAGTTGTCTGCTATATCACATTCACGGATATCCAGAAAATAAGGAATCATGCCAATGCTGGTTTACTAGATATTGCAATGTTACTTGGTCTCTGTATGATCCTGCTGCACATACAATTTTTGAACATGCATTGTGTAATTGCCTCTGTTATAACTGCAGCCTTGTCTAACATTATTGGTGTGTGGCGTCCAACGCACCACCACAACGGCTCCGCGGTGACCCACCTCATCACCGGCGACTGCGGACCGGCGCCGGCAGGAGGCGACCCGGCTGTTCCGGGCTGGCATCACCAAGGCGCCGGTGATGGACTCCGAACTGCGCCAGCTGGGCTTCACGGGCTTCACGGCCCGCCAGCTGACCAGCTTCCTGGCGCGCCTGCGCCGACAGACGCGCGACGAGTCCGTCCTCGAGGAGTACTCGGAGCTGAGCGTCTGGTCCAGCGGCGGACGGTAACTCCCCAGGCCGCACCGCCCTCCAGCGCGCCGCGCCCGGACCAACACCGGCGCTGGCGGCGCAGCGCAGGGCGGCGCAAACGCGGGCTCATCGGTGGTCAGAGGAATGCACCCGTGTTGAATTTTGTGTTCATGTGGCTACTGTGCCCTGGCTGTGTCGTTCTGTTGAAGGCATCTTGTTAGCTGTGACTTAATGGTTGCAAGATGGGAACAGCAACTTACAATGTGCTTAGCAGGCTGTGATTTTACATGCTTATATTGTTGCCTGTTTATGTGGCAGATATCGTGCATTATACTTCATTGTTACCTGAGCGTCTTCTTTTATTTCCTGTAGCGTCGTCAGCATTGTGGGGATGGAAACTTCATGTGGGCATACAGAGAGGTCAGTTGTGCTGTTCTCCTGGCTGGTTTCGCTTGCTTATTTTCCACAGTTCAGCAGCAGTTTCTGTGCCAGTATTCTGCTAAACCCTTCAGCCCTTTTGATGTTTGATGTCATGCACCTCGGGCATTTGTCCGGCCCACACTGGTGGCGGCAGAGGGACACGAAGGCTCCTGCGGGCCGCGAATGGACCGGGCATCTCCAGTTGATGACTTACAGCACAAGACGTTTCTCGGAATGCGGGAACGGGCAGAACCTGTGACACAAAACTGTTTTGGGAGAGTGGTGCTTTGGCTAAGTTCAAATCAGCAAAATTATTGTCACCTAGTCGAGCATAGTGAAAACACACATTGCAGGACTGTAACGCATGCCTGCATAAATACACACGTGAGCATATTTCCAGCTTCCGCTAGTGGTATGGCACTAGTTATATCGCTCCCCCTGCATCGTTTGTACATTGATACTCTTCTGCTGGCTCTAGGTTGCGTTACTCGCTGCAAGCTTTGTGGTTGTCGCGCTGGTTGTGGACCGTTTGCCTGATGACTCAACAGTTGCCTAGTTCCATCCTCGATGGTTTCTCTATGTTCCTTCTGAAATCAACGTTCCATTTTCCCGACACTGGCCTGGTACTTGCTGTTCATGCGTTGGCCCTCGACTGGTCGCGGTTTTCCTGCCGCCTACTAACAGGAGGCTATGTTGGTTCTTCTGTTGCTTCTCTTACGTCAGCAGCTGTTGATCAGCTCGTTACCACTGCTGGTTATTGTTTTGCACGTAAAGATGTTGGCCCGGCCTGCGGCGGTTTTGTTGTACATTGTTACGCGCCAGGAATAGCTACCTAAACGCGTGGACAAAACAAACAAAAAAGGCCAAAGCAGTGTGTGCTACACATTTGGAAACTACTCGGGTTGCAGTGCTCGTCTTGGTCTGTTCTTTCACTATGTATCACATGCACATGCACACATTCACGAGCATCAGTTCACCAGTAAACGTAATATTATGTGCAGGTATTCACTTTCTCCTGTCAAATGTGTTTTGCGATCTCTTCACATCATTGGTGTACTGCCTATATGACGTTTCAGCAAGTAACGTCTCCCAGCCCTTGTTTATGGCACTAGCGTTGGTGGCTGCTATTCCGAACATTTGTTTCACCTAAACGACACCTCGTGGTAAACGTTCCGTAGAACGGATGGGAGCTGATTGGTGATCGGGCCCGAAAAATGACGCACCGGGACCTGCGCTGCGACTCACGGCTGGTTTGAAAGCGAAACGTGCGACCGTATTCGAGCGTGTCCTTGAAGTACGGTCTATGTTAGCAGCTTTTTACCTGTGATATTGTATTGATTTGAATGAAAGGGACCGTACAATGATTACATACGTGGAAGTTGTAATGTAACATGTATTTCGAACGAATTTTCGGCCACGAACCTTGCTCACAGATGCGGAAAGTACAAATGTGATACGGACACCAGATGCCAGGCGTGCCAGCGTTTTTCCTAAGAAGACACGTGAAGTGCCTCGCATTGCCCACGCCTCGACCGAACCAATTACAGTAAATCACAGACGATAAAATACCCCCGCTCTGTACAAGTGAAATGTACTAGCTTTGCACCAATAAAATGTCCTGGCGTTTTTCAAGCGAAATACACTAGCTTTCACTGGCCAAGCACTAGCTCTGTGTTTTTTCGTCCGTTTTTTATGATTTGTTCGGTCAAAGTGTGAGCGATTTGCATAGTTTTATCACGTGTGCTCTGAGGAGAAAACGCCTTCGACATTGTCTGGTGTTCATTTTAAGTTTTTACTTTTTGAAGCTGTGAGCAAGGTCCGTAACCAACAATTGATTCAAAATGCATATAATTTAACGGCTGTTACAGATAAACTCACTGTAAGGCCATTGCAATGCTATTGCATGCTTAACATGTCTTACGTTTCGCGAGCACTGTTCCATCTAAGCGGTATTGTATATTGTTGATCGGACTGGTATGGTATTGTTTTTATCAGATTTGTGTTGCATTGAGTCTTGTTTGGAGGCCGGACCAATTACGCACTCCGGTGGCGGGTAGTTCACGAGCCGCGGTGACGTGGACGTATATTCAAAAGGGAATTGAAGGCAAAGGGTGAGGCGTAGGACGTAGGCGGTGAGGACAATCATAATGTGATACGTTAGGGATACGCTGCCAGGGGCCAGTTCACGTCAGTGACAAAAAGCCGGGCTCAGCAGGTCGGTTGAAGCGGGCAGTGATTAAGGTTGCAGGATTGCGGAAAACTGTAGTCAGAGACACGAAGCACGGGATGTATGTGAACAAGAAAAGGACGACAGTGTTTCCAATCTTATTTTACAGTTTCGGAACAAAAATGATGACCTGCCCAAGGGCGCGTCGGTCGCTCGATACCCATGTGCGGCGGCCGGCTGACACCGTATCTATCCTGTTGATGTATTTTGAGCTATGGCTCGATTGACGCTTTTTTAGGTGACGGTCTCAGAATACCAGCGTTCGGTTTTGTCACCCAACCTCAGCTGCTGAGGTTTCCGACTGTACCCTGGCATTCGGCCCCTAGCTCGCTCCAGTGCGGTCCGGCCCGGCCCGGCCCGGCCCGTGACCTTTACGCGGCATACCGACCCTGCTCATGCCCCCAGGAACTCCCCGGACGGCGCTGCGTCCCCGCCCCCCAAGAGACCCGCCATCAGGATAGTGGCCAAGAGTCCCCCGGAGCCCGCTGAGCCGCCGACAATGGACGGTGAGGCACCGCAGACCGCCGGGTATTTACGGGGTACTGTGCTGACTACCATGAGTTTTCAGTATGGAAAATCAGACTCGCTAGTCGATGTTTTTCACCTCGCTTCGGATTAGCGGTCGTTACTTTCCAGCTTTTCCTTCATAACTGCGTAAATAGACCAGTGCCAGGGGCACCAGTAGGTGTCATGCCTGCGGTCCTCGGATTAACCTCACTCAAAATTTGAACGTTGCATTGGAAGGTATGCTCACAGAGACCGCGTGACATGCATTTTACAAAGCTGAAGACAACGACTTTGGATAATAGTTAGGGATGATCAAGCGAGGTGCAAGGTGCGATTTGCCGAAAAACGCTCAAATGACCGTGGGGCTTCTTGTGAACGGGTAAAGGGACGTGCTTTTCTCTGTAAGCACTGTGAACAGTTTTCCATTCCATTCAACACCTCGCATACCTTTCGTGGTCATACAAACCACAACCATTTTGCAAGTAAGCTTGGTCATTTGTCGGGTCAGTCAGCGCGTGAACGAGACACCATCTAGCCCGACAACCGCCCCTCCCGACGCGGGCCGTGACCTGGTTGGGTCGGCGCGTCCACAGAGGCTGCTATCGCCCAGCTGGTGGCCAGCAGCCTGGAGGCGCGCGAGCAGGCGTACTGCGCCTACAGCCAGTTCGCCGTGGGCGCGGCGCTGCTCTGCGCCGACGGCCATGTCGTCACCGGCTGCAACGTCGAGAACGCCTCGTACGGCCTGACCAACTGCGCCGAGCGCACGGCCGTGTTCCGCGCCGTGGCCGAGGGCCGCCGCCGGTTCTCGGCCGTCGCCATCGCTGCCGAGATGGGCGACGTGTTCGTCGGCCCGTGCGGCGCCTGCAGACAGGTGGGTGATGACGTGCCGACGCCGGCGGGGTCTGCTAGCTGGTGGCGTGGATCTGGGCGCCTCCAGCCATCGGAGAGATTAGTGCGGGCTTGTCACCATTCAAACGAGGCCGACCCCAGGCATGGGAACGGTGCTGGGAAATCAGGATTGTTGCTTGTAAGCCGCCGGGGGCTTGGGTGCAGCCATGAGTGCAGGTTACAGTATTGCAACATTCCTGAACAAAATTGAAATTTTAAAAGGCTTTCAAATCGCTTTGTCAGACACTGGATGTCCCGACGACAATCAGTTCGAAAGACGTTACGACGTGGTTACATGGCACCGCCGCACCACGTCCATCGACTAATATGCGCGAAATGCATTTCGATCGGACAATGTGGCGTCGGGTCCCCTCCCCATGATGTACAGCGCGATTCAGAGCAAGGATACAACCGTATTTATCCTACATCAGTAGCTGGAAGCAACCCATCGCATATCTTCCCATTTTTAGGTCATTGATGAACAGTGAGTGTGCAAAACAAAGTAGTTTCCGGCCCGTACGCCCACATGGTGCGATGGGAAACGGCACAGTTATGGCTGCGCCTAGACCAAGATCCCGGACAGCGGTCTACGACATACCGGCCAGTAGAGAATAAAATGTGGCAAGCCCGTGTGAGAGGAACATATGAGTAAAGATGGGCGGCGAGCAAAGCGCACGGTGTGGACTATCACACGGCGTTTTGTTCCAGGTGCTGGCGAAGCGCACGATGTGGATTGTCACATGGCGTTTTGTTCCAGGTGCTGGCCGAATTCAATCCGGAGATGCCGGTGATACTGGCGAAACCGGACGGCCAGACCAAGAGGACCAGTATGAAAGAACTGCTGCCGATGCCGTTCCTCCCGAAGGACGTTCCTTTCAAGAAGTGACGCTCGCGCGCGATGTGAGGAAACATGGCCCCCGATGGTCTTCAGGCGGCGTGCCTGTGGTGCGCCGCTGTTTCCGCGTCCGCTCTGCCTGTGATGTGGCGCAGCGTGGGAGGGGCCTCATCCTGGTGACAGCGAGCGCAGGGGGAACCCCGCGCCGGAATCTCGGCGGTCTCCGCGTCACGCATCTGTAAATACAACTGCCGCTAACGGCGCCACAGTCGACCGCGTGTGTGGCGCCCGAGCGCTGCCGTACTACGCTCGACAACAGCCACGTCACCTCCGGGAGTGTATTCTCTCCGCGCCAGCTCACGCACGACTTCGCTCTCAGACACGTTCAATTTGCTTGAGCTGAGTGTGCCGAGTACAAAACTGTGACCTGCCGGGCGGACCTAGGCCTCCTGAGCACGCGTCCCCGCCGGAGGATCGGGCGGGGGCGGCTGCTCTGTATACTAAATGCCGCCACGGCAGGGGGAGGGGAGGGGCGCGCGGTCCGGCTGGTGCCCCGCGGCAACACCACCGCACAGCGCCACCCACGAACACCCTTATAAAATAATACAAACGACACCTCGGCCGACCGCCGACTCTTGCGCGCCACGACGCCGCGCGCAGCATTCACACCACGCAAACAGTCAACGAAATTTTAAATTAAAAGCTGTCTCGTACCCGCTTTGGCCTAATTTCTCGACAACCTCATCGCTTCAGGATTTAATGGAGCGGGCCTGTTTTACATCGCGCATTGCGGAGGCTGGAAACATTCACACTAGGCAGCCGAACATAAATAATGCACTGATACCAGGGTTGGGTTATGGTACTCTATTGGCTTGGCGATGCTGCTGACGAACTCCGCTCGTTGTTGAACTTCTCGACCTGCCGGCGAGAACGCGCCAGGTTAGCAGCTTGGCGGCTATCAGTCAAGTGGGTACGGTGCAGCAGACCGCGCGCCAAGCCCACTGAAGTGCAATGCTGAACGGCGCTTAGATTAGACGCTGGGGGTTCAGTTGATAATTTCGGCGTCCAACCTGCTGCTGGAGCAGGAGGCAAGCCGTCGAAACCTTTCGATCGACGCTCCCGCCAAGGGTGTGACGAGAGGACGCGCGCGCACGACACAGAGGAAGGGAACAAAGTTGGGCCAATGCTACGTGATCTCAGTAACGTTACACGACCGCAACCGCAATACGTCCGCGACACCCAAGGATATTGCGCTAGTGCAAGTAACATGAGGGGGTTGGACAGTCTGCAGTTCCCCTTTACTAATCAAAACCAGGGTACGAAGACAGCCTGAAAATACTGCAGCTCGAAGAATGATACAATATTCCGGCTTCACCCGACTCGAAGACCCTTTTACCTCTACTGGCCCATTGCCACCTGCGGAAGCTTGCGTTGGATTCCATCGCAATTACATGAGTCGACAGTCATACAAACACCTGAGCGACAAACATCGTTCCTGCACCACATGCGCTAGTACCATACGTAGCGTGGAAGGGAAAGCCTGAGCCGCTTCCATGAGCAACACGACGCAATGGGGGCGTCAGGCCTAGTTTACTTGCACTCCGTGGCATTTCACCCCGCCACAGGTCTGCATGGGTCCTCACAATTTTGGAGACGTATTGGTAGGCTTGGCTATCGGTCTGGCCGGCCATGTTGGCCCGTCTGGTAGGGCGCCTTGATGGTGACCTGGTTCATCACCACGATGTCGGTTGCCGCTCCACTGGATCTCTTCCAGACTGCCGGCGCGACGTCGGGATCAGGTGAGCGCGGCCGGCCCGCCGGGACGGGGGGGAGGGGGAGGGGGGCGAGGCGACGAGGGCACGGGAAGGGACCAGCCCTGGCGTCCAGACAGACCGCGCGTCCCGCCATACCACAACGCGTGCGCTGTTCGTCTCGGTGCGCCAACGCAGCGGCACGGGAACAATTGATGCTGGCGTCCAATTGTCAGTGTGCCGTACCGTCATCTCGGTTAACATTTAATATTGGGACTGGCAGCAACTGGCTGCAAAAGTTGCCGCCAGCCAGCTTTTACCATTTTAAACAACTGACAGAAGCCACTAGTGGCATAGACTGCCATATATTACCCGCAAAATAACAAGTAGAACTAACCGCATTGCAGTATAATGTAATGTCCAATGAAATACATCAAAGTCTTGGCTGTATAGGCAATGACAAGCATAAGTTTTAAAGCATACATTTTGTTGTGAGCACTCGACATCTGTATAAGTCTTTGCAACAGAAGTATAGTATAGTCACTTATAAGCTAAGTCTGTGTGTAAGGTTTTGCCATAAAGATACTATCGCGTATAGCTGATGTCGTAGCACTCTTGCCCGTAGGAGTCTTTGCCGTAGCACTTATGCTGTGACACCTGTTCAAAGGGCATGGATCCAAAAGCCCAATTTCTGTGAATGTATCACACATTGACTGAAATACCACTGCGGTCAAGACATGTCAATAGGGCGCTAAATTTTTGGAAGTATTATGGCTATCTGGTCTTCTGACAGAACACGCCAGATTTTAACAGCACAAAAACTGATAAAACCCAAAATTGTTACCCCTGATCAACATGATACTGTCACATAACACAGGATAAATTAATTCTGATGCCATTCGTTCGCTTGGTCACACGTTCATCACACACCGCAGGCAGGCATGCAACACGCAAATGGCTGCCTATGACAGCAAAGAAAACAGGTACAATCAACACCATAAGCAGGGGCGGTACGGGTACGTACGTCTTGGCGATGTGTGCAAAGAGGGTCGCGACCCTCGTCTGACACGTTGGCCTTGATGGCCGCCACCAGACGCCGCTTCTTCTCCAGTTCCGCCTCCTTCCGGGCGGACAACTGAAAACATGGCCACCATGAGCTGCTGTGTGGAGAGCAGTCATTGCATGACAGCTGGGCCTGCTGGCGGCAGTCTACTCCAGCCAGGCCACCCGCGCTGGGTCAGCTTTAGGAATCTGGATTCAAAGTCAGGTGACCAGTGTGTTCAGTTGCATATACCAGTGCCAAATTGGGCAATGACTCAAAATGCACCAAACCCAAGCTATGTTATAGTCTATGTCTTACAGATGCCCAACACACTAAGTGAGTTTATTTTGTCATTTTTAATAACATGATTATTACAGCCAGGCAAGCATCACAGTCTTGAAGATTGGGACACTCACCAAGTTCATGTCCAGGTTCTGAAGCGTAAGCTCCGTGGGACTGTTAACCTCCTTGGTGATCTTTAAATCCTTGACAGTGTTCAGATTCAGGAACAGCACATCACACTGGGTAGGTCGGCCGTTCGTTGGCGGCCGTTCTGGTTGTTCTTGGTTAAGGAAATACTTCATTCACATCTCTGCCGCAATGTCCATACACAACCTTGTGCAAAAAATGCCCACATTGTTTTCTGGAGATTACAGACCAGCCTTAGCCTATATGATTTTCACTGACATACCAATGAAGTGACACAGCTCTGTTCCCTCTCCTGTTTGATACAACATTTTGTGGAAGTTTTGGCTTTCACCGACAGCCACCAAAGTTAGACTTGCTTCACTTCCACAGTGATCATGTGTTCAATTAATCAGTGTTGGCAATTCTACACAATTTTCCTGGTAGCGGAGTACAAATTTTCTATAGTGGAGTACAAAACTACCAAAGTGCTGTGGGTCATTACAGCTATATTTAGGTTATCTTTCAGAGATAATAGTACAATGGGTGGCGCTCCACAAACGCCACTTTTCATATACAGCAATTCATGTAGAAGCATTTTAAATGAAAGGAAACATCAGTATTAATCATGCCACACTGAAACAACAGTCTCATGCTCTGTACTATGAAACACATGTGCATATTCATTGGTTTGCAATTTATGAAAGGCTCTGTGTATACATCCTTCAAAATGGAGGGTAATTACGCCGGTTTATACACTCTCCAAAATGGAGGTTGGGTACGATATGCACAGCCAGACAAAAACAGTACGCAATAATGCGAATGAGCACGCCACATACGGCCACCCTCTCATGCTCCACCACGATCACGCTACTCTCGCCCCACCACGGTCACGCTCCACCAGCTAGCTGGTTTTAAACACAGCTAAACATTCATGCTCTCCACCTTCCCACACCCAGCTAACACCCGAGGCCCTGCACGTCCCACCCAAACAATAGAGACAGACAGCACTCTCCAGCCATTTACTGAGCCAGCGCAAGCACAATGCCTGACAGACCCGTGTAGGCCGGCCAAAAGAGATCGGAGTCAGTCACTCCGCTGGCTCCGACGGATAATGCAATGCATTAATGGATTTTGATGCGCTTTAACTGATATTGCACAAGATGATAACTTATGATGCCATTAATTGATGTTTTTGTCCTAATAAGCCCTTCTCCTTACTTTGCCGGGCCAGTCATGGATTCATGTCACTCTAGTGTCCTGGCGCTCTTGCCGGAGTGAGATGGTTGTCTCCGAACAGTTTTTGGGCCATTTATAGCAACATTTAAAGGGCATTTTGGGTATTTCAACTTTTATTTTTTTATTAAAAGAGTATTTTGTAAAGCCTGAATTACCAGCTTTAATGTGACATTCAACTTGGTTTAAATCCACAGCTGCCTTAACATTTTTGTACTCCGAATACCAGGAAGTGGCCAAAAATCCAGCCACATGGCGGTTCTGGGCGAGTACAAATAAGTCCTTCATAATTGTGATGCCCATCTCTATACAGCTTCCCTCCAAATGTTTACAAGTCTGTTCATGGCATGGGCATGTGCAGAATATTTATGCTCTTGACAAATCAGTCACGAGGAGGTGAATCATTAAAGCCAGTTGGAGTTTTCCTATGTTCAACCTCCAACTTGAGCTGGGAGGCGGGCGCAAGCCGCTGAATGGTTCAGGCGTTTCTGACGCTGAATTGCGAGTGATTCTCTTATTTGCATTGCCATGACACAGTGGCGACGCGTGGGTAGGCGGCCTTTTGCGGTAGGTGATTGGGCGTGCGGTTTTTAAGAGTGTTCATTGCATCCTTGGCAACTAATGCGGTTCGTCGTCAATGGTAGGTTAAGTCATGTTCAAGTTTGAGTTGGTCTGCATAGCGTAAAGGTAATCTACAGACCAGTGCGATTCTAGTACTCATTTCTTATTTCCTGGCATTGTTTATAGGCTATTCCATTCAGCATTGACATGCTTTATTTTTACATTTTCATACATGGTTTATCATATACCTAAGTGGCAACACAGGCTGCTTGCTATTAGGCATGTTAGTCTGGTGGGTGCAATTTTTGTGCTCTTGCATATATCAATACATGGCTCCTGATGGAAGCAGCACATCTCAAGCTGTTGTACATCCTGGTTTTATTCTGTCCTGACACAGAGATAAAGTGAGTTTTTTCCAAAAGCTGTTCTTGTTGCATCATGATGGAGTATAACACATTTCATTTTACCTAGTCACAATCCTGAGTACAGAATCTTCTGGCATACATTATACCAGGAAACACCAAGTTTTCCAATGCTGATTAATCAAACCACTTACAGGTTTTGTCTGGCTTTATGTTAGGCTCATGATCAGCAAGGCACACATTTGCAACCCTCATGCCATTTGCATGCCTTATTCATTTCTCATATTGAAAGGTGAGCCTTAACATTGAGTAGGCACACACAAATTTCTTTCTACATCAGACCTTCAAAACTCTTCCCTGGAGCAGGGTCACACAATTAGTGGAGTACTATATTGATTCCAGAACAAGACCGGTGTTTCTGTTTATTACGTGTGGTTTTTTATAACCTAGGCTTATTTCTCCCCTTCTGGTTTTACATACCACACTGGAAAGCCTTGTTGGCTTGGGTGAAAAAGCTTGGTGGCTTCCTCAGCTGATGAAACAAGCAAGCTAAAATTGAGGCACCCAACAATACCCTGTGGTATGTAACTTGTGACAGGCATTTTGGGACATGCTGCTTTTAAGGTTCCTTACTTTTGCTGAGTCAACATATGATTGAAATGGGTTCTCATATTACCACACATGCTAAATGGTCATTTACCATCTTCAATACTTCAGATTATAGGTTGGGCAAAGGGGTATGTAAGGAGGGTGATGCAGCAATGCATTCCACAACAAAGCCTTCTGGCAGCACAACCCTCAACAAATACTTTTCCTTGCAGGTCAATGGTCCTCACAGCCAAAAGCATGCTGTAAAGAGCCAAAGACCACAGTCCATTATGCAAATTTGGATAAATCTGCAATGAAAATCAATGTTTCTCATTATGCTGCACCAATCAATTCTTATTTTTTATCTAGCAGAGCCAAACCCCAAGGGAACTGGGCCAAGGTTTGTCTGCATGCTTTGCTCTTAATTTTCTGCTGTCCTGACCAAATAGTCTGACCTGACCTCTGACCAAATAGCATTTCTATGGTCAGATGGGCAGTGGCAAATTTTTATGGTATGGTATGCCTATCTGGGTGACCTTGAAATAGTCTGCATGGGTGTGTACCAGGCATGCTAAGAAACCAGTGGGTTTGAAGTCTTAAAACAGACAGGGCTTTTTTATTTGATCCTCAAAACATCTGTCTGATTGACAATCCCATGCATATGAGGATCATTGCCTTTCACCATTTCTAGCAGACTCCAATAAAGAATACATTAAAACTTGGAATGCATGCAACACCACAACATTCACTTAATGTTACCTACACTTAACCATGCCAAATATCTACTGAGAGCTAAAATTGTGCAGCATAATTGCATAAGTAAAATAATCCAGTGTTGCTTTGAAATTTGTGCCATGGACCCTTTTACTAGCTTCTATTGTCCTAACAATAACACACCAAGTTTAGCTTGCATGCTGGAATCAAATGTCATTCAACCTTTGCTTAATAATAGCTTACCATATTGCTGGTCATCTATACAAGCATTGCAGAGGTAGATAAAAAAGTACAACAAAATAGACTCTGATAACAAATCACACATCATACCAGCATGGTCCAAATGTTGCCAAGCAGGATGCATCAGGCCACAAAAACAGTGCCAAATATGAAATATAAAAGAATAACTTAATTTATCTATAGATACCTACATCAACCTTGTATTCTGTCTCATTAAGTTGGTTCCTCTTGTATCTACTATTAATACTGAACAAAACCAGGTGTGTTCAAGTGATACAAGAAGGGAGAAACAGGCAACTTATACTATTTGAGTTGCCATGCTGTATTTAATGGCATAATTCCCAGGATCACATATCTCATCACTGATTTAAACATAGAATGCTGATTTTTCACTGCATTTGCAATATTGAAGTCCAGAACAAGGTAGAATACATGAAAGGATTCCTTGCAAGTGGTAAAAAATAGTGTTCTGTCAAATTCTTGCTTCATGAACATGCCAGCCATTACTGACACTTATGCCCAGAGCAAAAGGTTCTCCTTCTGCAACCTTCTGTTTAAGAGCCAAATGACAGATATCATTCATTGTTATCTTACTTCTTGGGGCTGGAAATGATACAAATAAATATAATATAAATGCAATTCTCATGTTAAAGGGTACAAACATGCCTAATGTCAGACCCCTCCATATGTAGTAGCTGTCATGCATGGTACTTATATAATTTAAAATAATTGCTTACTAAGAAAACAGTTAACTGCATTTAAGATTCACTATTATTAGCACCAATAGTATACAAACTAATCATTACAGGGCACATACTAAATTAGTTATTTGATAGTTCATATGATAATTCACTCACTAAGATTGGTAACAACCTGTAACTTTTTGTTGCAACCTTATTAATCATTTGCAAAGCCTGCTGGCTCAACCTGTGCAATCCTCATAGAGAAAACAAATACTTATGGTGTTGCCATGGCTACTGGAGCAACACCACAATACAATACAGAGTAGGCTACAATGAAGACAAGCAAATCACAAAAGTGGAAAGCCAGAAAACCAGCAGACATCACATATTACATCACCTTCACTCCTGACTCAGCTGCACACCCACACCTTAGTCACGCCCATCACGAGGTTCTGAGCAGTAAAGCAATAGGTGCATGCCATCTCTTGGACTGAAGATCAATACGTCAAAATCTCATGTCATTATTTTCCTTCAAATTCAATTAAAATATTAAAATGCATTCTAAACACATTTCACGTGCGACCGGCGTGCGAGACTAATCCGACGCACACAACCTCACTCCGACATAAGGCGAAAAGGATACTCAAAACCAGAAACTTCGTCTGCCTCTCAAACGCAATAACTTCTCCGTTATTTCTTCGTCGAAACAATTCTTGCAGTACACAGTACTCCCGACACCAATGATATCGCCCTCATCAGCCATCTCCCCCAGCTCCACTTTGGTTTCCCAGTGATAGAGAAGGGCAATGACGCTGACTGCTCCAAACTCTCGGATTTGAATGAAACTATTGGTACTAATAGACAGTATATCATGAAGTTGCAAAATGTTGTAAAAACAAGGGAAAACACCATGATAATGATAATGAGAAATACTTATACTTTATTATGTTCAGTGCAGTGTCTCCTTAGTATATCATCACAATACATCTTATTGAACGTACGTGCACGGTATTGAATGAATGTGTTTCTATGGTTGAAGATAAACGCCCAACCGCCGCTTGAAAGCGGAGCGGATCAGGTTCTGCGGGATAATAAGAAGTTACAACCATGTTCAAAATAAAACACCATTTACTATGCTAGGTGGAAGTTAACAACATAAAAAATAAAAAAGGATTCACTTACTTCCTCCAGCTGGTCGCATGGTCCGCGCCCGTTTTGCATATGCCTTAGCGCGGTACAAAAGCCTGAACTTTAATGAATCAAGTCTACAATTGGCAGTTAGTCGGCTGTTCAAACTACTATACAGTTTGTTACAACGCTTCGTATGCAATATGCGTAGCCGAAATGCGTAGCAGCGCGGCTTTGCCGGTCGATTTTGATTTGGTACTGCTGTTTCCTTACACGTCAACATATCGCGTCAGGTATGCCGCGCTGCTGTCGTTACAATCGAGCCTTGGTTTCGGGCAGGTGCGTTAAAATACGCCACTTTGCAAGATAGCAGCGACTAGGTCCGCGCGGTGGTTACTGTTTATAGTCTATGGTGATTTCGGATTTGTTTTAGAGGTTTTTAAAACAGATCCCCGAATCAGGGCGGTTTGGCAAGCGGAGCTGCGTGCTGACTGAACGTGTGGCAGAGCAGTGTCGGCCACATTAAACGGCATATTCCGGAACGGATGATGGGGAGCCAGGGAAATGACGTAGATGAGCTGTTTGAAGTGAAAAATTCCTTTTATTTGGGCAACTATCAACAGTGCATAACAGAAGCTCAAAAGCTGAAGGTAAATGGACAAGAGCAGCGGCTGGCAAGATGTGTTCTTGTACAGGGCGTACATTGCTCTGAAAAAGTTCAGCATTGTGAAAGATGAAATTCATGGGCATCACACCAGAATTGCAGGCTTTGAAACTCTTGGCTGAGTACCTGTCTGGTTCACGATCCAAGCGAGATCAGGTTGTGACAGAACTGGACAAGAAGTTTTGCAGGTGACATTGATCCCAACAATGTGGCTCTGTTTTTGGCAGGGGCAACAATTTATGCAAATGAACAGAACCATGAAGCAGCCCTGAGGTCCTGCACCAAGCAACAGACCTTGAGTGCTCAGCACTGACACTCCAGATGTACCTTGCAATGGACAGAGTTGATCTTGCTCAGAAGGAACTGAAAGCAATGCAGGAGAAGGATGATGATTCAACAGTCACCCAGCTTGCCCATGCATGGTTCAACATTGCTGTTGGAGGGGAAAGCTCCAGGATGCATTCTACATCTTCCAGGAGCTTATTGACAAGTCTGTTCCCACACCATTGCTGCTCAATGGTCAAGCTGCATGCTTCTTGGGATGTGCAAGTATGAGGAGGCAGAGCCTGTATTACAAAATGCTCTGGATAAGGATAACGACAACCCAGAAACCCTGATCAACCTGATTGTCCTCTCGCAGCACACTGGAAAGCCTCCAGAAGTATTGCCAGATATCTCAGCCAGCTGAAGGACTCTCATGCTAGCCACCCATTCATGAGAGACTACCAGGCAAGGAGAATGAGTTTGACAGGCTGGCTCAGCAGTATTCCATGATGGTGAAGTCATAGGTTATGCTGTGGTTGACTTGCCAAAGTTATCTGAGTAAATGCATTTGTGACTTTGTTGCTAAAATGTTTAGAATAAGGCTCCTGAAGGGCTGAAGTGTTGGTAAATATTTTAGTAGATGTATGTGTAGTTTCCATTGGGATGCCAATTTGGTGGTGTATGCTTTGCTTTGCTTCATTCTTTAGTCAATACAAGAAATGAATATGTGCCATCTTGTTTTCAGCTCTTCGCATCAACAGGTGCCACCAACAAATAAGATATATATAGCAATTCCATCATTTTGCACACAGTTATAGACAATGTCTCATGTAAGGATTAATTCCATGTGAAACACTGCATGATGCATATGTGCTTTTGCTAATATGATTAATACTCTCTGACAGGGCTCCCTATGCCATTGGTCTTATCTGGGATGATTCCTCATTCCTCCATTCCTTTTGGAGTAAGAGAAACTATCAGCACAATGTATGGAATGCAAATGTTATTATATATGTTCTTGCATGTCTTACATGGCCAGCTGAGCAGAACCAGATCACTCACAATCCCCAGGATCACCCCAGACAGTGATGACATGGCCAGAGTCACCATGTATCACAGGTAACAGCACCACCTCTACTGTTGATTGCACCAGCACCACTGCTAACTGCACCACCTCTGCTGCTGACAGCACCAACCCCACTGCTGATTGCACCACCTCTGCTGCTAACTGTACCAACCCCACTGCTGACCACACCACCTCTGCTGCTCACTGCATGGACCCTGCTGCTCACTGCACCACCCCTCTACAACATTACTGACCATGCCACCTCTGTTGCTGACTGAATTGACCCTGTTGCTGACTGCACCACCTCCATCACCTCTGCTGCCGACAACATTGGCTCTGCCGCTGACTGCAACTGCCCGCCTCTGCTGTTGACTGCACCGACCCTGCTGCTAACTGCATCCCCTCTCTACCACCTCTCTACCACCCTTGCTGTTGTCAACAGCATTGGGCTGACAGCTGACAGCACCACCCCTGCTGTAATCATTCACCAGGTGTCAAATGCTCAGCAGTGCTGTTGAGCACCTATATTGTAAACATTTCAAAACTTTCAAAGCAGACCACTTCCTTTGTCCAGATTTATGCATTATGCATTACTCATGACAGCAATGACACTATTTGACTCATCCAGGACATTCACTGGAAGTATGCTATCTGGATGTGTCCATGATGTGTGTTCATGCAAGGTCATTGAGTGACCTAATCTGGCCTTGGGTCTGCTTCAGTCGCCTGGCCTCTTGCACTTTAACATTGTGATGCAAGCCTGGATGGATCCAACAAAAATAACTTAAGGTGGATTCTGGCATGACCTTGACCCATATGACCCAGTTAGCAGCAGAGGTGGTGCATGACCATGACCTTGTTTGCCGGACATGAAATGGACAAATGGGCGCAGGCAGCGATGAATAGTGGTGTAGGGTTTGTTGACCTCCGAAGGCCGGAGCTTTCCATGGCCCGCAGAAAGGCGGAGTGGTCGACGTAATCTCGTGTGGTCATCTGTAGCGATTTGAAGGAAATGAGGTCGGGGTCATCCAGACCGTGCTGAAGGCGGTAGGGCACATTCCAGACCATGTGGAAGGCAATGGGAAATAATGTGCTGGGCCATATACAGATTATCTCATGTCGTGCTATTAAATCCAAAACTGTGTCATTCCATGACACCAATGATACTACAAGACTTGTCTGGACATGTGTCATGTGCTGCCTGGACATGTGCAGCTCAAGCAGACCGGCACGAGGCCGCCACGTGACCTGACTTCAGTCTAGGGTCGCCCGCTAGACTAATTGCACCCCAAACTAAGATGTAAGATGGAAGTGAATGTGTCAGCGGAAGTGGAGTGGTTTCCAAATTTCGGTGCGCTTTAACCGGCCGAGCGTCATATGGTAGAATGAAGTGGAGTGTACAGTGGAGTGTCGAAGATCCACCTGGTCGGGGGTGTGGAGCTTGTCGTTCAGCTGGGGGGAGGGGCTGAAGCTATTCCCGACTTGGGTTCCAACATCTCATCCTTGGGAAGAAAATGGGCGAGATCCGGGAGGAGCTCGTCTGTTTATTATGGGGCTAGGTTGAGTCATTTTACGCTTCAGCCTCCCCCCCCCCCCCCACACACACTGTCACTGCAAAACCACATTGTTGCTTCCTGGTGTTTGGTGACCTCTGTAGAGGTCACCGCTTTCGATGCACCACGGAGAGCTCAGCATAGTCGATCTGTCCTGGAAGAGCGCCATGATTTTCCTATCCATTATGTTCCACTCGGATATTAATAGGAAGATGGATCAAACCTTGATTACCTTAGATTACGACATATCATCGGGTTTCTTCTACGACGGTTTCAGAGGTGTTTCTGAGATTTACAGCATTCTGGACCAGATCATACGTAACACAACAGATTGTGCCTCAAACCTCTGAAGAAGCGCGCCCGACACTGCATTCCAGCACGGGTCGGAAATGGAAGGGGAGACAATGCGCATTCAACCGTTTCCTTTTAAGCAACACCACAGGCGTACATTCCTAGAGAAAGGGAGCGAGGCTTCCCCGCCGCCCGGTGTGCGGTCCTTGGCTTCAACATCCCTCAGATGTGTCAGATTACGGAAGGCTCGCGCACACCACGCAAAACCAGGCGAACAACCCACCGGGGCCGGCGCGGACTGCGCGTCAACGCACAAATTCCTGCTCGCAGTCTGTCACGCGGCACCAGCCCACACCGCCCGGCCATTTCGCACTCACTGAGCGCAGTGGGCCCGGAGCGACTCCCACGCGCCAGCTCGACCCACGACCGCGCTGCAGCAGCGCCCAGTCCTGCCTGCACTCCTCCGACTCCCCGAGGCTTAAACACGGCCGGTGCGCTTTGTTCAAATGTATTAAAATACGGTGGCACGGGCCGACGCGTCCGGCCCTGCCTCAGCGGGTCCAGCCCTGCCTCGGCGGGTCCAAGGCCTCCCTCGGGCGGGACCAAAGCCTACCTCGGCGGGTCCAGGGCCTGCCTCGGCGGTCCAGGCCTCCCTCGGGCGGGTCCAGGGCCTACCTCGGGCGGGTCCAGGGCCTACCTCGGGCGTCCAGGCCTACCTCTGGCGGGTCCAGGGCCTACCTCGGGCGGACCAAAGCCTACCCCGGAAGGGACCAGGACCTGCCTCGGGCGGGGCCAAGGTCTGCCTCGGGCGGGACCAAGGTCTGCCTCGGGCGGGTCCAGGGTCTCCCTCGGGCGGGACCAAAGCCTACCTCGGGCGGGTCCAGGGCCTGCCCTCTGGCGGGTCCAGGGCCTCCCTCGGGCGAGACCAACCTACCTCGGGCGGGTCCAGGGCCTACCCTACTCGGGCGGGTCCAGGGCCTACCTCGGGCGGGACCAAAGCCTACCCCGGAAGGGACCAGGACCTGCCTCGGGCGGGACCAAGGTCTGCCTCGGGCGGGTCCAGGGTCTACCTCGGGCGGGGTCCAGGGCCTGCCTCGGGCGGGACCAAGGCCTGCCTCGGGCAGATCAAGGCCTACTTCGGGCGGATCCTGGGCCTGCCTCCGGCGTGTCCAGAGCCTACCTCGGGCGGGTCCGGGGTCTACCTCGGGGCGGGTCCAGGGCCTGCCTCGGGCGGGACCAGGGTTTGCCTGGGGCGGGTCCGGCGCCGGCTGGGCGGCGACCGCGCCAAGCGTTAGCTGGCGGCTGACTTGTTATCCTTCCGCACGACGCGGCGTGCGGTGGGGGCGCCTCGTTAGCATTACATGCGATAAGCGGCGGGTTACCGGTGTTACTGAACACGATATGGGGAGGGGGACTATGAGGACCCGGGGGTCGCGATCCCGGCTACACGGGGGCTACAATGGAGGGGGGGGGGGGGGCGCTCTCAAGCTACGGAGCTCCTGACACTGACCTCGGTTCAACCACGTAACAGCGGTCCACACGCGCTCCGTAACAATCAATAATAATCTAATTTGGCTAGGCTTTCAGCGGGTGCGAGGCGCGCCTCGGGAGCGCACTCCAAACGGTGCCGGTCAGTTACAACGTCACAAAACATATGGCAGCGCTGAGGGGGGGGGGGAGGGGCATTGGGCCGGCCACTGCGGCAGATCGGCACTTCCAGCTGGACCGTCGGGCCGATGGCGGCTGGCGGCGGCGGACAGCGCCGGTTGACGGCAGGGCGGGCGCGGGCGGCCGGGCGCCGGTGGCGCGCGCCACTGCCGCCGCCCACACCTCCGACATGAGATCACGGGCGGCCGGCGCGCCGCCGACGCCGCCGGCGGGCTCGCGGGCCGCCACGCCTAAACTACAGTCGCCCACATCAGACTGGGAACAAAATGCCACGACGCCATGCACGACTCCTGCAGTAGCCACATGCGAATGGGCCCTAGCGAATTATGGCGGACACGACGAGCTCACTGTCAACAAACAACGATCACCAACCAACGCACAAAAGCCGGCAGACACCAAAGATCATATCAAAACCTTTCGTCACTCCAAGCTAAGTTTCATCCAGTCCATGAGTATTAGAAAGTAACTAAACGTTGTCAACTACGTAAACATAAGTAAGAGGTATCCACTTCACGAGCTTAAAGAGAAAATGCGATCTTGGACGCTGGCGGCGCCCGGCAATCTCCGCAGTTCCAACAGCCAGCCCTGTGGCGGTCGCTTGGCCGCAGGCTTACCGCACTAATAAATGCAAAACAAACGCGGTCCGGGCAGCCGGGCGGTGGCGGCGGCCAGCTGGTCCCGGCCGCGCCGCCCGCTGCGCCGGCCCGGCGGCGGCGCGCCCGGCCGCCAGAGTATTGTTTGTCGTTGAGCGGTGGTCCGGCCTGCGGCTGGGCCGACGGCTGACTAGGTGGCGCGCGGCGCGACGGCGGCGACGGCGGCGGCCGCCGCCGCTAGCCGGGGCTGCCGCTGACCCGGAAGCGACGCTGGTGTGGCGCTGAGTCGGAGGCGGCCGCTGCCCGCAGCTGCAGGTAGTTGTCGTCACCGATCGGGGCCATCCTGCCAGCGCAGAGAAGGCCGTCACCACACTCCAGTGGCGACGCACGAGGTCGCGATGCGGTCGGTTGAATCGGCAAACCTATTTTTGGAACTTTAATGCATAAGGGCTGAGATCGAAATAGCAGCTAGGTAGACCTTATTTTGACATGCTTCATAATTTCATGTACCTTTGCTCATTATTAACGTACGTAAAACGGTCAAAGTCGAATGTCTAATGCTAATAACAGCACGCTTCCATTACCCTGGGAAGCCATCTGGTCTTTTCTTATCTGCCTATTGCATTTCACATGCCTATTCTCCTGGGTCTTAACACTCGTCGCATGTTTCGTGACAAGCTCAACCTTGACAACCATCTCAACCTTGATGACAGACTTCAGCCGCCCGTACCCGGAATCACGATAGCATGCTATTTACGCAGGCTCGTGTGCACAGGTCTGCGCCCACACGCCGGTACCGCGCGCCAGGCGAACGCGCGCGCTCGGCACCCGCCAGAGGGCGACCGGCGCCGACTGACCGGGAGCCGTAGCGGATGCCCCGTGCCAGGCTGCGGCTGTGGTCGCGGTGCTCCTGCTCCAGCGAGATCACCGCCGACACGATGCTGTTGATGGTCTTGTAGCCCACCTCCGTGTCCTGGATCTCGTAGTCGGGGTCGCCCAAGTACACGGCCTTACAGGCGTACTCGTCTGCCGGCAAGACATCGCGTGTTGCGTAAGATTACCTTTCCCACACGACTGGGCCCGCACGTGATACGCTCAATGGCACCAATATCCAACCAACGGTGACTGTGAGCTCGCTCAGCGTCTCTCGCGCGGGGCTTTGTGACGTAGGGACACTATCACGCTAAGTGACTCGCTATCAGAAAACGACAAACTCTGCCGGCTGAGGCTCTGCTACACCCCGGGCTCTGTGGCCAGGCGCTCCAGATGCTACGCCCCGCACTGCCCCGAGCGTCAAACTCAGAATCTCCGGACCAGCACGGATCACGCGGCGAGAGCGGCGCCAATACTGACCCTTGAGCTTGCCGAGCTCGTCAAGATTAGCGGCGAACAAGGCGTACACCCGCTCCATCTCGCGGTCGCTGTCGGCGGCCAGCTTGATCTCGGCGTGCAGCTTATCGGCCGTCACCGGCGCGCAGCCGATGGCGTTCTTGGTCGGCGTCCGGCAGCTGGACACGGCGCGGTCAGGTCAGGTCAGGTCACGGGTGGCGGCGGCGCGGCCCACAGACACACGGGGATGGCTCCAGGCCAGCGGGACCGGCAGCCGTCGCACGCGCGGCCGTGGCGGTCTGCCGCCGCAGCCGGCCGCCGCTCTCAGCATCAACACTTCACCCAAGATCCTGCCATACATAGGTACCCGGACATACTAGAATGGGGGAGTCGAACATGCCTGTATAACCAGAACATCGCGTGTGCCGTGCGTACGTCGGACATGACGCGTCGAGTCGAACACGATCACAACGTCCAGAATACAGGGCACGCCGCCATGGTCCCCCCAACCAGTGAGCACGTCCAAGACCATGCGACCCCCGCCGCGTCGGCGGCCGTCTCTGTCCGGCCCGCCGGCCCGCCCTCACCAGGTCCAGATATTGTCCCGGAACTGGCCAGGGTGGAACTGGTCCGTCTTGTCCTGGTTGTGCGCGCACACCTTGGACAAGATGTCCACCCAGGCCTTCTGGTCGACGCAGTTGTTGGCCTGCGGAGCGGCCGGCATCAGGTGGTGTTGTGTGTACGTCTGCGCGTGTGTGTGTGGGGGGGGGGGGGGGATGGCAGCCACCGCTGACCGCGGCGAGCTAGACAGGCGGGTAGACCTTGTCACGGGGCTGTGTTATTGGCTCCAGGCGTAGCCCGTGAATTGTAGAGACAATCAGGGCTGGCCTTCGATTCATTAACTCAGTGTGAAGCAGTAGCAGAAGCAAAAGTACAACTGCTGTCTTTGCGTATGCATTGCACGATAACAAAACAAAAAACAACAACTAGGTAATGCAAGCGTGGGACATGCCACGTGTCTAATGCTTGCAATAACCCGGGACTCTGGCACCCAAATAATCTATAGCTGGGCTGTGATGAAAACAAACTGCACACACCTGTATGTACAGATCCTTGTCCGGCTGCACCAGCTTGAACATGTTCTTCTTCTTGAACTGCGCCTCATCCACCAGCTCCACGGTCCGGATGTTGTCCACGGGGATCTCGTGCAGGGGCCGTTGTCCTGGGGCAAGGACGGCTCTATCAGACACTCGGCTGTGAGGTACTGGGCGTCGTCCGCCGCCGGCCAGACACCGTCCCATGACCCGGCGCACGGCGAGGGACGGACCAACAGCCCCGCTCCAGGACGTCGCGCCCCGGCCCTGGCTACTGCTGAAGTGAGGAAAAACGTTTTGAAAAAACCAAATAGGGGAGGGGGACACACTGGGTTGCTTTCGCTATGAAAGGAATAGATGACACGCCAGCGATGCTAACCGCGATGTTAAGAATAAAAAGTCACATAGTCCAATCAACTTCGGTTGAATCCTTAAAAGTGCTGCAGGTCAGATTTCAAGTCGTAAAATGATGCATAACGACGCCCCAAAAAGCACGCGTACAACGAGAACAGCTGACCAATGTCCTGACAGCCTTGTGAATGACGTGAACGGCGTGTAAATTTCCAGCCGCCTCCAACGCTCGCTGAGCCCTGGCTGATGGCCGCCGTAGCGCCTCGCCCGCAGTCCCACAGTCCGCCGCCCGGAGACGGTAGAGACCCGGCCCGCCGTCCCACAGTCCGCCGCCCAGAGACAGCCGAGGCCCGGCCAGCTGTCCCACAGTCCGTCGCCCAGAGACAGCCGAGGCCCGGCCCGCCGTCCCACAGTCCGTCGCCCAGAGACAGCCGAGGCCCGGCCAGCTGTCCCACAGTCCGCCGCCCGGAGACCGTAGAGACCCGGCCCGCCGTCCCACAGTCCGCCGCCCGGAGACAGCCGAGGCCCGGCCAGCTGTCCCACAGTCCGCCGCCCGGAGACGGTAGAGACCCGGCCCGCCGTCCCACAGTCCGCCGCCCGGAGACGGCCGAGGCCCGGCCAGCTGTCCCACAGTCCGCCGCCCAGAGACAGCCGAGGCCCGGCCAGCTGTCCCACAGTCCGCCGCCCGGAGACAGCCGAGGCCCGGCCAGCTGTCCCGCAGTCCGCCGCCCAGAGACAGCCGAGGCCCGGCCAGCTGTCCCACAGTCCGCCGCCCGAGGACGGCCGGGCCCCGGCCCGCCGTCCCACAGTCCGCCGCCTGGAGACAGCCGAGGCCCGGCCAGCTGTCCCACAGTCCGCCGCCCGGAGACGGCAGAGTCCCGGCCAGCTGTCCCGCAGTCCGCCGCCCAGAGACAGCCGAGGCCCGGCCAGCTGTCCCACAGTCCGCCGCCCGGAGACGGCAGAGTCCCGGCCCGCCGTCCCACAGTCCGCCGCCCGGAGACGGCCGAGGCCCGGCCAGCTGTCCCACAGTCCGCCGCCCGGAGACCGTAGAGACCCGGCCCGCCGTCCCACAGTCCGCCGCCCGGAGACGGCCGAGGCCCGGCCAGCTGCTCACCCTTGTGGGCCGCGTACGTCAGGCTGCGCGTGGTGAGGCAGAAGTAGCGCTGTCGGAAGTTCTTCAGACCCATGAGCCGGCGGCCCATAGCCCGCTTCACCAGCACCCTGCAACGAGAGCGGTGCTGCTCGAGAACAGGTGACAGGCGCCGCCGAGGCCGGAGCGCGGCGGCCACCCCCGGCGGACCGCGCGGACCCACTGCTTGCCGCCGGCCGACCGCACGGACCCACTGCTCGCCGCCGGCCGACCGCATAGACCCAACTTGGTGCCCGATGGGTACTGCGCTGCGAGATCTGGCTGTTGCGCTGGGGACGGGCGACGATCTGCACGTGCGATCGCAGGGGAACCAAGCAACGTCCCACAACCGGAAACGCGCCGTCGTCTTACCAGTTTTCCGTTCGGGCAGCTGGACGAAAGGAAACTAGTTAGATTTGCACACGGTCGCGTGGCCTGCTCTTGCCGATCGAGTCACATCTCCTTCATCAGAGTCGCCTTTCCTCATCCATTACAGCATGCCCATGCGCGGCACGTTTAGATGGGCAACACGACGAAGCGAAATCGACAGTAATGGCGGAAAGTTTAATGTTGTGCCGGCTCACAGTTTGAAAAAGATCATAATGAGTAAAAACCTGACGACCCCAATGAATTTTGTCAGGAGAAGGCGCTGTAACAGTTGCTGCACGTACCCCTCCTTGAGTATGATCGGCGAATCCAGGGCCTGGTGGGGAGCCGACTCCGTCGATATCACGTCCAGGAACTGAAACCGCGTCCGCCACACGTCAGGGACGGTGCCAGTCTGGACCGCCACTCCGGCCACAGGCGGCCCAGCCCGGCCACTGTGTCCGCGTTACCAGGGCTCGAGAGCTCGACGCGCGTGACGCGGGCCGTGACGGCTACAATGGTATCGCATAGCTGGACTGAGACGAGCAGTCACGCCTTCTGACTTTGGCAAGTCCGGCTGCAAATGAGCTAGGAACATCGCAATGTCAGACCGCGATCATTCCGACCACGCTTTAATGGGAGATGAGCTAGGAACATCGCAATGACAGACCGTGATCATTCCGACCACGCTTTAACGGGGGGTCTTCGCGCCTGTGACCACGTACCAGCCGCAGCTTCTGCAGGTAGCTATCGTTGAAGAAGTCCTGGTTGACCGGCGTCATGTACTCCTCCTTGAACGTTACGGCGCTGCGGGAGCCGACGCAGCTGCCCAGGCTGTTGATGGTCTTGGAGATGAGCTTCAGCGTCCGACTCGTCTGAGGGTCCTGCGTCACAGACGTGTCACGTGATCGCCGAGGCTCGACTCGTCTGAGGGTCCTGCACCACAGACGTATCACGTCATCAACGAGGCCCGACTCGTCTGAGGGTCCTGCACCACAGACGTATCACGTCATCAACGAGGCCTGACTCGTCTGATGGTCCTGCGCCACAGACGTGTCACGTCATCACCGGGGCCCGACTCGTCTGAGGGTCCTGCGTCACAGACGTGTCACGTCACGTCATCACGGGGCCTGACTCGTCTGAGGTCCTGCGCCACAGACGTGTCACGTGATCGCCGAGGCCCGACTCGTCTGATGGTCCTGCGCCACAGACGTGTCACGTCATCACCGGGGCCTGACTCGTCTGAGGGTCCTGCGTCACAGACGTGCCACGTGATCGCCGAGGCCCGACTCGTCTGATGGTCCTGCGCCACAGACGTGTCACGTGATCAACGAGGCCCGACTCTTCTGAGAGTCCTGCGCCACAGACGTGTCACGTCATCAACGAGGCCCGACTCGTCTGAGGGTCCTGCGCCACAGACGTGTCACGTCATCAACGAGGCCCGACTCGTCTGATGGTCCTGCGCCACAGACGTGTCACGTGATCGCCGAGGCCCGACTCGTCTGAGGGTCCTGCGCCACAGACGTGTCACGTCATCATCGGGGCCTGACTCGTCTGAGGGTCCTGCGCCACAGACGTGTCACGTCATCATCGGGGCCCGACTCGTCTGATGGTCCTGCGCCACAGACGTGTCACGTCATCATCGGGGCCTGACTCGTCTGAGGGTCCTGCCCACAGACGTGCCACATGTCACTGCGCACAACCGGGGCAGGCGAGCCGCATCACTCCAGCTTATGGTCAGGCTGGACAGCGCTACGGCTAACAACGCTCCGCTCCTCACCAATGCCTCACGTGTACATTTCATACCTCTCGGAAGCCTGAGGCCCCGCAGCTCGACGCCTGTTCGCTGGTCGCCTACCAACACATGCTCACGTGCACGAGCATATTAGCCGCGGTCGGGGCGCTACCTCGCTGCCCAGGGTGCCGGACGCCAGCAAACGGCGCGGGAGCTCGCTCGTGATGAATCATCGCGACACTACAACTACAACACTCAAACACTACAACACGGACTAAGCGCCGACGAGACCCTGGCGACTACAGGACTGTACGGCCCCAACCCCCTGCTTTTCTACACACATTCCTCTTGGACGCCGGGATGCAGTGAATCCAATCACGCCGCGGCGGCTGGCACGGCCCCGCGGGCCAGCTCGCTCACCAGCTGCTCCTGAGTGAGATCGAACAGCTTCGGACTGAGCAGGGCCGGAGCGAAGAAGCGCAGGAACACGAAGCCGGACAGCACGCAGTACTGCACCTCCTGGTTGTCTGCGGAGCGGACCACATGGCGTCACACACGGCACCAGCGGCGGCGACTCGCGCTGTGCTGAGGCCCGCGACGCACCCTGCGGTCCGGTTCTGGTGGGCCCGCGGGACGCGACACCGCATCGGAGCCGCCGCGAGGACCGCGGCGGGAGCGTCCCAGCCGGCGGCACTCGGCTGCCGACGCCGGGTCAAAGCGCACACCAAGGCCGGGCCCGCTTCGCTGACGGGGGCCCGACGTCCCGCCGCCTACCAGCGCGTACCTGGGAACCGCAGCTTGGCCTGGCGCTTGAGCGCGAAGAAGACGCGGCACATGATCGAGGGACACTGGTAGGCCGAGTTGATGATGGCCGCGAACGTCTCGCGGATGTAGTCCTTGAGGTTGGACAGGTTGGCGTCGATCCGCTCGGCGTCGCCGATCTTGCCCGGGTCCACCTGGGCGCGCGCGCGGGCGGGCGTTACAGACGCGGCCAACCACGTGCAGCCGAACACGCTAGGGCGTAGAAGAACAACCGGTCCAGTTTTTAGTGAATGAACACCATCAGATCCACGAGACAACAACGACCTATTAAGATCGATAACATCGTTTACGAGGACCATAACGTCCACTGAAACAGCTGAAAACGTAACCATGACACTGATATCCGTAAAAAGACCTATCTTGACGAACAATTCTTTATACCCCCACAAAAATCAAAAAACGCAATTATGCGCACCGAATATAAGGGCGATGCCGCCGTCCTGCTCTTCACGCAAGCCCCAGCCGACCGTTAACAGGGGGTCGGCCGAGCGGGCGGAAACAGGGCCAGTGTACGAAACCCGGCCGCTCTCCGTACCTCGCATGGCTTCTTCTCCTGCGCGATCCGCTCCACCACCGGCTTCAGCACCGTGTGCAGGTAGTGCAGGCCGGCCAGCTTCATCAGCTCGTCCATGCACTTGGAGACGAGTGTGTTGCCGCGGAAGATGGTGTTCAAGTGGCTGTAAATGGGACACACGACCGTGACACGTCGTGCACCGAACCCGCTGTCCTGCTGCAAATCGCCTATCACACATGCCGTTCAATGACGTGTGAGGCATAACTTAACCCCCATCAACTTACAGCCTCGACGCTGTTTCATAACATTCACGTGCTGAGATAATGTCACAACCCAGGTCACGAACGCTAAGCGCGCCTTCACCCTGAGACTACTTGGAACGTCCGCTTCGCCCACATTGCCGCCGCGGGGCCGAACACTAACGTTTCATGGGCGATCTCCCACTCGGCAAGCGACTCAATGAGAGACACAATCTTGCCATGATGCAGGAAGATCCGGACCAGCGGCTCAGCCGCCTCCTGCTTGTTGGCGGCCACCTCGCCCAGGATGTAGACAGCGCTGCAGGTTACCGGCTGCCGGCGGCGTCCCATCGGTCAGCGTCTAACCGGGCGTCGGTGGGGAAGGAGGGGGGGGGGGGAGGGGGAGGGAAGGGGGGGGGGGGTGATACGGCCGCTCGACACGACAGCGCCGGTGTCGCCTGTCCGGTGTCCGGCGTCGTCTCTCACCTCGCCCGTTCGCAGCGAGGGAAAGGCGAACGCCGCCGGATGTGGTGACAGCGCGCCTCGAGCCAGTCTTACACGGTGTCCGGAGTCCGCCACGCGCACTTGCTCAGCGACCGGGTGGGTATGTATGAACTGCGGCGCACGAAATGCTAACACCACCCCGAGAAAGTGTTCATCACATGCAGATTGCATGCATACCACCGTTTGAGGACAAGGTGCGCAACGCTCCATTATGCAAACATCGTGCTTTAAAAGCGCAGTGAACACCGCCCGATCTGCGCGGCGTTCCCACCGCCTCCCGGAGCTGGCCAGCTGAAGCGGCGCCAGGCCAGGCGTCGTCCCGCCTCGCTCGGGCTCCAGCCACGCACCTGGACGCCGGGGCTCTGCAGGATCAGGTTCAGAAGCTGGTCGTAGTGCTTCGAGCTGATGACCTGGTCTGAGGTGTACTGCAGCTTGACCCGCAGCGAGCCGAGGTCGTGCGCGATCACGCGGTTGTTCTCGCGCGGCTGCAGGAAGTACCTGGAGAGGGCGCGATTATGACAGCGTCACTCACACGGAAACGCCCTGCAACGCGAACGTGTTCTAATCCCGCGCTAGCGGGCACGGCTGCTCCCACGAGGTCAGTTTCTATAGGGAGTACGCGATCCACTTCAAGGTGGGGTGGGACGGGGGGGGGGGGACAGGACCGTAACTCACGCGAGGCTACCTCCCGCACCGCGCAAAAGGCTGAACTGGAAGCAGGACGGTGCCATCATTCTACGAAGGATACTTTCTATATTGCGTAAGCAGATGAGCCCCGCAATGGCCAGGAACTTTCCAAAGCGAGGCCGTATTTACGCGCCGGATTGACTTCACGTGCAGTCTTCACAACTGGCCACAAAATACGCGCTTGCTCCGACTAGTCCAACACGGTCGCATATGACAACCCGCCGCCAGTGTTGCCCTATCTCAAGTGCCCCGGATCGGCAGTCCATCCGCATTCCAGTCCCAAAGACGCTAGTACAGTGCACAATGACGGGCGCTCCACTGCCACCGCCACCGCCACCGCTCCGCTGCCGCCTCACCAGGTGTCGTAGCCGGGGTCGTGCGGGTTCAGCTTGAGGCCGGCCTCGCCCGTCAGCGTGATGCGCACCTCGCCCAGGAACAGGTTGCCGAAGATGCCGGTCGACTCGTGCCAGACGGTGACGCGCAGCTGCATGGCCGCCAGCGAGTCGGCCGTGATCTCGCTCGGCCGCTGTGCCATCTGGCGACAGCCGAGGACCTCATCCTTTTCGCTGCATTTTGTGAGGGAGCGCGGCGCGCGTCGTCACGTGCCACACGACACCGCGCCGGCAACCACGACACACTTCGCCAGCGACGGAGCAGATAGTCATACTCGCAATCAGGGGCATGGCACAGGTTTCGAAGCAGGACTCTCACAGACACCGTGTGGCCGTCCAAAGCGCTGGCCACGCCGCCAGTCGATACCGTGCGGCGGAGCGAGCAGCGGCGCGGCCCGCCGAGGACGACCAGACACGCACCGGGTCTCCCAGTTGGAACGAGAGCCGGCGAAACCACCGACAACTGGCAGAGGCCTCGTCGACCACCGCCAAAAAGAATGATGCGCTTCCACGCGTTTAGTCGTGCAGCAGTAACGTGATCGTGAAAAGCGGGGGACCAGAGGTAGATGCCCATACCTCAAAGTAAAAGGTTTCGTCGAATTTGGGGCAGGTGGTCTTTGTCTTCTTCCGAGTGCGTTTCGAGTCGAGCTTCTCATTTTCGCACCAGAGGGAGACGTTCACGTGAGGATCGCACGCTCCGTTGCTTTTCGTGAGTCCGTTGCACTCAATGACCCTGTGCGGCACAGGAACGCACGGTCAGCGCACACGGAGCCACCGCTGTCGGCAGATACCATCGCAGGCACGGGACGAAACCAGTTTGTACTGCACCGCGCCAGGACAACGCACTACTTCAGCGGTCCGTGGACGCCATACCGGACGGGGCGGCGGCGCAGCCCCCGCCGGCATCGTTCAAAACAGGCAGATGCCGATCTCAGCGACAGTCGACCGCGCCCCACGATGCACATAACCCGCTTCAAGCTGGGCTGATATTAACAACACAGCAAGGTCGCTGCGAAATCATGCTAAATCTGGTAAAGGCAGCCCTACAGTACACCCGCTGCCTCGCAGTTGTATGCGCATGGCACGCCATGCCTGGCGTGTTATGTTCACCATTTTCTGCCACGCCCGATTCGTTCAAATGCGTTTTGACTCGCGCGTCTGGACCGAAAACTTATCAGAAGGCTGTACAGCCCAATGGGTTTAATTTGCATTCCAAATGTCTTTCGAAAAAATATTATGGTTATAGATACAGGCATCTGCAAAGCAGAGCTTGCTTAACAGACTATGGCCCCACCGCCAAAGTAAACTTATTCCAGTTAAACAACTTATATGCCACAGATGGAATAAATGTTTGAACTTTCGTCCTCATCTGGTGTGTTGAACGCACAGACCGTTTCGGCGAATCGACTCTCCAGCCGTCGTCAGCTGTTATTTCCAGTATGTTCATTCGTTAGAGCACTAAATTCGCTGGACTGGACTGGAATCAGAAGACCCTGGTCCGAATCCCAGGAATCCCATATCCAGTGCTTCTAAAAACTCAATAATACCTGACGACGGCTGGCGAGCCGACTGGCCGAAGCATTGTGCACATACTAATGCACCATACGAGGACGATGGTCCGGACCATCATTCCATCCACGTTTTCAATAACTGTCTTAATCCCTCTGTTAAACTAATGCTAATCTGCCAATCAGCCATTCTTCCTTCTGTGTTTCAGAAGAGCGTAGCATGGGTGGGGAATTTTGAGGACGCCATGCGATGCCACGATGGGGCTGTCCGTTTTGACGGGCCTTCTTGGTCAATGGCCAATCATTCAGAGCTGATTGATATCACAAACACCATTTCTGTGGTCCAAGCCCATGTGCATAGCACACAGCAATCTGACGCCCAGCACCTCAGCTGAAGAGCCCGGGGAGTGAACCAGTCAAGAACAACACTGCTGATCCTAACACATGTCCACATTCACACTAGATGCCTGTTATCTGAGCCCATGAACCACCTCTGTAGCAAAAATATGTCAGCCCCACAGTCTGAGGACATGCTCATTGAAGTTGAGTAAGGAAATTATTGTTTGTGCTGGTAATTCCCTAATGTGCCATATACAGTGAAATAGAATCATTGGGCTACTACAGGACATGGCAGCTGCATGGGAACATCCCATAAAAACAACATATATCATGGCGTACTTATCAAGGATATCATGATCAAACACCACACTCCCTAAGATAGGTGGAAAAAGTAGCTAGAAAAATGTAATTATGATATTGATAACATAACAGGAAATGGTGCATACCACAGCTCACAATGACACCACCTCTAATTTTACTTGCAGCTCCAGCAACCTACAAGCTGAGTTTCATCACAACCAGCCCACAAGGCCCTAACTTTTCTAATGATGTATCACTGCATCCCTCCAAATACATCAATGCTATTAACTGTTTGGTGGCATTTTGTATGTTTGCCACAATGCCACTTGCACATCCTGTCTTCACTTCCAGCTCATGCAGCTGGCAAAGGCTAAGGCCTTCAAGCCCAAGGCACACAGCTCACCTGACGCTTAGCCGGGTCTGAGTGGGAGCACCTTCAGACTTCTGTATCGACTCCAACCGGATCTCCAGGTGAACCTCACCCTGCACCTCTGAGTCACAATCAACTGGCAAAATTTCAAACCAGTGGTCCTTGCCATAATACTTGTGAAGATCTTCCTTCTTCACAGCAACTTTGCCCAGAACCTATAAACAAAAAGATGGTAAAACAACCAACCTTTGAGAATGCTTGGAAGTTGAATAGTGTCAACTTGGCCAAAACCAACCAGAAAACCAGTTCTTGAAAACTATCTGGGTTAGGAGACAAGCCAATTCAACACTAAATAGAGCTTGGCTTGCAAACCTCATCAAAAAGCTTTAACATGCAAAAATATAACATACCACATGACAGTTTCAGTAGTGTAAGCTTGCATCTGTATTTTGTGTCACAGAAATACGGATACATATTATATTGAATGAACACAGTTTACCACCATTAACAGTGATTCATTAATTACAAGAAGCATATCATTGCAAAACTGCTTGCCTTATCTTGTTTCCCACTTCGTTCTCTATCATAAATGTAGAAACACAGCCAACGGAACTTTCTTGGAATGTCAAAGTTGTATTCGTCACCAAAGAATGGGCTGTGGAAAGAACATTGCCTCAACAATGTAACAAACACAACTATGCATTACAGTATCACACTCATGCCCACTAATTGTGGAGAGAAAATCAAAGAAAACCTTTGCAGAACAGCTTGATGTTAAATGGTGAAAGGCAATAAATCAATATTTATTTAATTTACAACAATATGAAATACAGAGCCAACAAAGGTGTTCTATGTTTGTTAATGGTGAAAATGGGGATGTCAGGAAAAGTGGTGGATCAATGAGAAGGCCATATAACAAACACACAACTATCATTATGGACAGCTTTCTAAGCTGATATAAGAAAATAACATTTACCCTAAATCATAAATGAACCTGAGAAACAGAACTGCTTACTTCAGGGTCTTCTCGACTGTATTAGTCCGATGAATCTGTTCCTGATCCAAATTCACAGTACAGAACACATCTCTGCTTCCCACTGATCCATGGCTGCGTGATGGCAGATTTTTTGCCTCTCCTGGATCAAAACATCTTACTGTTACTTCTACAGCAAACATATAGTGAGACACTCATTTTGATACAATCAGCAAACATGAGTTACAGCACAAAAACATGACACTTCCAGGTTTCACACAGTAAGGCACAAAACATCATCTTCCATTCAGAAAACTTGAATGAATGGCCAGCCAATGAATGAATGGAGAAAAAAAGAAGCCATGCTCAGCACCAGGCACATACATTTTCTCCCATGTTATGATTCGCAGATGCTTAACAACTGTTGTCATAGCCTACGGAACGATGCAATTGTATTGCCGTAATTTTACAAACATGTTGCGACATCCACTCATTCATTCATAAACTTACCCACCCACAATGTGCGGCAAAATACGGCGCATACATGCCCCGCTGCTATCCGAAGAAAATCAGATCAAGAATAAACCAAACTCATCCTGAAACACTGAATACATTAAACCCATTCATGTGACACAAAGGGGATGAATCTACTTACCAATGTTTATCTTAATGCGTTCCTCAACGCGGACTCTGGCACCTGACGCCATGTTCGGCCATTTCTGCACACTACTGCCATCTAGCGGAAGAGCCCACGCCTGATTTACACATCAAATACTACGTACGGATTGTCCTGTTCTGTATTTCATTTCCGGAAACATACAGCGAAGAAATACACGGACTTGTCACAAAGAAAAAGGGTCCAAAACACAAGTTCATTAGCATACAATCGAGAATAACATTCGGCGAGATACATGCATCATATAAGCATCCAATGTCTGAAATCTGGCTGCATGTGTCAGCCGTGCGATGAGGCACGCGTATGGGGGCACCTACAATGAACACAAAGCCGATGTCATGAAGAGAACACTGAAATATCCGAGGTCAACCTGGGCTTTTCTGAGACTTGAGAACACTGCGCCGATCGCCCCACCACGTTGTGAGCACTCACCGATTTCCATGATCGCAAAACGATCGCGTCGGACGCTTCTCGTATTGCATCAGGGTGCGATTCGGACAAGGTCAGTCTACGACCGGTCTGCTCAAACTTAACTCCCGAAGTCTGAGAACTGAGCGGACCGAAATCTCACTCGGCATCGGGAACCAGGGTAGATGAGTGCGGTCGAATCGCAGTCCCGCCCCCTGCGTTCACTTCCAAGCAGAATTCCACAGCTTCCACGACGGAACGAGCGAGGGCGGCAGGCCGGTGACATGAGTGACCAACCCCTCCGATCCCATTTCTGCTGCTTAATGTAACCGTGGGACATTACGGGTGTGTCAGACCTGCTGCGTTTGGTCACTGATCCATTAATACACGCTCAAGTCACACAGTAGTAGCCGCGACTCTGACCATGACCTACTATCCACTCCTTCCATTAAATCCTTTTGGTAGAAGAAAAATGCGCGGCAGAACTCCGGATTCATCGCGTAAAAAGCTATACCATATTGTATCCAAGGTGTTACATTATTCTGTTGTAAAATGGCAATGCCTGCAGATCTCCGTTGTCCGTCATGCATGACAGTTAAGGTGGAATGAACCTCAGCGGACTCCACGTGTTTTTCGGCGTACACTGGGGAGGTACGGCAGAAACCACCCCAACACCAACACTTCTCGATCAACCTGATTTATTTGTCGTGCTCAGCGTGGGCACGTGTCACGTCGTGTTCAGTTCGGCAATATGGTTCGAACAACAGCGATTATCATGAAAGCACGATGAAAATTTTGATTCAGGACGGATCCGACACCTTCAAATTCTTCCAATGCATAACGAAACCTGCGGCACGGCGTACTCGAAATATCGACTTTAACATTGCAAATACATAGCACACTTGCTAGTTGCTACAAGTCGGAAACTGCTGAGTCATAGAAACGGCGTAGCCAATATTGGCAGTGAAACATTGCAATGGTCTCGTTCATGAACACATAACCGACCGTTCTATTACAAGTCAGGCACGGCGTTATTTTCTCATACTACCATTCAGACAGGTCGATAAACACCCAGTGAATGACTTCGGCATGACTAGAATACGTTCGTAAGCGGCGAAAACGCGTATTGCAACTGAGATCCACAACACAGCCCGTTCGTAGCGAGCTGCCGTCCGTTCCCGGCAACGTTACAGCGGCGCTGACGGCGCTCCAAGCCCGGGAGCGGGCGGGCGGTCAGCGGGCGCGGCGCGGCGGCGGCTCTGGCGCGTCCAGCTGCGGCAGGAAGCGGCGCCCCTGCAGGCCGACCAGCTCGGTGAGGCGCGGCTCGGCGCGCGGACTGGCGGCGCCGGGCGCCGGCCGGCTGCCCGGCCGCCGCGGGCTGAAGCGTGCAGAGCCGGTGCGCGGTGGCGCGGCCGGCTCCCAGGCGGCGTCGCGCAGCGAGCCGACCGGCCGGCGCACCGCTATGTCGACGATGGTCGGCGAGATGCGCGGCCGCGGCGACGGCGGCGCCAGCAGCGGCTCGATCCGCGGCGACGGCCCGGCGCGCGCCGGCGGCTGCAACCGGCTGCGGCCGAGGAACTCGCGCGTCTCCTCGATGGCGCGGTCAATCAGCGTCTTGAGTTCGGTTATGCGCGTATTGAAGGCCTGCTGCGGCTGCCCGCGCGGCGAGCGCGGCGAGCGGCTGGACGAAGGCGAGGCGCCCGAGCGCGGACTGAGCGGACTGGGCGTGGGCGGTTTCCGGCCGGCCGCCGGCAGCGCCGGCAGCAGGCTGGCGCCGCAGGTGGCCGGCCGCGGCGGCGCCTCGCTGGGCGGCGTGCACCACTCGGCCGGCGGCGAGACCGGCTCGTTGGCGTCGGCGGCGGCCGGCGAATCGGACGAGTACCCGATCGGCGTTCCCCACGAGGAACGCGGCGCGAGCGGGGTCGGCGGTGAGCTGGGCGACGCAAAACGGGCGGCGGGCGAGACCGACCGAGCGGCCGCGAACGGCTCGCCCAGCCGTGCGGCTGGCGAGACGGACCGCGGAGCCGGCGACACGGACCGAGGCAGCACGGACGGCGGCACCGCAGATACAGCCCGCGCCGCCGGCGACACGGCGCGGCCAGCCGGCGGCGGGAAGCCTGGCGGCGCACGCGAGACTCTGGCGTCGGACGGCTTCTGTGGCGGGGTGCTCGCGAGCGGGAAGCTCGGCATAGCCACCCACTTCACTTTTCCCATCTGCTTGACCTCCACCACCTCCATGGAGGAGTCGTGATTCTCTGCGCCAGGCCCAGAGGGCTCCGATGAGCCAAGCGCCTTGGCAGGCGAAGCCGCTCCGTTCGCTTCATCAGCACCTGGGGCGGCGGAGGTCGCCTCCTTGTCAGCGAAAGCTACAGAGGCGACGGCCCCTGTCGAAGTCGACGAAACGATGTCCCTGGTTGCCGACGTCAGAGAGAGTGTGTTGATGCGGCGCACGGCTTCCTCCGATGCTTTCCGGATCTTTTCCAGCTTGTCCCGGGAGCTGGCTATAAAACTAGCTGCGGTCACGACGCCAGGGGCATCATTGGCTGAGCGTGTCGTAGCCGCGGATCTCGAAGACTCTGGAAACAAAATGAAACATGCGTCACATCACCCCACACAAACGACACGCAATCACAGGATAGGCAGCACAAATGACACGCAATCGTGGAACAGACAGCACAAATGACACACAATCATGGGACAGGCAGCACCAATGACATGCAATCGTGGAACAGGCAGCACAAATGGCACGCAATCATGGGGCAGGCAGCACAAATGACACGCAATCATGGGACAGGCAGCACGAATGGCATGCAATCGTGGAACAGGCAGCACAAATGAACCCTCCAAAACACAGCTGGTTTTCTGCGTGAATTGTTCGATCGCTCCACCCCGCACACAATGTTCGGGATGAACGCTCCACACTGATGTCTGGGAATCCTAAAAAGTGAAAGGCTTAAGACAAAGAGTCAAACCACATTCAAGAGGCGTTCTGCTCCTTGCAGTGGTTTTGCAGTACCCAATATTTCTTACTTGATTTTTTTACGGTGTGAGTGTTGGGCAGATTGGGCGAACTACATAGCTATTTCAAATTTAAGTCTCCTGGAAGGAAAACACTCCTGATTCAAAAACGCGGCCTTTAAGCTCCGACAAACCACACACAACCAAAACATTTCCACTTTTGTGGCTCCGTCTTCACCTACACCACTATGGACTGCAACGTTGCTGTAGCCAAAGTACCACTGTCATGTAGTTTCCTCTCGCACGGCTCGTGCTGTCCTCAAAACATCGCAGAATCGTTGCATTGCTTTTTTTAGATTGAATCCGAAACTTCTGAATGGATGGATTTCTAGGATCAGAGCTCACACTAAGCAGTGCTTGCTCTATGAGTTGTAAACTCTGTAAACGCTGCTGTAAACTCTATCGTCCGATCGCGCTCATCCGATCGTGCAATTCGAGATAAACGGCAGAACCTGGTAGCGAAACTTTAACGTGCCGCAATGCTCGCCATGATCCGTCTGGCCATCTGACGTCCCCTGACCTTAAGGGCGGCCGCTGCCACGGGGCGCAGGCCACACCTGTCAAGGAAATACCGAGCACCCTACAGCGACTTGAACCCACCCCGCCACGGGTGAGCGGATCAGAAGGCAGGCGCTCTCTCACACCACACGAACCAGCGGGACGGACATCGTTGAGACATTCTTGGAAAAATACAGATATGCCAAATGGATTACCAACAGATACCACAAATTCCAATCCATTCATCAGCCACAACCTTTCGGTCCCATCCCTTAATCCCATGCCATTAACGGTAGGTCCCATCCCTTAATCGGGAAATGCATGCCATGAGCGACCTCGATGGAAATCTCTCTTCCCCAGGAGTTCCGGCCGGCGCCACAACCGCTCTCAGACGCCCAGCGTCATGGCCTCCTCCGACAGCGGGCCGGGCACGCTATCGGAGGAGGCATGAGTCGTGGAAATCGGTGAAATCGGTGAATCGGTGACGAACTAAGCACGGCTGCCAGACGATCAGCATTGCCCTGGGTTACCCCGCCCACCACCTGCCCGCGTCCCAACTCACCTGCTGCTGCGTTGGCCGTGGCGGCGCGCCCGCCACGGAACGAAGCGGCGCTGCGGGTCCGGTGGAGCACGCCGCCGGCGCCCGCCACGCGCGGCTCCGAGGCTGGAGCCGCCAACCGGCCCGACTCGACCGGCGCCCAGGGCGGCCGGCGCGCCGGCGCCGGCTCTTGCAGCCGCTCGCAGGTGACCAGCTGCTGCGCGCGCGGGCTGCTCGGGTGCGGCTGCCGGCTGGCGAACTCCAGCGGATTGCGCGGCGGGCAGGCGGCCGGCCGCGCCGGTGCCGCGGTCGCCGCCGGCGGGGGGCGCCGCCGCCGCCGCCGCCTTCACCTGCTTGATGTTGCTGCGCGAGCGGCGCGGGTTGGAGAGCCGGCGCACAGAGCTCTGGATCACCTGCGTCCTCGAGCGGCGCCGCGCCGCCGTCGAGCTCTTCTTGGCGGTCGCCTTCTGCCGCGACTTCTGCGGGAGCGGTGCCGGCGGCGGCGCCGGTGGCTTGGCGGGCGCGGCGGGCGGCGCGGCAGGCTTGGCGGCCGGCTTGGCGGGCACGGCGGCGGCGCGACCGGACGCCTGTGACGTACTGCGGCGGCGGGTGGCCTCGGCGGCCGTGCGCGGCCCGCTGTCGGAGGAGGCCGCGACGCTGGGCGCCTGAGAGCGGCTGCGGCGCCGGTCGGCCGGCGCGGCGCCGCCGGAGACGGACGAGTGGGAGGACGGGATCGAGGTCAGCCGGGTCAGCAGGTCGGCGCCGCGGGAGGCGGGCACGGCGGGAGCGGCGGTCGGGCCTGCAGACCACGAGGATGGATGAGCGGGACGGATCGGACTGGGGACGCGGACTGGGGCTGTGGGGGGGGAGGGGGGGAGGGGGGAGGGGGGAGGGGGGGGCATGGAATCGGGCCGTGGGGTACCGGCGGGACACACAGAGATCACAGCGACCGGCTGAGCAAGCGGCTGTCCCGCTCCGGGCGGAGCCAGTGGAGGCCATGCACCACGAATGCAAGCGTGAACAGCGGGTAACAAGTACATGGCCAACGTGCGGTACAAACCGGCACTCCTACGTGCACATATCTGGCACACTTATATCGTCAGCAAAGGCACGGCAGCATGGGATGAGGTGCATACCTCACGCCATTTAAAGCTACGTTTGGACTGTACGCTTCGAACACATGGGGCGACAACCTACTATCTATCATCAGCAGGCCAACTCCTTACGTCTCATCTAACCGTCCTGGTAAAGACGTCAGCTACCGCAACAGCGTAATACGCAAGGTTTGGCCACAGTTGATAAGCATGACAGAGGACATGGCTGTTGCTAGTCTCTAGTAACAACAACAAAAGACAAAAAAGAAACATCTGGCCTCTCTCCGCAGAAGCAACGTCAGAAGAACCACTCCATGGTTGCAAGACAACGCCTCATTAAACACTCCACGTTTAACAACTAACATCGAACATAAATGCCAATAACGGAACTTGGTGATCACTTCGGGTCCTGTCCCCTGTTGAATCATTGATAATCAGATTGCAGTCGACACCAAACAAGTGTAAAGGGGATAGTATCCGTGAAGGTTCGAGATCATTGGGGCGAATATGAACAAACCCTGATGCTGTCGGACCCAACGAAAGCACACTGACAAACATTACATTGATGAGCCCAGTGGCGGCACAGTCGAAGATCTCTCCACCCTTGAGTCGCGCCGAGGTCAGTCCCTGACGCAGGAGACCTTGATCTTGGGTATCTTCAGCGCGGTGGCCGGCGGCAGCGAAGTCGACCGACTCTTGCGGCGGCCGTCCGCGTACAGCCGCTCGAACACGGTGGGCCGGCCGGGCCCGACAGGCCGGGGCCGACCGGACGACGCCGGCGACGCGGCGCGCCGCTCGGCCGGCAGCGGCGGGCAGCAGGCGGCCGTCAGCTGTTGGCGCAGCGCCTCCAGCTCACTCTGCTGCGCCGTCGGCCGCGGCGTCAGGAGCCGCGACACGCTCAGCTCGGCGCGGAACTCGGCCTCACTCTGGCGCATCAGGCGCGCGCTGCGCTGGCCGCCGCGCGGCGACGCCGGCGCAGCGCCGGCGCCGGTGGCAGCGGCGGCGGCGGCAGCGCGCTGCCGCAGGCACAGGTCGCAGTGGCTGCTGCTGCGGCCGTGCAGCCGGCGCTGGACGGCATGCAGCCGACAGAGGCGCGACTCTTGCGCCGTCTGCAGACCGCGCGCCGCCTGCCGCCAGCGGCCGAAGCCGCGCGGAGAGAGCTGCGACAGCAGCGGCGCCGGCGGCAGCGCGTCCGGGCTCAGGTCCAGCACGGCCCGGTACTTACGCGGGGGGCGGCGGCGGCGGCGGCTCGGCCGGCGCCGCCGCCGGCTGCCCGGCGCCCGCCGGCGGCTTCAGTCGGTGGCCGTGCAGCGCGAGGTCGATACCCAGATAGCGGGGCGACGCCACGGCCGGCTGCTGCAGGATACACTCGAACTCGCCCACGTCCGCGTGCGCGTCCTTGCGCCGGTCCACGATCACTGCCGATGGCGGCGCGCGGCGTCAGGGCGCGAGACGGGCGGCGGACGCCGCGCCGCAGGTCGTACTGGCCAAAATGTCTTATCCTGCCGTGCCCTTCCACACCTTGGCCCGTATCAACAACGTAACCTTCCCGAGCAGTCACAGTACAAAATAAGTTTTTTTTCGCAAAAAGCAGGATGCCAGAGTAATAAGGAAAGAATCACAGCGCTGAAAAAGACGAAGAGTTTCGCCCCTGACAACACGCCTCACACGTCGCTTAACAGATGCGGTACAGACCGCTGGCGCCTGGATGCTGCGCCACCAGCGATCTGACCTGACCTGACCTGAAAGGCGACTGACCTCTGATGACGTCTTCCAGACACATGGCGCAGAGCCAGGCCGTCACGCTGGTGCTGGCACCCATCGCCGGCGACGAGTTGACCTCAATCAGCCACGGACTGTCGGATGAGCGCCACGGACAGTTAGACCCACAACTCCAGCCGGTGAGACCCACAGCTCCAGGTAGTCAGACAAACAGCTCCAGCAGTGAAACAGAGACAGTGTGCTGCGCCCTATCAGCGTGTCTGGCTAAGAAGTAAGCAATGACAGATGCACGATTAACGTTTGTGCAATGCATACTTGACGCCTCGCTCATGCCGGTAGCAGTGTACTATTGCCAGTGGTACAACAACTGATTTTTAAGGAGCCACACGCACGTCGTCGCGGTCCATATTATGGAGGGTCAGCACCTGCAGAGGCCATATAAGTGCTCAGGGGCCATGGCGCAACCCCTGCGTGCAAGCCGAATGCGACAATCACTCAGTCGTTACGCCCCCCACATAACAGGCTTGTGTGCTCACTGTGACACCCCTTAAAAATTCAAAGACCAGTGTGCGCCACCAGCGCAGAGACAGCTACTATCAGCACAAGCGCCGAAGAACCGTCTCCGAGGGCGGCAGACTCACTGGAAGTCCTCAGTGAGCAGGAAGTCGGCACCGAACAGCTCGAAGCAGCCCTTCCTCGGCTCCAGGTCGGTCTGCGAGGCCAGGCACAGCGAGATGATGGCGCTCTTCATGGTCGGGTAGATGATCTGGTCCCAGGCGTGTCCGGCCTCTCGGCTCCTGGCGACAGAGGGCGGACGGCCCGACGTGCCCTTGTCCTTCACGAGCGTCGGGTGCCGTCCCGCGCCGACGGGGACCTGCTCGCGCAGCGCTCAGCGCAAGGGTCGGGGTATCACGCCAGGCGGCCTATTACAATTTCAGCTGGTTGGCCATGTGCTCAGGTCCTCAACGGAGCCGCTTCTGGTCCGAGACGCGAATGACAATGACGAGCAATGCCTCACTGGGCGAGGACGACGCGAATGAAAACGACGAGGGTCAAAGTTTCGGCCCTACTGTATCCGTCACACTCTCACTCCCGCGTCCTGTTCCATGCGCGGCGCGTTCCAGGCAGTCACGTGCGGCTCACTTGAGGAACTGCTGGAAGGTGCTGGCGTCCCACATGTTCTCGGTGGGCAACGCCGCGTGCCGCTCGCCGTTGCGGTAACGCGCCTGGATGGCGTTGTTGCAGAGGTGGACGGCCTCCTTCAGGTCGCCCAGCGTGAACTGCTGCGAGCAGAAGCGCAGGTAGCTCTGTCTGGAAAACAAGGCACCGGGCGTCGATTACGAACAAATGAAAATGCCTGAAACAGCCTGCACCTATGGCGAGGCTAGGCATCACCTGTGAACAAGATCATTCATGCTTAGACCCGCCCAGCGCTACGTGGCACGACTCCTCGCCAACAGCAGTCACCCCCGAGACTGGGGCTGACCAACACGCCATCGGGCCCTCACTTGTACATCCACACGGTGAGCGGGTTCCAGTCGGTAACGAGGAACCACTGCCGGATGTCGAACTTGGTGTTGTAGATGAGCATGGGCCGCTCGATGTACTTCTGCACCACGTATTTGCCCTCGCGCTGCGTGGCCGAGTCGACCAGCGCCAGGATGTCCTCCAGCTGGCGGAGCAGCACGATGCCGCGGCCGCGCGACGCCGAGCCCGGCTTCACGATCCAGACGTTGAGGCAGCCGTCCAGCCGCGTCTGCGGCCGGTACCGCTCCAGGTCCTTCAGCATCTGCTGGATCCGGTTGTAGAACACCTGCTGGGGAAAGGCGTGGTGAGCAACGGCGAGGGCGCCGCAGAGGGGCGCCCGTGAGACATGTGCCGGGGCCAATGACGAGGCACCAACGAGGCACGTACCCGAGGACAATGACGGGGCGCCAACGAGATACGCACCCGACCCCACAAGCCAACGTCCCACGGATCTGGGACAGCAATTGACGTTTGAGCTTATAAGCATTTTGGGGCTTTCAGCGACCTGCATCCGTGCATACGGGAGTGGAAGCTCCAAAAACCATCACTGAAAGCACCAAAACATTCGAGCATCATGGCATCGTATTCTAAGCAGTCCTACATGCACCTCACAGCGCACCTACCTCGCACCTGACGATATGGCCATCTCTGAGCGCAATG